TCAAACTGAAAGGAAAGCTTAATTTTCATTTCTAAAAATGAAATGAATTTCAGCACTTTTCAGCACTCCCTCAAAGAAGTACTTTTTTTTCTTGAGTTGATGCAATCAAAACTGCCACGTGGTAGTTGATTGTGCCCAAGTTGTTTACGGCAAATTCTGTTGACATTGATGGATGGAGGAACTTGGCGTTGGATAAACTACTTGGCGCGCGGACGAACAAACACAAAAAAACAAGGGGGAATTACAGAGACAAAACGGTTCTCTCGCAGAGGCCAGGAGCGATCTCACGCCAACTACCGTCGTCCGGAGCCGTGGCACGGGCCACAGCCAGCGAGTGATGGATGGTACCGTTCGGCCGTTGTGACACGGGCAGGCTGGCGGCGAGTTGCGGTGTGAAAGTCCGCTGGGCTGAATACCAGAGTCGTTTTGGTCTTTTTTGGTTAAGTTTTGTTGTTGTCACGACATGAGTGCCATACGGGAACGTCCTTTAATAATTCTTTAAGAAACGTTTGCCCTTTTTTTTAATCGTAATAGTTGCAGTTTCTAAAAAACAAAGAGCTTGTGAAAATAGACTATATGCATATCTTCTATTTTATAGAACACAGATACAATGATGTGGAGGTCATCTTAAAAACTTTGTAACGGTTGTTGTAAAAAGAAATGATCCGTGTGAGTCAAGAAAGACATAACTCCCCTTCTCAGTTCATTGGTCATTGATCTGCCACAATTTTTAAAAAAATGGTCTTGAAGGATATGCTTCTCCATCCGATATATGGCATCTGTTGTTCACCATATTACACGGTCCTGCACCAAAATGCTGTGGTATTTCTTTTTCGAAGATTTTGGAGAAAGCCTCAAGATGTTCTCATGCTCTTTGTAATTTAAGGGAAATACCCATTCTAACACAATTTCGGATCCACGGAAAACTGGACAGCAACCATTATATAAGGCCTATCCGAATGTTATTGTTGGGGGGGGGGGGAAACCTGTATGACATTCAACACACGAGGTTGAAGGACCTAGAATTGAAGGCGACGGTGCGAGACGGCAAATTACAGTAATGGAGTAAACTGTCGATTGCCTGATGTACTGGAGCTGCCCCAGCGCGCGTGAGCGGCCCAAGCCGAGGGTGTGGGCCCCGCTAGCCCGGGCAGAGCGACGGCTGGCTCTGATGGCACCTGGAGACACGAGACCTAATCGGCCTGTTCTTTAGGCAGGCTATAATGAATATTTTATTGTTTAGTCAACAAAATTGCTACTGCCTGAGGGAGTGGGGTGGGCCGCGGTCGGGACCAACAAGGGTGGGGTCTGTGTGTTGGCACAGTGAACTTACAAGGTGCAATGGCATTAGGACTATTGACTCGGGAAGTTGATGCAGTGTCTGGGGTGGAATTATTCACTGCTGCCTTGGTAAATGTTTCATCTTTAATCTCATGTCACTATTGTCTTTGCTTCTTCGCAAAAGCGCTCCATTCCTAATTTAATTTTTCCGTACCACAATTCCCTAGTAAAAACGACTTCCTATTTTCTCTCGTTGAGAGATATCACCGATTTCGTCAGCTTTCGGGTCTTTCAATTCAAGTTTGTTAGTTGCTCATTGCTTTTGGTGTGTTATAAAACACCTGTTGTTTCTCGTAATTGATTATTGTTTATTTCTCGCTCTTCTTTGCGTTTTATGTAAATAAAATGGTGATGCGGGCTACTTATTTCTGCATCGGCTACCTGTTTCCATGATCGGCTACTTTGCTCAATGGCATCTATTTAATGTGTTTCATCTTCGAACGAAAACAAGCATTGCTTGTCCTTTTTCCTTCTTCCATGTACACTGCAAGTCAATGTACAACATTTGCTTTTGCTGCGATTTTCAGAAACATATGGATTTGGAGGATTAGTATGTTATAGCAAATATTGGTAAACTGACTTGCTTCACGTTTTGGGGCTTGTAGATGCCCGAAAATCCAAGAAAACCAACCATGTTCTTGTAGTCTGGTTCCCTGACCCCACTTAAGATGGAACAGAGCAATTTATAGATGTCCGGGAATTGTAAGGTACTGAGAATCAGTCTAGCAGGCTTGTATCTCTTCACAGGTGTGTAATCAATTGCAACGAAAATGCAGAATAACTAAATATGAAAAATTAGGAATTTAAAAAAAAACCAGTTTCCTACAACACTGGTCGGCCGACCAGCTTTGGAAAATACAAGTTTTCTGGCAAATGTCAGCACACCGAGAGCTACGATTTTACAGGATGCTTTAGACTGTCCGATTCCCTAACAATCAAGTAAGATGTTTCGTGATTGTTTGATCATTTCGGTTTTTGATGTTTGCAAATGTTGTATCAAATTCGATTTGAAAACACCAATTTCCACTGGCATCTATTCGGACTGCTGTCTACTGCTGTCCTGGAGGGGCAAAAATCGCTCATTTCCGCAGTTCTCCATGGTTCTGGTAGTTTAATGAGTGACATCTGCGAGTTGTGACGACCGTATAAGAGCTAGAGGGGGATATACTCATATACTTTCAGGGTTCTGAACCCCGCGTTAACGAGGAAAGTCAAATTAGCTGTGCTAAGTTTTTCAGTCGTCCTCTCTCGATGCACTTTTTTGAAGTGCATTGAACTTACTGCCAGAGTCTTTGCGCGCGACATGTCGACGGTTGAATAAAAAACGCGAGTTGGTTAAAAAAAAATGCAAATTGTTTTCCCATCTAAATAACATCTGTAACCAGCCTCAATTATTTATATTCCACTGCTGTTGTGGATTTGTTATTTTTTTTTCCTCAGTTTACATCTGACTCGAAAGCACGAGTTAAACAAGGGGGAATACAGTCATTACGCAGCCAGATAATTGCAATGATGTGTGCCGACATTATCGAAGCCTCGCTGTCGCCTTCATGTTTTCGCCTGCAGTCCCATTGTTGGAACCGATTAGTGTATTAGACTTCAGCCACTTAAAATAATGTTCCGGCTCCCAGACAAAAGAAAAAAACGTTGGTTGGTTATTCATTTTCTTTTTGTCCCACCGAGGTTGGTTATCCCAACTGAGTGAAATGGGCGCGAATATACGGTCCGTTCTTGCCGGCACGAGCTGGGGAAAAACATGATTTGTCCGGGGAATTACTTCCAAGTCGCCGGGGTGTTCTCGATGCGTGAACCGCACGGTAGACTTTTTGTCTTTTACTTGTGTTTTCCTCAGGGTTCGTTCAATCGGCGTAAAGAAAGAAGAGATTCATAACTCTGCCTCATTGACCTGCAACCCAACAATTAAGTGTTATAGCTCCACGTGTGCGCACGGCACGCTGGCTCGCCGACTGAGGCCGGGGGAAGATGACACAAGTTGAGTTTGGAGCGCGAGTTTGCGACTGGGGTGGGGTGGGGTGGGTGCGGCGATATTAGGGAGGTCGTGCACTTTCTCAACGGGGGGTACCATTTGGAAAGAAGCCAAATCACATTCTCCAACATGCACATTGCATGCCTGTTCAAAAGACACTGATGCGAGCCGCATGCTGGCTTAAAAGTGAGGCTGTACTTGCAGACGCCATCCTTGAGAAAGTGGGTCTAACCTCACGTAAAGCTTGCGGTTCGAATCCCACTCTATGCAAATTGAATTGCCGGTGTCATAGAAAAATCAGCCTCCTATGAAAATCGGACTCCTTTACCTTTCATTGGCTGTGTTCTTATTCCTCCATGGTTAAACCCTCTCCGACGTTACATGCGCAATACTACCAATGAGTCCGCATTTCATAGAAACTATACACCTGCACCGGCTGATCAGGAATAAGTACAATTCTTTTTGAGTTTGTCCCGACAACAGAAACGTCAAATTCTTTGTTTTCTTTTTGGGGGTCAATATCCCATTGTGTCAATTTTTTTCTGACTCTTCCTAAAATGAACAAAAGAAAAACGGATCCCTTTTACCCATATAAGTCCTCATTTTTTTTCAGATCTCAAATCATTTTCCTCCAATAAATAGCATTCAGCATTGACTAGAGGCCCGGGGGGGGGCTAAATCATTGCACGCTTGCCGGCATTACGCCGGTCGATCAGGACATTTTACTCGCGTCAACAAAAAAATGATCAATGTCATAATCTTTGACATGAATTGATGTTGATGCAGGGTGAATACATGTGTTTTTGCAAGTATTAACTCTAGAGATACGATCGTTAGGCTACCGTGCCCTGGAGCGCGACTAGCGACACCGGCTGATCGGGTTTAAATGGAGGTGTCATGCGGGTAAGCTACCCCAAAACACCGGGTGAAATAACGCTCGGAATCGCTGGCCCAAGTCCGCGTCCATGCACCGGCGTTTGAAGCCCTACGGTCCCGTCTGTACATGCTCTCAAGCCCATACTCTCTCTCATCATGCGTAAAAAGTCACATGTGCTCAGAAAATACCAGAGGCACTTTATATAACTAGAGAGAGTTCTGGCCTGCCTCGAAAGATGGGGGGAAAAAGCGAGCAGATCGGCACGTTTTATGATTAATCTGGACAGGAGCGAGCAGGGATTAGGGGTTCTAATGGGGCAATAAATGCGAGACTCCGGCGGCGGTGTGACCACGAGTGGCCCGCTTGAGCTGGTGGGCCCCGTACGGCGGAAATGTTCCGTTGGTTGTGGTATCCGGTAGTCGGTAAAGTGCGTACAATGTATCCGCTGTACACATGCACATGTACAGTTACTGCCGAACTCTAGAACTATAGTACCGGGGTAGGTGTGACCGCGCTGACCTCCTCTTATAGGGGCGTGGCAAACTTGGGTGAGAACCTGTTTAAAAAGGGGAGGGCCTTCCCAGTCGATGGCTATGTTTAGACTATAGTACATTGCTCCCCTTCGAAATCAGTTTGCAGCAGATAAATGAAACAGTGTATTTACATATACCACATCATATCAAACTTTGATATTCAGTTCTTCAATTCTCTTCAAAAACAATTTGAAAGCAGGCATTATTTCGCAAATCTCTACTTATAGTTGGCATGGGCACGAAGTAAATGTATTCCAAACAGTTTTGAATTATTTACATCGCATACTGGTGATTTATTCAAAAGCTTAATGGGTTTTCTCTCTGTACAGTACAGTGGTTCTTAAAAGGATTCAGATTTACAACAATGATCCAGCTTACACTTCTGTTATTAAAAAAATACTAACAGACATTAGTATAAAAAGTATTAAAAACTCCCCCCCCCTTTCAAAAAAATACCGGTAAGAAATAAAATAAAATGAATAAAATCACGCAACCTAAGCATGTTTCTCCACAACACGACTGAAAGTCACATTTCTTCTATCCAATAAATATCATAGAGACTGTAAAAAAATAGCACTTGATTTAGTAGGACGGTAAACAGACAGTATTTCTGAGATTTAAAAACTACTAGCAAAAATTCTAATTCATGTTTTTATTTTTTATTCCATGATTGCTTTAGCGTCCATACTTTCTGGGGATAAGAAGAAATCAAGAATCAATTGCTGGAACTTGAACCAAGACATGGTAAGCGAAGTGCTTTTATTTGGTGACTTTTGAATTCAGCTCCTAATTAAGGGAGGGGCAAGCAGCGTTGGTGGGAGGTGGATGCCGCTGTACCTTACTCAATGATACATGTCCATGATTGGCTGTACTGGGTCACATGACCCGTGACGCCTCACTGTTCTTCCCCAGTGGAATTACTCTCTGGTTTTCTAGTTATCCACATCATTAAAGCATAATTTGCTATTATTTTTGTTAATTCCTATACTTATTTCGGTCTCCCCCCCCCTTTTTTTTACATTCCTAGTTCGACCTGCTTGCAATGACAGACATTGTTTAAACTACTCCAGTACTTGGGGTATCGTGTTGGTGGGTTTGTAGTAGTCTCTCTGCAGCTGGGAGTTAGGGTACTGTCCGCTCTCGTCTTGCCATGTGTTGCGGCCAAACCGCCGGTAGTCTGCCGTGTCGGTAAACTGACTGTGGCAGTGCCTGAACACATTAGAGTCATCGGGAAAATCTGGTGGCTGTTCCTATATTAAAAGAAAAGGTACGAAGAACCTGAAATGTTTATGTGACTTCTTTTTTTTTTTTTTTTATCAAATACAGGTGTCAGTCAGAAGATTTACACAGGCTGTGTACAGAACCAAGGTGGTCAAACAATTAGATGAAAAAAAAAAAAAGTGGTCAGGTTGAGTTTTTTTTCTACAAAATGCCATATCTATTTTGCAAGGTCAAGGTTAATATATGAAGATATGATTGTTTTTCATGTTTTAATTTGTTTTGGTTTACTATGGAATGCTTTGGTTTTTGCAAAAGTCATGAAAGAACTGACCAAGCACGTCACAAAGAGAAAGTGGTTAGATTAACTTTTAGATGATACGATGTTGACCAGCGAAAGTGACGGAGTAAAAGTTGAACCTCTGACCTCCAGTAAACTGTACCATTACTACATCAATTCCTCTATAAAGCTCTATTCTGGTGGTATCCCTGTTTGTCAAATTTTTCCCCAAAAGGCAGAGGTCACATGCCCAAAACCTCAATATGTCGTGTAGCCAGGGATGACACCCAAAGCTACAAGGCATGTCTCGTCAGGGCCACTGTACTTACCGGTACAGGTGTGTAAGGGAATGGAGGTTTGTAGTCTGCTCGGTTTGTTGTTTCTAGATGTCTCTTATCGTGCTGAGGGTGATGACGTGGAAGGACGGCACCGTAACCTGTCTTAGGGTGGCCTGTATCTCTGCAAATAACACAACCGACAACGTCAAGTGTACTTATTAGTCCAAAGGGAGCTTTTACACATCCAAAAACAAACACACACCAAGATACAATCTTGGTTTACTATATCAAGGCACGCAAGAAGGCCCCAGTCAATGGCGAAAGCATTGTGCTAGCTGTTGCATAGATAATCTGTCATGGGGCAGTTGCTCTGTACAATAGCGCGCACAATAGCGTCCACTATGAAGAGGGCTCTCATGCATGTAGTGATCGCATGCCTGGATTCATCTGTACTACCAACTACAGTACCAAGGGCCCATACTGTTCCCTTCTCTTTTCTTGACATGTCCCATAAGGTTTGTGCACACAAACTCTTGAGGACGTGGGCTCAGGTCCTCAGTGTTATCATTACTCCAGTCCTCAGTCACAAAGGATACCCTTTCAAATGCCCCCCCCCCACCCCCCAAAAAAATTTCAGTCTAGAACTGTGTTTGTTTTGTCGGCAATTGCCGGGATAGCCCAAGAAAGTCTCTCGACTTATTTCCAGTGGGGTCCCTCGGTAGAAATAAATTACAGACTAAGTGGTGAGAAAAAAAAAACATTTTGAGGGAAAATCCACATAATCAGGCAGGGACTGAAAACCCAATCCATATTTTATCCCAGGCGGGATTCGAACCTGGGCCACAGGGTTGGAAGGTGCAGAAAGTACCGCTACGCCAACCTGATCCCCCTACTGTGCTTCTGATCCCCCTACTGTGCTTCGTCTACCACTGACCTGTCGATGTCAGCGACTTGATAGGTGTCCAAGGTCACCATTGGCTTGCGTGTTTCCTTCTCTTCAAAGTCCTTCTTGAGATGAATCTGCTGCATGGAGTACTGGGTGGTAGTCAGCGGGAATGACTGCACAGGTAAACAAAGAAGGAAAGAGAAGTCGCTCTGATTATTTACTCTTCCATACTCTGGCATAATTCACAAAGTCAGAGGGCCTAATGTTTGATTCTGGCTGGACCTCTGTCAAAGCAAATGACAGGAGTACAGCAACAAACAAGTAGCAAAGCACGTCGAGGTGGAAGAAAAGACAATAAGGAGGGATTACGCAGGGAGACGGAACAAAAGGAGTGGGTACATAGATGAACCAGGGCACGTGATTGGTCTATATCAGGATATCCAGAAATCACTGTACATTCACGAGGCCCCCTTCAATGGAGGAACCTTTGTGCATGCTATTGTACACGGTAACCGCCCCGTAATGGATTATCTGAATACACATGTATTGAGAGAGTGTAACTTGAAATTTTTGTTTAATATAAATACAAATTTCGCAAACTATTTTCTAAATAAAAAAAAAAAAATCTTTTCATTTTAACAACGTAAGTGCATAAAGTACGAAGCTTAAGAAATATTTGTCATAAAAGCACAAACACACACCAAAAACACTACTAACGCAGAAACAGGTTTTTCTCGTCAAACACGCATTTGGCTGTCCGTGGTTTAATTTTCTCCCTTGTTTAACACCGCGAGTATATCTGGTTACATTAAACCAAGCAAGATGTGTTTACACGCTCCGCTTGGGCTCAGTCTATTAACAGTCGCCCAAATTTGCTCTGACACAAAACGTCCCTCTGGGTTATCAAAGAAATCTGTCTTCGATCCCGACCAAGACTTCGCCAAAGATTGCGAGATAAAAAACAAAAAAAGCGCACAAAATGTCAGTCGTTGATTAATGAGAAATAAAGTGTTTTTAGAATGAAGTATCTTGACAGAAACCCTTTTGACCTGATTCTTCTTCAAACATTATTTTATTTTTTTTTACTTCTTCGTTTTCCGTTCCCTTGTTAAACTCTTCTCAGACAATTTGTGAGGAGCAATCCCCGGCAGATATAAACTGCGGTGGGGTACGTGCCTTGACTAACGACTGCCGACATGCCCAAATTGGACAGCGGCGGGCCAGATTCGGGTTTCAGACCGCCTTTGGCAGATATATACTGCAGATCCCCAACGTTATTGTTTCGGTTCAATCTTCTTGTGACTGGGGAAAACAGAGAGAGACAGGGAAAAAATGTAGCCGGTGCGCCAGGCGATCTGGCACAGGGAAATCAAAATTGTTAGTCCAAGATTATTGGAAGGGGGCTCATTGCATGTGTCAACTGATATGAGAGAGTGCAGGTGATGATGGGGACTTCTCAAAAAAAGATGTTGAGTAAAAAAAAATAACAAATAAATATATATTTAGAGGAGCTGACTGCGTATTAAAATAAAACATTTCATAAAACAAATCAAATCAAATACACATTCAAAAATATTTCCCTTCACTGTGAACAATCATAAATTAAGACAAAAAAATATGTCGTGTGTAAAACCAATTATACACTCACACAAAATTAATAATGTCACTAATTTCAAGATTTTAAATGAGGCTCTTCACACACAGACTGCATCATTGCTTCCTCTCTATTTTTAAAAGGAAAATGATACTTTATTTTTAGCTTACAGTAGAGCACAGGCCTATACTTCCCACTCCATTTCATCCCCTCTTGTTCAAGGCATAACAAATTACATCATCTAATACTGTGCTCTTTTCAATTCAGTAGTCCATTTTGTATAAAGAGGGTGCATTTAAAGACATTTGACTGATGTTCAGACTCTCAGAGTTGCTCAAAATCCCCGAGCAGCTGTCAAGTTCATCCCTGACACAGCTAAGCTAACTCAGCATAGCCATGAGCCCACAGTGATACGACAGCTTATGGGTTTGGGTAATTGCTATACCTGGAATCAATCGGCCGCTAATTGAACGCAAATTGATACCCAGTTTGCGTTGCTCGTCAAGATCCCGTGCCGTCGTATTGCTTTGCCTCCACAAAACCCACCAATCACAGTAAAGCGTTGGCGGGAAGGATCCCCTCAAACCCGAAGAGAATTTACGTACCGACGCCGGTTCTTATTAAAACGTGCTTGGTGAACCCTGAAACTTTAGAAATCAGAATCAATCTAGTGTTTAATAATGGAATGGCTATTAAACGGCCGTTTGTCGCGTGATGGGGCTAGTCTTTCTTACATGTCAAGTTACCTCCGGATGGAAAAAGGGAGGTTAAACAATCCAGTCCGCTGGGGCTGTATTTTATCGCGTGTTATTAAACACATTTTTTGGAGTTTTCATTGCATTTTTTTCTTTCGCTGTCCTGTCCGTGTTACTTAAACTGGTGATATTTGCAATCGGCACTTTGATTTAACGTTGCCCAGTGCAGTATAAATCTTTTAGGAGGTCATTTAGCATGCCAGCTTTCATTAAGACTTGCTGGTGTTGGTAATATCTGCTTTGTCGCTTTCTATTTGTCCACCTGTTCGACGCCATGGTTTGAGACCAAGCGTAATATATGAAGTTGAGAACTTTAAAACAAGAGACATTTCATTTTCTAATTATTTTATTATTATTCTGTGGTATCATGAGCATTGAATTGGCACTGTTTTTCTTTCAAGTCTCAGTTTTGAGCATTATGAGGGTTTTTTTGGGGGGGTTTTCCCCTCTTTTTCTCCTTTTTCTGTCTTTTTCCCCCTCTTTTTCTGGTTTTGTGAGTGTGTGTATTTGTTGGATTGAAGTTTAATCTGTAACTTTAAAATCGTTTTATTCAAGGGCACCAAATCACTACGAGGTGTTCAGAAACCTCTGTGTAGTTCCTGTTAAATTGTTTTTCCTTGGGTGGGGAGTAGAATAGGTACGTAGTCTGAGGATCATCTGTCGTCCAATGGAGCCCTCTTCGTAACAAACCTCTGATGTGAGCAATGTACATTTTATGCAACACAGCGCCTCAGCCAATCAGAGTCGACTTTAGAAATGTTGACGTCATTTTGATAAGAAATGTGGACTACAGTTTGTAAGCTGTTGATTGGTCAACTTGGCTGACATGTTTTTGTAATACAACAACTTATGGAAGACCTGATAGAAGCTGCCCGCTGAATGGTCAGAATGTCGAGGTCAAGGTCCCGCGGTCTTGTTTTGCATAATAAATCGCCCATTCTGATGGCATATCATATCCCCTTGCTGTGCCAGGGGATATTCCATAGACTAAGAATAAGGAAGTTTGGAATTAATTAGACAATGTGAGGAAACAGTTTGAAAATTATAAAACGTCTGGATTGGTCTCTTACTCCATCGGTGATGTTTCCAATTCTCTTGTAAGTGGTTCGATGAAGGTCTTTCTTTTCAGATTCGTTGTTGATGTCATAGTCTTTGGGTTCTGCTTCTCTTGCCTGGTGCCTGTAGTGATTGAAAAAAACCATGCTCAGTGTCAATTGGCAGTCAGGTTACTATTACAGTTCATATATGCCGAAATTAGTCCAAGTTAGAATAATCAAATATATTAAAATTAAAAAAAAAAAATAGCCCAACTAGCGGTTATTGTGCAATGACCAAATAATTTAGATAAAATTCAAAAATTTCAGTTACGTCAAGATATCTTAATTTCTTCTGCACAGTTGAACATATTGAATTTTTTATTTTTGAAATTGTCCATTAAAATCAAAACTAATCAAAATTTTCCAAACTATTTTAAGTGGGGGCGGACAACTGGGCATTTTATACATTGGCCTCATCTAGCTCCATGTTCTTGAAATAACAAAAATAAACTTTCAAAAATATCGGTCACCCTCGGACTCACTCAAACTCAAGCGACATATCTTACAAGATTGGTGCCCTATTCACTCGACGAGAAATGGTGTAGGCCTACTCAATATTTATGTTCTCAATTACTGTATTTTCAAGTTTCCATATATCTTATATAGGTTTCTAAATTTTACAAAAATATACTTTCAACTTAATGTACAGTTTGTACTTTCTCAGTCCACTGCACTGAATAGCATTGGTGCTCGGTCACTCTTTCATGTCTTTCTTCACTGAGTTCTTAGGAAATTGAGTCTAAACTTCCCTTACCAATTCGAGTTGAGGGTTGGACGACTGTAATCCATATGATCAGAACGCAAAAACAACGAGCCTTTACGCTCTACAAAGTCTGGCAGACCCAGGCCGCTACTCATTTTGCTTTCGTTCAGTTCCTTGCCAAAAGAAATATATTTTTAAGACGAAAGAATCAGAGATCGTGGAGACCGTTCCACTTCCACTCAGTTTATGTTTTGATACCGCGTGCTACACCGCAACCCGAACCTTATGTATCCAAGATCTACATTTGAAAATAGATCCACATAAATCCCAAGTATGTGGCCCTTTACCCATTATTTGTCCCACAATTAGACTTGAGATTTATTTTGTAATTGCTTTCACTTATTAGGTACATTTCACAGACTCAAAAAGTAACAATAAAGGTGTTTTTCTGGAAAATATTGCGGAATGATCCGATTTTCAGCGTTAGTGAAAAGTCCATAGCTACGAACTTTCCTCGTAACCTTTCACCCTTCAAAAGGTCAATTCTCACATGGTCACATGATCGCGTGTAAGGAAAGTCTGGTTCCCAGTTCAAGCGTACATACCGGTAATGCGAATTTCATCACAGACTATTGTGGATGTTTTTCGATGTTTTTCGACCTTCGCTCGTACGGCTACGGAAAGTTGTCGATAGAAAGCTGAGAAATAAACATTTTTCCCCATTTTTAAAAGGGTGGAATGAAATGAAACATTGAGGTAATAATTGCAGGAGAGAGTAGAGGAAAATTACAAACAGTGGCAAGTGTAAACGTAAGTAAATGTCTCTTGCGACCCCATACATTCGAGCTGTTTGGATGCTACTTTGTGATTTCATTCGTAAAGTGTTCGCCTTTTGCGGGCGTTGAAGAAACAACTTTTTTGCATTGGTGATTAGGGTTCACTGTACTAATTCAAGCCCCATTGAAAACAGTGTAAATCAACAAAGTTCAGGGCCAAGTAACATGCAAGCCAACATCACTGGGGTTTCTGAAACAAAAATTAAATTATTGTCTTGTCTTTCATCTTTTCATTTCTTTTCAATTTTAGGTACATTAGGCATTAGCCAATTACATTTTTAAATATTGATATTCATGTTGTGCCCATTCTTGAAAATCACGCATTCTCGAGAATGGGCATGCACATTCTCGTGAATGGGCGCGCATTCTTAAGAATGAGCGCCCATTCTTAAGAACGAGCACGCGTTCTTAAGAATGAGCGCTCATTCTTAAGATTGGGTGGGAATATCACGTGCACAATTTATGAATTTTGCCCAATCTTAACAAACATTGCACGACATAATTATGTTAAATGAATTGTATAGCGGTTAAAAGGGAAACAATTCATATAAAGAGGAAAGAAAATGTGCTATGCTTCTGTACTCGTATAACTACGATAATTTGAATCAAATTAAACCTGTTATTATTGCTTTTTTCTGCCCACTATGGGAAGTTTTGTAATAGCGGAGGACTGGGAACTAGTCTGGGAAGTGCTTTGTTTAGGCTAGACAAGTTACAAGTCCCTGCATGTATCATATGCGTGCCACGAAAAAAACGATGTCCAGAAGCTGCCAAAATTGCTCTTTTGACTAGATAGAATCCAGCTCTGCGACGTTATGGTGGGATGTGAACAATAAATTGGTGGCAATTTAAATGGGAAATAGCATTAGCACTATGGGATGTCGCAGTATTCATTCTCATTCTTCACATTCTTCATTCTTACGTCCCCCCCCCCCCCCCCCCCCCCCCGCTTTTATTATCCCAAAAATCAGAATTCTTTGCACTAGTATTATTATGTCTCTTATATTTTCCCGGCCCCCCCCCCCCATATTAATACGCCTTTACTTATCATATCCACTCTACTTTTCAACGCCTTGCGTTGCAACAGTATAATTATTGAGAATCAGTGAACGAGGATTCAGCTAGACTTGCCAAGCGCAGCCGGTGCTCAGCATCGACAAGACCGTTATCTTGTCGCGCATTCTCGAGAATGTGCGCTCAATCTGGAAGAGTTATTTTTTGCCAAGATTGAGCAAGGATCCAGTTGCGCATTCTCAAGAATGTGCATGCCCATTCTCGAGAATGCGTGATTTTCAAGAATGGGCACAACAGCCACACCCAAATAAAATCACCTCCCGAAAAGTGATAGTTCCCGAGCCTGCATGTATCCATTTTTACAAGTGGCATCCTTCCACTTTCACAGGCAAATAGGACCCATTTTTCATCCGTGATTTTATCAAGCCTGCCCTCAGATGGAAGCCCCAAAACCAGGGAGTTGATCCTTGGGTATATTTAAACAATTCCACCGTTTTTAAAGCCAAACGGTCTCCGTTTTCAAAAGAAATTGTGGGGGCATTTTTATGCTAATCAGCTGGCGTAGAAATTCTCGCTTGAATTAGTTCAGTGCACCCATTAGTCACCGCTGATACTGAGACACACAACGTGTATATCGTACACTGAGAACGACACGAAAAACGTATTTGTACTCCGTCATGTCCAATGTAAACAAGCAGGGTTTTGTTCCTCTTTTCTTGGGCATGTTGGGAACGGTAAGACATTAGGTTGTTTTCCTGTCAACCAGATGTTTGAAATAGCCCAAATAAACAATCCAAAACATAAAATTTTCGGGGATTTCAGGACCTAGTGTCCCTTTAAAGTTTACACTTGCAGACAAAATGCACCCGCATTTTTGCTGAGTCTATTTGAGTGGTTTTGGGCCGTGTGTAGGCTATCTGTAAAGTGTACGGTCTTGCAAACTTAGGGAAAGAATTCCATATACGTATGCCACTTGACACCCTGTGTACAAACCCTATGAGACTGATCTGAAAAATTCTAAGTGTTTTCACACGATTACCCAATTGTTATTGTGACTGTTGTTTATCCCCAGGGACGTAACCATGGCAGCTCAACGTGGGAAGGGTGAATTTGGTTATGGGTCGCTGGACAGCACGTCTGATTCTCGATACCAGGACGGACAGTTTGGAAGCGGTACGTGTTGTGTAGAAACTTAAAACTTTCCTAAATCTAAAAAAGGTAAACATGACACGGTTTTCTTTAGCACTGCATATTACGCCCATTGGTCCCAGACTTGGACCATGAGTGAAACAAAACATGCTAAACAGTTTACAAATGAGACATATGTGTACACCTAAGTTGTTAAATCATCCGGGGTTTCCCTTTTTTTTTTACTGCAGGGCAAAGTAATGAATTTGCAGACTTGTCACAGCAAGTCAGCTCGGCTATTTTCAAGATCAGCAACAATGGTAAGATTCTAACCCTTCTTTGCCATCTTTTTGTAAGTCTCCTCATGCACCCTATTAAACTCATCCAAATCTGAGAACCATGTCTCTCTTTCTGTCGTTATTTTGTCATTGCAGAATTCTTGGTCTAGCTTATATGCCAAACACCTACCAACGCAAAATTCAAGAACATATTTTTTCTTTTGATCTTACATACATTTAAACTGATGGCTTTCCTATTTCTGCAGTCACAACCTTAGAGAAGGCAGTTCGACAACTTGGCACACCCAGCGACAGTACTCTGCTCCGAAACAGAATGTAAGCACTTCTAATGCATTGCAACAAATTAAAAAATAGTTGATAGATCTGTGCATCGATACAGCAAGATTCAAGTGTGCACATTGAGCTTACAGCTTTACGGTGTAAACTTCAACTTTTGCGAGCCTCATAAGCACAAAATAATTATGTTTTGTTTTCTCATGTTGCAAGGTTTTCATTTTTTAAATCCCCCACAAATGAGGTTCAAAACCTTTCTTTTTCAATGTCTGAGAAGTTACCAAGTAATTTGTAAGTTGGTTACGGGGACCAAATTCCATAATCTGGAACTGATTCCTGACATCAACGGTCGAGTACTCGGGTACCAGTTTCCGATGCACAGCTCTAGGCCGAATGCATATATGTACTATATTTATAAAAGGCCATACCTTAAACCACTTGACGAAAAGAATGTAGTATCCAGACGCCACTTCTTTGGTTGTGTACAAAGTCTATGGAGAGTGGAGTACATTTTACTCAAGTATTTTCTAACAAAATTGGAAATGCTTCTCAGTCCAAGATTTGTGTCTTTTCAACATTTTTGCAATGACTGTCCTCCATTGAGATATTATTAAACGATTAATCACAATGAAATTTCAATGGGAAATTGCAGATTCAAATCTTTTTGCAGGTGATCTAACAGTACCTATCAATTGTCAATTACAAGTTCTTCATGTTCAGTTGACCTCTATGCTTATACCCCACAGCCAAGCCAGCATCCAGACAACTAACAAAATAGTCAGTGAGACGACAACGTGCTTGAAAGATCTGACTCTGATGTCCCGTAATCTGGGAAAGGTACGTACCAAGACGTGTTGTATGACAATGAAAACTACCTAGTCCCTTCATTTATTATTATTATTACATCTACAAGCCCAAAACGTGAAACAAATCAGTGTAACACTATTTGCTATAACATATTAATCCTCCCAATCCATTTATTTCTGAAAATTGCAGCAAAAGCAAATATTGTACATTCCCTTTAAAAAGTCTGTAACAATTATCCCCTTGTGATTGCAGTCATCCAGGTTACAGGTTGACAGACTGACCAATGAGTACCATGAATCAGTGCAACGATACAGCGGCGTCCAAAAGGTAAAACCACTCAGAAAATCATAATGGTCTTGCTTCCTCTTTCTCAAAAACACCTGCACCAAGGTTGTAGGGAAACACATTTCAGTTTCCTTTCTCCCTCTAATCTCTATGTGGCTAGCTTTGCCTAGGTTTGTATTTCCTGTGAACTGGGCTTTCCGAACCTGTTTTGTGTCCGACTTTGGACTTGACGTTTGCTTCAGGATGTTTTACAACCCAGAAGAGGGGGGGGGGGGGGGGGGGGTTGGGAGAGATGGGGAGGAGAGGGACTCCAGCGTATCATCTAGTATAGCTACAGCACTTCTAGACTGAACGTTCACGCAAGGGGCATATATACAGGGTGTAGAACCAATAGTGCTGTAGCTATAGTGAAAACTCCTTGCCTCCTTAATTCTCGTAAACTAAACAAGACAAAATCAGTTCTGTCGTTCCTTAAGATCAGTGTGCTCTTAAGATTGCCAAAGTAAACAATTAGCTCATTCGTGTGTTCATACTAAAACACTTTACTCCAGTAAGCTCCAATAATACAGAGGGCGCCCTACAAGAAGGCTAACTGAGCTGCACTTCCATCTAGAGTTCATGTTCTCCTGCAGGAAAATCAGATGTTCTTTTTATTGCACCACAATTCAGACTGTTTCCATTTGGTTTTGGGCTTTGAAGTTTTTAAATGATTCTTTAATCAGAGACGAAGCCTGATGAAAACTGAGTTGGTAATAGCGCCCTCTTCAGTTGCATGGATCCAATAGATGCCAACATATTTGTGAGGAAAGAAGTCTTGTGATCATCCATATAAACAAGACATCTATTTGTAAAACTACACTGTACGTTTAAAGTGCAGTATTTTTAAAACTTCCCTTCCACTCTTGAGTGTTTTTGTTCCTCACCTGCAGAAAGTTGCCAGCAAGATGAGGTCCTGTCCAAACGTTCCCCCCAAAGCCCCGCCTACATCAGGAAGCATGGTAAGAACTCCCTGGTAAACCAATAAACCCCTTTATCCTGAAACATTTACCGGAGGGTTTCGGGGGATTTTTCAGGATCAAAGAAAGTAAATCCCAGCCACTGTTTACGTGGAGCTTCACCACTTGACGGCAGAATTATTTTGGCCGAAAAACACCATTTTTGAAAAAGACCAAATATATGAGCCAAATTTTGAAATCAAGTCAAGCACCACAAAAACTGACTCTTGAGAGTCATTTGTACAATATGTTTCTGATACTTCTCACCACTGCTCCATGTACATCAGATTCAAACCAGCCAACCGATCCCGCAAGCTCGGTGGTCGAGTGGTAAGACATCTGCACTAGAAAGCAGGAGGTCGTGGGTTTGAGTCCCACCCAAGTGCTTTCCAACTTTTACTCGGGAGGTAGCATGCTGAGTATAGGTCTGTGAAGGGCAAAACCTGCTATTGATTTGCAGCTAACTGTATCGCAGAATTTGGAAAATGTTATTGAAATTTATTAAATAGGTACAGTCAGCTTTTGTTTATACAAACTCTGTTAATACAAATTCTGGTTATGGAGAATATAAACCCTTGGTTGTGACTAGACTGTGCATTTATGTGCACAATGAATGGGATCGGTGCTCCTCTTAATACAAAATTCTGATATAACAAACATTTTTGCTAGGCCCAGCAGAGTTTGTATTTATAACAAGAGTCGACTGTATGTCAGTGAGGATCAGTTTAGATATAAACCTAGGCAGTGATCTTTTCATTATAATTTCATACCTCTGCTCATCAGGATGTGGTACAATATGACGAGTCCAAGAAAGCGCTGCTTGAAGAAACAAGGAGGCAGGGCATTGAATCTCAGCTGCAGGTTCAAGACCAACAGATAGACTACGATATGAATCTACTACAGGAGAGAGAGGAACAGATCCGACAGATTGAGGTAGGCCCTTCATCGTGCGCTTGTTGAAGCTAGTATGAGTGATTGTTAACACAAAAAGATGCTGCTGGTCTTGGGCCACTAGGCCTAAGCCTTGGACCCCTAGGTGTTGGTCTCAAACATTAGGTCCTATCTCAGAGCCCTAAGTCGTGTACACCTAGGTCTCAGTCTAGGACCTGTAGGTCACTAACTCTTAGACCAAAGGTCACAGTCTTGGACCACTTCGTCTCAGTCTTTGACCTTTGACCTGTAGGTCTCAGTCTTAATCTCGGACGATTTTGTCTAAGTCTTGGACTCCTAAGTGTTGGTCTCAGACCTCCAGGCCCCATCTCAGACCACTAGGTCATGGAATCCAAGGTCTCAGTCTAGGACCTCTACGTCACTAACACGTAGACCCCGAGGTCACAGTCTCAGACCACTCTGTCTTGGTCTTTGACCTCTAGTCTTGATCTCGGTCCATTTGGCCTAAGTCTTGGATCCCTAGGTCTAGATCTTTGACTAAGACTTGTTCGGCTTGGACTTCTAGGTCTCTGTGTCAGAGCATCAGGTCTGGGTCTCATTCCCGGTCTTCAAGGTCCCGACTACTATACTGATGCTTAAACAGTCACATATAATGCTCGTTGAATCTTTACAGAGGACTACAAGCTACACAAGTGACTCTTGTTTCACAGAATGCTGATCAATAAAGAGATTTTTGTTTCTATTGCAGGCAGCCATGTTGGATGTGAATGAAATATTTCGTGATCTTAGTGCAATGGTGTCCGAGCAAGGAGAAGTTGTAGGTAAGTTCACGTGTCAAATTGAGCGAACCGCTTTCAATAGACGAGCCACCCTTTGTATATTCTTTACGGGCTAACCTTGATTTTGACAATTCTCAACAAATGACATTTGAAACCTTTCTTTTTCAGTGTCTGAGAATTCACTAAGTAATATTTAAAGTTGGTTACTGGTCCTCGATTCCATAATTCAGGCATGCAACTTTTCCTTGGATCAGCTGATTTCCTCTTTTTTTACTTCCCATGTGTGCCATTGAAAATAGAAAAACACTGTACAAAGTCTGGGAAAGATTTGAATTTCCTCTTTTCTTGTGACTTCCCAGTTGCATGCCTGATAATTTGGAACCGGTTCCTGACATCAGCGGTCGTGTACTCAGGTACCTGGCTCCGATGCACAGCCCTAATGGCCGTGATTGATCAAAACCTGGGGTGAGGCTTAAGATGTACCATTTGCCCCTGTAATGAAATAAGTTAAGGTTACATATAGCTGTAGTTGGTCACTCCACTTTCTCTGTTTTGTCCTCTCAGACTCGATCGAAGCTAACATAGAAAAGGCCTCAAGCAATGTAGAGGGCGCCAACACACAGCTGCAGACAGCCAGCAGATACCAGGTAAGCGACTCAATTCAGTCTGGGGCTTGCAGAGTGGCTGAACAGCAAAAAATATGGCTTAAAAAGCTGAGGTGCGTTAAGGCAGGTTCATACTGCATTGTGAATTGCCCAAATTGATTGAGAACAGCCAGCTTGAGCTCATTATGGGGTAATCCTATGCAACAAGTCCAAGTCACAAGTGAACGTCAGTCAGTGCCTACACCGGTTTTCAAGCAGACCTTGGTGAAAAAGTAGAACAGTTAAAATCAAAATCAGGACAAAATCAGTATAAAAGCCAGACTTTTGTAGGCTTTCAGGAGTAGTTTTTGTTGACACTCACCCATGTCCACAGCATCATAAGCCTCATTTGGCATGCTCTGTGCCACAACATTTGTGCGCCACCCTCAAGTAAGCTCTTGGAAGTACTCCTGCGCCCAAGCCTTTCATTGTGTGAGTGCTACTTACAGATGACAGTGTGTAACACTGTTCTGAAAAGTATTCATTGAAATTTCGTTTTGTTGAGTTGCGGGACAAAACAGTAGGAACTTCAAGAAAAAAGTAGGAAAAATAGGAGCAAGATGAAAAAACTAGGAAAACATAGGAAAAGTAGGAATACGTGAAAGCCTCCCTGGGCTGGCTCTCTGAGACCAACAAAAAATGATTGCAAACAACGCCCTTCTATTCATTGAACACCAAGAATGATTTTGTCATCAGAAACTTTGGAAAGTTTAGTACTGTAGTTCTGTGGTTAAACCCATGGTTTCTTACTCTGAGGGAAATGTTTGCACACAATTCACATTAAGCACACCTACATCTTTAGCTCTCTCATGTTCAACAAGAGAGGGCGTCCTTCACTGTCCGTAGTGTATTGAGGGTTTCCTTGCATGTAGGGCAGAAAGATATGAACTCAGAAATTGATCACTGAGTGAGCACCGATGAACTTTTGTGGGTTTACGAAAAAATGTCCTACATCCTTACCCTGTGTTTGAATAGAAAATGGTTATTTGTTTGTTAGTAAATTTGAAATAACATTTGTGAGGCATTCTTGCAAAATGAGACAGATCTGGGCAGAGGTTGAAATTGAGGGTTTGCGGGTATTAAGAAAGAGAATACAAGTAAAATACTGAGACAAAAAGCCTTTCATTTCAGATTTTGTAATCGTAAAAGTGAAAGATGTCAATTTGTTATGTCTTAAAAACACTCTTATTCTACGATCTGAAAATCGGGGGCAGGGGGGATGCATTTTTTTCACTTCGGCCTGTGTCTAGCTCTGTGTTATTTTGCCAGAATTTCTCACATTTGTGAAGAAAAAAAAATTAAAAATGAAATCAAGAGAAAATACCTGGGCAAGAATTTAAAAATCGTGCTGCATAAGAGCTTTCCTCACGAGCTTTTGAATATCATTGCTGTACACATAAAAATGTACATTTCACCAATGCAAATGTCATCAACTACCTTTTTTCTCTCTCTCTCTTGTTCACTTAACAGAAAAAGGCACGAAGAAAAATGTGCTGTTGTATAGTTATCATGGCCATCACCGCACTAATCATCACTATCATCCTCATTGTTGAACTCAAATGATGCTCTTTAGTCAAGGTGAACATTATTCAGTTTTAGTATTTCGGCGAAAATGTTTTTTCCTGTCATGTTCACTTCACATCACTCTTACAGGAAGTGGAACTGGCTGTGGGGTTTGCTTTTTTAATGTGGACAACAGTTTCTTTTTTTTGGGGGGGGGGGTAAACATCTGTGGAGGGCGGCAACCTTTCTTGTGCATTGTACTATGTTTGCACTTGCATGCTTTCCTACTTTTCAGAGCACAAACTGAATGAATCTTTGTGTTAAACAGAATTCTCAATTTATATTCCTGTCAAACTTTATTTTTTTTTTGGGGGGGGGGGGGGCAATCACTTATCCTTTGACCTCCTCTTCATCTGAAACTCAGTCCCACTTACCATATCTGTTTTGGTTTCTCACAGCAAAAAGCTCGGAGGAAAATGTGCTGCATCTTCGTGTGTGTGGTGGTGCTGCTAGCCATATTAGGCATAATTCTTGGCGTCACTTTGAGATAATTTTTTTTTTCAACACTGGTGAATCCTTGTTTCAATCAGAACATCTAAGGAAACAAACTGTGTAGGTTCTTAAGTACTGGTGCATAATTCAGAAATCTTTTAGCTCGATCAACAGTAAAAACAACAGCTTTTTGGGCTGATTTTGAATGAATGAGTTACAACTATTGTCACTTAACTTGGGCCGCAGGACTTGTGATTGACTTGTGATTGAGATATTAAATACAAAGATACTCATTTCTCTTATGTTATGGTATAAACAAATGTATTATCAATTCAGTAACAATCAAACTCATGTATATAGCCGACATAGTTAACCAGGAGGATGTGCATTGTGTATTTTTACAACTCTATGGAAACGACCACATGTAAAAATCTAATTTCTAAAGAGTAAGACTACATGTAGGAACCAGACAATTTATAGTGAAAACCACTCCAATAGATTAACCTTAATAATAATAGTATTACTAATGTGGTACTTATATAGCGCTTTATACCAAAGGTCTCAAAGCACTTCACAATTATTACCCCTGTTCATCAGGCCATGAGACCACTTTTTGCAGCAGTTTGAGATCAGCGCATACTTGTCTGTACCCTCACAGGTACCCATTTATACTCCTGGGTGGAGAAAGGCAATTGTAGTAAAGTGTCTTGCCCAAGAACACAAGCATCAGCGCAATCTGGCCTCTACCCTCACAGGTACCCATTTATACTCCTGGGTGGAGAGAGGCAATTGTAGTAAGTGTCTTGCCCAAGAACACAAGCATCAGCGCAATCTGGCCTCTACCCTCACAGGTACCCATTTATACTCCTGGGTGGAGAGAGGCAATTGTAGTAAGTGTCTTGCCCAAGAACACAAGCATCAGCGCAATCTGGCCTCTACCCTCACAGGTACCCATTTATACTCCTGGGTGGAGAGAGGCAATTGTAGTAAGTGTCTTGCCCAAGAACACAAGCATCAGCGCAATCTGGCCTCTACCCTCACAGGTACCCATTTATACTCCCGGGTGGAGAGAGGCAATTGTAGTAAGTGTCTTGCCCAAGAACACAAGCATCAGCGCAATCTGGTCTCTACCCTCACAGGTACCCATTTATACTCCTGGGTGGAGAGAGGCAATTGTAGTAAGTGTCTTGCCCAAGAACACAAGCATCAGCGCAATCTGGCCTCTACCCTCACAGGTACCCATTTATACTCCTGGGTAGAGAGAGGCAATTGTAGTAAAGTGTCTTGCCCAAGAACACAAGCATCAGTGCAATCTGGCCTCTACCCTCACAGGTACCCATTTATACTCCTGGGTGGAGAGAGGCAATTGTAGTAAGTGTCTTGCCCAAGAACACAAGCATCAGCGCAATCTGGTCTCTACCCTCACAGGTACCCATTTATACTCCTGGGTGGAGAGAGGCAATTGTAGTAAGTGTCTTGCCCAAGAACACAAGCATCAGCGCAATCTGGTCTCTACCCTCACAGGTACCCATTTATACTCCTGGGTGGAGAGAGGCAATTGTAGTAAGTGTCTTGCCCAAGAACACAAGCATCAGTGCAATCTGGTCTCTACCCTCACAGGTACCCATTTATACTCCTGGGTGGAGAGAGGCAATTGTAGTAAGTGTCTTGCCCAAGAACACAAGCATCAGCGCAATCTGGTCTCTACCCTCACAGGTACCCATTTATACTCATGGGTGGAGAGAGGCAATTGTAGTAAGTGTCTTGCCCAAGAACACAAGCATCAGCGCAATCTGGCCTCTACCCTCACAGGTACCCATTTATACTCCCGGGTGGAGAGAGGCAATTGTAGTAAGTGTCTTGCCCAAGAACACAAGCATCAGCGCAATCTGGCCTCTACCCTCACAGGTACCCATTTATACTCCTGGGTGGAGAGAGGCAATTGTAGTAAGTGTCTTGCCCAAGAACACAAGCATCAGCGCAATCTGGCCTCTACCCTCACAGGTACGCATTTATACTCCTGGGTGGAGAGAGGCAATTGTAGTAAGTGTCTTGCCCAAGAACACAAGCATCAGCGCAATCTGGCCTCTACCCTCACAGGTACCCATTTATACTCATGGGTGGAGAGAGGCAATTGTAGTAAGTGTCTTGCCTAAGAACACAAGCAACATGTTCCCCGTAGGGGTTCGAACCCACGTAGCACGGCATGTGAGTCGAACACAATTGGACCACAGCACTCCACAACGCTCCTTAACGACCCCCAACCCTTCAAAATCCAACAGCATGTTTTGCTGGATTCTGTTGGAGTGAGTACTGCACTAGTAAACTGATGGGGTTACTTTACATGGGGAATTAGGCATACCACCATAATCAGAGTCCAACAGTTTGGGTGTTGAGTTCACGATAATTTTGGTTTTGGATTTTGCAAGAGTGAGGAAGGTTCCTAGTAAATCACTCAAGGGGGTTAGGGTTAAACCAGTGAAAACTTGATCTATTTGATTAACTGAGTTTCACTCTAAAATGCGTGGTGCCTAGGTTCAGTCCGTGGAAGTGAATTTCATCCTAACAGAGTGAACTCTCGCTCTTTAAATAAAAGAGAGCATATCAACTTTTTTTTTATACATTATTGAAATAGAACTGAAGTCTGAATAGATAAGAGAATGCTGACTAACTTTCCGTTTGTACCTATGAATTAAAGCAATGGTTTTGCCATTGATTATTTGTTGTTGTTTTTATTGAAATCTGTTATTATTTTTTTCTTTTAGCTTCCACTATATTCTTAAACATCATTTTGCAGATCATTTGTTGAAATACTGGTAAATTTTGTAATATTTTATGTAATTATATTGTATTAGTTCAGATAAAATTAACTTTATATTCAACATTTAGAGCGATCTGCAGTTATGCAAATCATGTTCTAAGTCATTTTTGCCCAAGAAAATTACATGCATTCTTTAAATGCAGTATTTGTATATTCTGGTATTGTTTTGTCAAATGCTTTACCAATTTAGTGCAGAAAAGTATGAATATTCATGATCAACTAAAAATTCCATGTGCTTTTAGGTGACCAGTATGTAAATATGCGACAAATGATGGGAATAAATAAGTAAATGAAGGAAATATATTTATGATTCTACTGTAATAATACATGGTTCATAGGTTGTCCAGATGTAATTGTAGAAACAAATATTATGCAGGTTCTCATAGACCTTGGCGTTTCGTGGTAAAAGATGAATGAAGACCGCGGTATTCAACAAGACACCGAAAATGTATCACGTTTCGCGCCCGCTGCAGGCTCACGTTGCATGTTATGTCTAGGTATAGAGCATAGACTCGGGGACCAGGAGCAGATTCAACTCTGGCTCAAGGGGGCGGGAGGGCCTTAGCTTTGGGGGAGGCATGTGCTACTGTTTTCTGCATGATTTTCCTTTTTTTGCGGCCCAAGGGGAGGGTGGAGAGACCCCCTTATCCCTCGGTAGATCCACTACTGTGGTCACAGGTCACAGTGAGACAAGATCTATGGTCGGGTGGTGGGAACGAGGACATTATTGCAAAAAAAAAAAAAAATGGAAGAAAATTGGCGCCAATCCCCACCCACTCTCCGCCCCCATACCTAGTACTCCCGTGGGTGCCCTCAACTACAGTGGAGTCGGCACCATGCCAACATGGTTAACACAATGCATTATTGTTTTTTTACACGTCCTTGTGTTACTTTTGCTGAAAAAAAACAACTTATCATATTCAGCCCAATTTGATACTATCACACACAGCATGCGACCCTCGCTGATATGAAAAAGTAATTAATATCGTTTGTGCAATGAACCTTGCAGTTATGGCTCCTGAATCATTGGGATTAATGGTACCTACGTCCCAGGGTGACAATAAACTTGCTACTGGTCGGCCATTGTGTGTTGGATAAGCGTTGCACATCTGCAGACGCCTGCAACGTCATGGTGACTCTAACCTAGTTTTGAAGTTACGGGTTGGACTGTACCGTTTAAACACTCTGGTGACGAATATCCCTGCCGCGCGTGGCTGCGCCCTGATTTGATAAAGTACGGAGAAGAGCCTTCCAACGACCTGTATTGAGTCTACGACATTGTCTGCTTATGAAAATTTATGAAAATGAGCCGCCTCGAACTCGTAAAATTTTACGATGAAATTAAGCGGGTCATTTTCGTCATGGAGATAATTCAGTCATGTGTAACGATGACCTTAGTGAACCAGACATAGCTGTCATTTTGTAGCCGTACCGGCACGGCACAACCCGCGTGGCAGAAAACCAGTCTGCACAAGCATGTGTGATCGCGCGCGCGTTGACAGTAGCTACAAAACTTTTGCCGTTTTTTCCCTTAGTATGACATGGACGCTAAAAGAGAATTGTTGAACTGCCGAAGCGGGAAGAAAGTTCCGACGTATTGGTATTTGTGCTTCTCACGATGCGTCTGATGGCTTAAACATTCCAGCCCTTTGTGCCTTGAGTTGGCGCCAAGCGGCGTTACGTCACCGTGAAGCATGACCAAGATTTTTCAGGTAATTATTCGCTTGCTACGAAGGCACTTGATGCTTCTTGGCATTTACAGAAAGTACTTGAAGCGATTCAGACGTTACGGATCTGCCGAGAATCTATGCGAGAAATCCAGTACAGAAGAGGACTTGATCTATTTGAATCAGAGGAAAAGACAGTACCATTCCGTGGGAGAAATCGACAGGGATTGGTACAAGACTCAACAGGTGGTATCGTACAGAAAGCTGGAAAGTATGCCTTGCGACACGGCAGACAACTGGGCGAGGTATGAGGGCCAGGACAACGCCATCATGGTGGCCAGAAGAGGGAGCGTTAACTCGGCTTTTGTGACCAACTCGCCCCAGTACCACCAAGCAGAGGACACAAATGGTAACTGTTTTATTAATGCTAGAAATGATAACTGGGACAACCGCGATTGCAACGCATGCGTTGGCCACTCGGACTTTAGCATCGACGGAGTGATAGGCAGTGGGGGTTTTGGGTCTGTGTTCCTGGGGAGGTACTGCGGCCGGCGTGTGGCCGTCAAGAGCGTCCGCCAAAGCTCCCGAAACAAGGAAGCAAGTCGGCAGAGCTTCCAGGCCGAATTCAACGCACTCTACCTGCGGCATGACAACATTGTCAGCGTGTTAGCCACCACGGCTTTCGAGGATTTTGACTCGGGAGCATTCATCATCATGGAATATGCGGGTAGGAGGAACCTCCAGCAAATAGTCAACGACCCTGGGAAAAGCCTGTCGCCCACGCGGCGCACGAAGTACGCACTGCACATCATCCGGGCACTGCATTACACACACTCCCAGGGTATCGCCCACTTAGACGTGAAACCAGCCAACGTTATCGTCGACAGCAACACTGACGTCTGCAGACTGGCCGACTTCGGCTGCTCGCAGAGGGTGAGTGAAGGGGAAGGTCATGACTCGTTCACCAGTCGGTCCTACCTGACGGGAACATTTGCCTACCGTGCACCGGAACTTCTCCGAGGGAGACCCCCAACGACTAAAGCCGACATTTACTCCTACGGGGTCACCCTCTGGCAGATGCTGACACGGGAAACGCCCTTTGCCGGTGAGAACCATCACGTTGTTATATTCGGGGTTGTGGCACAAAATCTAAGACCCAGCCTGCCGGAGAATGCTAACGACGCCTGGTATGAGAGCCTAGTCACGAGATGTTGGGAGGGACGCGTCGCTGATCGTCCATCAGCCGCCGAGATCCTGCTTGCCTTAGAAAGACGCACCGATGACACCGAAAACCTGCACGAGACCTGAAGAGACGCCATGGACGACTTGAGATGACGTCTACAAGTTGGTTCTAATTTGGGTGAATCAATTTCTACCTTTGTGTGAGCTATTCACAAGTGCCGATTTTATAAGGGTCGGGCTACTTGGTAGCCTTGACTGCAGCCTGGTGTTTCTACATACCAGTAAGAGCTTGGTATATTGAAAGAGAGACAGCAAAAGTGCAATCGTTCAAACATGGACACCTTTCTGTCGGCGAATATTCTATCCGCCTGGTTTTTAAGGTTTTATAAATTTTGTACATCGGATGACAAATTTTATTCTAGTGCTTTGTGGAGCCGTGCTATACCAAAACAATTACAATATTAACGTTTTCATATATGTTAGTTCTCTATTTTTCTATGAACACCATGACAACTTTGCATTTTATATATTACTTCCCGTTTTGGAAATTCAGTGAACGAGTTATCCGACTACACAATGCAATCAGTTTAACTTGCAGCTAAGATTCAAGTTGATGGCATAGTTTTATTATCGCCTTCAACTGGCTGCCTTCTGATTGGTCGAGTCAACACCTCGTGACCTTTGCGATTTTAAATTGTGTAAAGTCATACATCTGAGCAGATTTTTATTCTGGAATCGTTTCTATATTAAGAAGTCTTCAAGTAATAACAAATATTTTTGATACTCGTGTCTGTTGGGTGTTTTTTATCTTAAATTTGAAAAAAATATAAAAAAATACGTGTATTCTATTTATTGTTTTGTTATGTAATACTAGTGCAATAGTTGGTATTCGTATAGATGTACATAACTGTTAGATGTGAAGTATTAATTTTGTTAACTGCTTTACAGTTCCTCGTTTAAAAAGAGTGTTTTAGTGTGTACGTTGTCTTTTGTTTTAATAGTTTTCACAAGTTTAAATTCAGCTTTTCAATTGGTCTAAGTTTATACCAATCAAAATGTCTCTCATTGTCTAGAATTGTTTCTTCGTGATGCGAAGTGTCTTACGTAATAATGATGCGCCGATGTTCGTACACTTAGCTCATTTTCTTGGCAAAATCTATCCCGTTTTGGTATTTATTTCCACAACTTGGACCTTTTTATTTTTTCAGGTCTAAAACCAAGATTTTGAAGAAGTAAAGTGGCGTGGCTAATGTGCAATACAAACTTTGGACCCCAAAACCTTGAATTGTTTTTGTCTTCATGTAATTTCCAAGTTCAACATCAATGGCTGCCGTCTTCGTTCGGCCCAATATGTTTTTGGCAGAGACACCACTTGGCAGACATTGTCTGCATGTATAGGCACACAGTCGGCAATTTATTATTATTAGCTTCAACTCTGCAATAAAATATATGAAATTCTTGGCGGCTGTCCAACTTTTGACACGATAGCTAGACTCTATATGCGAGTGTTGTGGAAAAACCAAACGTATGGTTTACAGTGCCACGAAGACAAATCGATTTTTGATACATTTGTTAATTGTAAGGAGCATTATTTTCATTTGCTACACTGGACTTCGTGTGTCAACAGTCGTGTGTATTGAGTAAGCGTGCTTAACATCATCTGTTTGCGTAAAATGCATCAATTACTACTGAAAAAGTCGCACAAGAGAAACCATATCTTATTAATTCACTGATTGTCGTAAGCCTGTTAATAGTATGTTGACCATTGAGCCTAGTGATGGTGCAATAAATGAATTGTGGTGGCTATGAAAATGTGCCACCTACCTTGCCTTTTCGTTTCTGAAGATTATATAATGATAAATGTCAATGATGGATTTACTACTGTCGACAAATTGTCGATTTCATTCTTAAATTTATCATGCCAATCTAATTTTGGGGTTAAAAGTCCAACCATTACATTTTTTGAACTGAATTCGAACCCGCCATGATCCATTTCTCTTCATTTCGTGAAATCTGTCAATTGTTTACGTTATTTTTGTTTCGAACACTGTTTAGGTGATTTGATTGTATGTCCAGCTGTGTGATTTATTTTTGATGTGTGCTTTTATAATTTGTGTGTTGGTAAATAAATAAAGTAATTGTTAATTAAAATCAGAATCGTTAAATGCGTGTTATTTGTTAACGTGGCCATCCTACATTAATATCCTTCATTTTTTGCTTTAAATCTTGAACGATCTTTTAGTCCGATGATGTCAAAGCATAATATCGTGATTCGCATATAGGGACGGGCTGGGCTTGTAAGAAGTGCATAAAATATGTATATGATTATAATTTTGGAAGCCTATGGGGAGCAAGTTTGGGAAATTAAAATTTGAACTCTTCCATTTGTTGGGGATATAGAGAATGTACAAATTGTGGAAAAACTGTTGCAACCTGACGCAACTGTTTTTCTTTATCATCTCAATGATGAAGGTCATTCATTGCAAAAATGATCATGAAATTAAGACATGAATCTGGGATTGAGAAACATTTCAAATTTTGTTATAGGAAATACAACATTTTCTTGACTATCCATAGACTTTGTACACTACCGCGGAAGTGCCGTCAGGTTGCAACATTTTTGCCAAAACTTGTTCTTGTTGACCGCTCGGAGCAAAAAAGAAAAATATTTTACATGCAGTGATTTGAGTTCTATGTTTCGATGAGGTCTACAAAAGAAGACGGCAACCTGAGTCATAAAGTTCTATAAACTGCAAATAGAGAGAAACATTAATAAAGAGCACATTGCCCCTACATTCTAAATTTATTCAACAGAGCTACACCATTTCATGCAAATGTATCGATAAATGAAATGGGGGGGGGGGGGTAATTCGGACCTCAAAGTTTCCGCAAGCATGGCAAGGGATTTTAAATTGAACAACTTACTACAAAGCTGGTAGACATTATCAGACCTTTTTTTTTTAGGGTTCTCTATCCCACCTTTGTAAGCTCGTACATTGGAAAGAATGTTGCAGTCTGACGCCACTTTTTTTCATACATGTAAATCATCTCAATGAAGGTCAGTCATGGCAAAATGATAATAAGACATGAATCTGGGACTGAGAAACATTTCCAATTTTGTTAGGAAATATATATTTTTTTTTAAATCTTGACTCTCCATAGACTTTGAACACAACCGCTGAAGTGGCGTCAGGTTGAAACATACTTTCCCATACATTTTGGTGGAATTACGTCCGAAGATTTTTGTTGTTGTTTACTGCTTGAATGGATCATAAAGCAAGGAACTGAATGGATTAAAATGATTACAATGCACACACAATATGCATGTAGTTGTACGTATTATACGCGCGGCATGCGGCAGACGACATTTCCCTCTCTTGTGTCGTGTGGTCGCTCCACTCTAATGAAGGTGTTAGAAAATAATAAAAGTTAGAATTATTGTAATCTTGGATACTAAAAATCACAGATACTTCAATAAAATATGGATACAGATTAACTATTATTATTTATAATAGGTTTCAGTATCATCTTGTCGAATAAAATGTCCAACAGAAACGCTACCGTCTTTCCACTCTTTCTTTACAAATAAGTGTACCTTTTTACAAAAATGGAATAGTCTAAAAAGTCCCACAATGCATTGTTCAAAATAAGAGAAACTTTTCAAGATGGACGTGATGATGGTTGGAATTCTTGCGCTTGCTATGTTGCCAAATCGTTAGAATTTCCCGTATTTAACGTGATAATTGTCAGATATTTCCCGTGAACCTTTCGTGGAAATGTTTTAGCTAAATATATTAGTTTGATATTCTTCATTTGGTCCTTCAGAAGGTAAGTTGATAAAAGTTTTAGGACTATGATTTTCAGGAAGAACTTGCTTGTTCACTGATGACATATGGATGTTGTTTCTTGGTGTTTAAGTGTCTTGCTTGATAAAAAAAAAAAGTTGCAACCTGTCGCCACTTTTTTTCATCTCAATGAAGGTCATTCATTGCAAAAATGATAGAAAGAATGTTGCATCCTGACGCTAGGGCCCTAGGTACTAGTCTAGGCCTAGGTCCCCGACCCTGGAAAAATTTGTTTTTATGATGTAGCCTAATTTATTGTAAAGAAATGTAAAAGTGGTGGGAAAAAAACTTTCTGTTAAAAACAAAACAATTAAAACGCCGTATTGAGTTCTGCTACATGCTGATCGAATTCTCCCACACAGTGACCGCTCGTTCAAAAGGTCAAAGGTCATACATCGTGACCATCAACACTGACCAGGTAAGTTCTGAAATAAATATAAAAGAGTGCTTATGTTTGATGTTTCCATTTGGAGTTTGAGTTTCTTCCCCATATTTTAAAATAGAATGGACCAATTAAGTTTCCCTTATCTGATCGAGTACTCCCCCAAGTACTCCTACTTTCGAAACAGAAAAAAAAAAAATTTGGCTTTAAACTGTGTAAGTAAGGAATATGTTGACAAAGTCTTTAACATGTTTAAGAGAGATTTGTAGGCGAATGTGTGGCCAACTAGTGAATATTACATGTCACTGCATGTTGAAGAAGCCCTCAAGTTGCTCAACCGATGCGTGACATGTACAAATTCACTAAGTTGGCCACACATTCGCCTACACTACAGCATGTACAGACATGACAGAACACAGTACAAGTACAATTTTATCTCTCTAACTCTAAGTTAAAGACTTCATGACTTTATCAACATTTTCTTACAGTTCTCACAAGTCACATGAAAGTATACTCTCTGAGGTACAAGATTAGCAAAACAAAAAGTCTTTTTTTTCGGTTTGGAAAGTAGCGTCCGGTTGCAACATTTTTTCCAAAATGATAATAAGACGTGAATCTGGGACTGAGAAACATTTCCAATTTTGTTAGACACATGTATGAAAATACTTTGAAAAAGCACTCGATTCTCCATAGAATTTAATTATACACAAGGAAAGAAAGAAGTGGTGTCTGGATGTTACATTTTTTTCTGAGTTTCTCAGTTTTGATAAAAGAACCTGTTTTAAAGATAGTAATAAGAGTTTGATAGGCCTAGGTATGCCTAAAAAAATAACATCATGAACGTTAATTATTTCTTCATTTTTTTCCCACCATAGATACATGTAAGGAAGAAATTTGCATTGCTGGAGACCTGATATTTAAGTGTTTTAAAACAAAATGCCGGTCAAGTTGGAAACGACAGATCAAGAGGTAGGTTATACTGTAATATATTTCTTGCAGACTTTTTGTTGCTCAGTGTTGATTCTGTTTGTAGTGACGGCCTCCTTCATTAACTAGTGCACAAAGTTCATAAGATCATAAGCATGCTTTGCTTTCCTCCATCTGCTAAGCTGTGCAGCCTTTCTCTGAGTCCTTTTAAACATTTACATTATCAACAAAGAATAAGGCCGAGTAAAAATATTAATAGTTTCTTGTCCAGGCTTTTTGAAAAACGCAGTGGCTATTGTTACGGCAGCCGTAACGCATTTCCCATTTTTTATCGTTACGGTAGACTGCAACCTGGCAACTTTTATAAAAAAACATGACAAGAAAATATAAAATTAGAAGGAAAAAAGTGAATTTGAACTTTATGAAATTCGGACTTTATTTCCCTTTTAAAAAAAATCCTCCAAAGCCTCAGGTTAGAAAAGGAAAACAATTCGAGTGCAAAACTGAGATTCGAACCCGCAACCTCGCGGTGCAAAATCCTACCCTCTATCGGCTGAGCTGGCGCACTGCTCGATAAAACGTGGGGAAACAAATAATTATATACCTGCGTGCGTATCAAAAAAATATCGTAGAGGGCGCTAAACAACGAGTGCCGTAACGATAGCCACTTCGTTTGAAAAAAAGATGGAGGTGGGCGCTTTTTCTTTCTTCTTTTCCCACAAGTTGGCGGATTTTCTAAGATGACGAATGCATTCTTTCATCTTCTTGACTCTTTTGATGATACAATATTGTGTCCAAAGGAGCCGGAACCCTTCCTACGTGTACAAAGCTACAATTTTGTTGGAAAATAAAGCCAATATTTTGACAAGCTATTGTCAAAATATAGGCATATTCCAAATATTTATGTAGTGTGAATTAAAAAAAAAAGAGGAGGCAGGCGGGGAAAAGTGAAAGTGAGTGTGATCATGACGAGAAACTGGTTTTTTTTTAATACTTGCCCTTAAGTATCAACAAATCAAGTACATGTATATCCACAGAAAAAAATTAAACAGTCACATATTGTAGGTCTAGTATTAGTTTGAACTACAAAACTATCATCGTTTTTCCTTTTTTTTTTTTTTTTTTTGTAAGTTGGAGAATGTCTTGATGAGAAAGACACATGGGCAGCCCTACTTCAATGACATCAGGGACTTCCTTCAAGAAGGTGAGAAGTGCCCAGTACCACAACGATGCAGCGTGGAGATGATGAAGAAGATTGCAGCGGTGCTACAAGAGGTTTAGACATTTGTGAAATTTTACTGAACTTGAATTTTTATCTCAATTTCCTATCTACATTTAGTAAAAAGTACAGCTTTTGTTTGTCAATAAGACTGCCAAGTGTTGCATATTATTTGTGTCAAACGATATTGTTTGTATTAAGTACAAATGTGTTTCCTTTTAACATGTGTATTGCTCCATATTCCATATAAACCTGGTTTGGTGCATCACATCCCTATTTATTGTTGCTTACTAAGGCCCAAAAAAGTCGGTCTCTGGTCAGCGCCCGCGTCGATTTTAATCATGCGCGTCAATCTTTTTTTTTTCCAAAATGTTCCACGGTAGCTCCAACAGCGCCCTCTATTGCCGCACCTCCACAATTTTTTATTACCAAAGAGCACCAAGGGATGGGAAATTGCACCAAGGCAAATGATCGAGAGCACCAAGGCAAATTATGGAGGACACCAAAAAAGCAAAATAGTATCCCACCTTGTCCGTACAATCCAAGCTTGAAGAAACAAAAGAAAGCCAAAAAAAAAAAAAAAAGCCGCGTCAATTCCGGAACTTTGGTCTGACCAGAGACCGAATATTTTTTTTTTTTGGCCTAAGGGAAGAAATAATGTGCTTGGCCTGTTTTAAACAAGTTTGTTATGTTTGGGGCCTGGACGCTGATAATGACCCGAGCCGAAATACCATTGGGTCAAAAATTCAAATGATTTTGTCAAACAATTTTACTTGAAACACTCCTCTAGCTATGTTATGGTATGTGCCTCTTGTGAGCAGTTCTAACAATCTCCTTATTTGGAGATGACGCATGCCTGGCCCGTACTGGATTATGTGGCACAGAACATGGCAGTGCTTTTCTAGTGTGAATTTAGGGCTCTGAAATACGGACTCTTTGGTAGTGCCCAAGTGTCAGTGAAGAGTCCAAATTTCATGTGACACCTGAAAAGTGTTAAAAATCAGCCAGCCGGTGTTTTATCAACTTATTAAAGCCGTCGACCAATAGTAATAGGTAAACTGTCTGAGGTATTTCTGAATTTGCTTAAGTTCCACAAACAGAGCTTCTAATTGTTTAAAAGTATCGGATTAACAATTTTCCCCCTTGCCACTTGATCAGGAGCTTGGAAAGAAGCAGTTCCGAGACGCTAGTGCCATAGTCTCAGCAATCCAGTATGCCGCACGCTTCCAAGATAATCCCTTAGGGCTCCCCGTACTCCTGGCAAATGGTTTGATTGATCTCCTTGGTGAGTAGTCAGATATTCAGCTGTCTCATAATGTTGATTTTTGGGGGGCAGGTTAAGTGGTATCATCCTATACTTCCCAGTGTTGTTTGGGTGCCATTGTTTTTTGCCATTCGCTTACACATTTCTAATCTAATTTCTGCTTCAGCTGCAGAAACTACAGCCGTCGTTAAGTTAACCAGTTGGCGCCGGGATTATTTTGGATTGTTTTCACAAACCTCGATTCCAAATTGGTTCAGGCCGTCATCTGCGGGTAGCGCACCCTGATATTTACGGCCTCGCTTGCCGTGAGCGGGTCGCAGACAAATATTTCCGGCCTCGCTTGTTTATCCGTCATCCATTCCGAATACTGAAAAACCTTTTTCGTGTATACACGTTATCCGACGTGAACTGGTTCATTCTGTTATCAAGATGTAATGTGATGGGCAGATTATTGTTGTATTTCATTATAGCCTATGCGTTTGATCAGACCGGGAAGTTTGTAGCCCACTCGGATTGCTCTGAAGATTGTCCAGCAGCAGACTCACTCATGGAGGTGATTCTACTGACAGTCAATGTAAGTAAAGGGTAACTTGCATTCTTAACCCTACCGATCCCCAACCAGCCAAACTCCAACATCAGGGTTTGTTGGAATCTGTTTGGATGAGTACTGCACTAGTAAACTGACTGTGCTTTACATGGGATAAGGCATACCACAAACCAACTGTTTGTGTGCACAGTTTACCATATGGTGTTGGGATTTGCAAGGATGAGGGAGGTTCCTAGTAAATCACCTTGGGGAGTTAAGGTTAAGAAAGAATCATCCTACATCATCTTATCTTTTTTTGTCTTCCAGTACTAGGAAATCCTGAGAATCAAATTAGGTTTTGCCCTTCACTGACGTATAAACACTGTTTACTCAGTGTGTTACCTCCCGAGTGAAAGTTGGAAAAATCACTCGGGTGGGACTCGAACCCACGACCTCCTGTTTTTTCCAACTTTCACTCGGGAGGTAACACACCGAGTATACAGTGTTTATTCGTCGGTGAAGGGCAAAAACCTAATTTGATTTACATCACCCCCGAGGCAAAAATCCCACCTGATTAAATCCTGCGAAGTACTGAAACGTTCATCAAGTGCTCTTTGAATGTTTGCATCCTGAAAGTTAATTCCTCTTTTGTTTCCACGTTGTAATTTTGTCAGGATGTTGCAGATTTCAATGAGGATGCTAAGAAGGAAGCAGTTGGTATGTTCACGGGGATGCTCATGCTGTTTGTTGTCCACAAGGAGAAAAAGTTTCATTTGCGCATGGAGGTAAGTGCACAGAGTCACATTTCATTCTTGACTGTTTTTTTTTTATCATGATAAGTAGTTATTAGCCCTTTTATGGGTTCTAAAGACAAAGTTCACAGAATACATTGATACTTCGATAGAGAATTAGCTTTGATGTCAAATTTCACAATTGTGCCCCTTCTCATAATTTTCAAGCAACTGTACGTCAAGATGTGCAGCAGTAAGTAAAGCTTTTGCCAAGCCACTGTCATTGTATGAATTTCTCCATATTTATGATTAATCTCTGATATAGCACCACTTGGACCACTTAGGCGCTCATCTCCTGACAACATAGGCTGAATGGGTTGTAGCAATGCACCAATATGCGTTTTATCAGTTAACTTTGTCAACAAAACATATTACATGTACATAGTTATATAATATTGGTTGGCTTTGAGGTGGATACAAGAATATATTGCCCGAGCTATGACAATATTGCATAGCGAGTGCAATATATTCTTGTATACCCCGAAATAAAGCCATCCAATATTATTATTATTTATATCTGTCTGGTTTGATCCACAAGAAATACAGTTCAAGACACTGTCCTCATTTCATCTTTTTCGTCAAACTATTCGAAGCTGCCACTGTAATATTGTTGACAACAGTGCGCGTATACCTGGCCTTCTGTGCGCTGCATGCGCGCAGCGTTTTCCGTGTTCGATTGGTACGCGCGCGCGCTACGCTCTGTTAAGTGGTTGACAACTGTGACTTTCTATGCTCTTGATCGTGCGGGAACCAGCAAAAATGCCCGCATGACTGCAATAATAATATTATTGCAATAATAATATTACTGCAATAATAATATTATTGCAGTCAACCGGGTACCGTAATATTGCAGTCATCCAGGTACTTTTTATGAAAGCATACAATACGCTGATTTACTTTTACCGCTGGAAGCCTGATATAAGTAATAATGTGAATTATTATTTGTATCAGGCTTCCAGTGGAAAAAAAATATCAGCATATTCGTAAAAAGCACCCAGATGACTGCAATATTATCTCAATTAAGTACCCATATGACTGCAACATTATTGATATTGCAGTCATCTGGGCATTTTCGCTGGTTACCGAAAAATCCAGAGCAAAAAAAAAAAAAGTAACAGTCAACTAGTCAACAGAGTGTAGTTTTCAGCATTAGAAGGGTATACGCGCACTGTAAGAAAGCTTTGAGTGGCGCGATAATTCAACAAAATTTGAGAAACAAAGGCAGTGTCCTGAAATTTATTTCTTGCGGATCAAGCTAGTCAGCCTAATATGAATAATAATAACAATAATGTTGGATGGCTTTTTTGGGGAGGGGTATACAAGCATATATTGCATTCGCTATAACAATATTGCATGAGTCGAAGATTTATAGCTCGTGCAATATATTCTTGTCTCCCCCTCAAAAGCCATCCAATATTATATAATTGTTGATTTATTGTCTTTTTTGGATGAAGGCAATCCGCACCCTGAATCTACTCTTGGAAGGGTGTGGGGATGAGGTCATCAAGGTGATCCGGGATTTTCCACCAAGTCTGAAACAGATGTAAGACCAAGCCCCTTCTCCATTTCAAACATGCCAAAATTAAAATCACATGAGGATAGTGATTTAATTATCAGTAACCATTCAGAATCTCCAATCATTTAGGTCTGCGCACAAATTTGGGTTCCTTGTGTTTCTTTGACTTATTTATTTTCACAATTACAGTACAAATGTCAGTGGTGTAACTTTGTGTTGGCGAGAGGGTGGGGGATGGGGGATGACCAATAATGCTGAATGATAATAACTTAGCTGTTGAAATTCAAAAAAGCAAGGGGGAGGGACCTTTTAATCACATGTGACGCAAGGGGGGGGGGGGGTTTCCAGATATAAATGCACATCTTATGCAAACATGTGTATTACGTCCCCAAATCTTTCGTTCTTTCATCAGAACGGTGCATTTAAAGCTTTTCTAATGTATGTTCTCTGTTTTTCATAACTATATAATTCATTTGGACTGTTGCAAAATTAAATGAAAATATTTTTCTTTTTTTGTCACCACATTAATCTGGGGTAGAAGGGATGATCCAGTGGCCCATCCCTGTTAAAAATGACGGGGATATCCCCCCCCCCCCCTTCCTGGGATTTACGCCTTTGACAAGTGTTATTATATGATTTGCAATGTCCATTTTCCCCAGGAGTTTGATGGCGGATCTGCTGACCACTGCCGGTGACATTGAGATGCAAATAGCTTGCACTGAAACCCTGGCCAGACTGGTCAAGCGATCGGACAAGGACAACTACAATCTGATTCAAGACTGGTTCTGTGACCAAGACTTTGCCGCAGGTTTCATGAAGATCAAAGATGATACATTTGAAACGGTACTTGGATTGATTTCTCTTTTTCAGCAGGTTTTGCCAAGATAATTGTCATTCTACTGGATTTTGGAGAATGTCTTATAACTGATAACACTATGACTGTTGCACCTGGTGTTAAATAGCAACACCAGTGTTTAAATGGGAATAGTATTCTAGGCATATTGGAATTTTTTTTAATGCCAACTGGAGCTTATACTCGCAATACACCCTCGTTTTCAAACATACCGGCCCGGTAACTTACTACGTTCTCATAAATGGACTTCTCCTGGGACAATTTTGTGAAAAAAAATCTCATCATGCAATGTGCTTCTCTTTATTCGACAGGACTGTCGCAAATTCCTGAACAACATGAATGATAATCTTGGAAGCAAACAGAGGTTTGTATTAATGCCATTTTCAGCTCCAATCAATGTCGCATTTTTAAAAAACATTTTCAAAGTAGGTTAAGAAGCATATTGAGTCAAGCCTGAAAATGACTTCATTTACTAGTATGATGACATTTTTAGCTAAAAAATATATACCTGAAGTGTTTTCTCGTTACATCCTGTTTTGTGAGCCATTCTTTAATGTTTAAATTCTTATTTTCCTTTTCTGTGTGCAGTGTGTTCTCTTTTCCCTGCATCAGTGCACATCTGGGCTCCTTGAAGGTTGTAAATAATTTTTTTCTTTCTTTTTGTTATAAAGGATTTGACATAGTACTAAGCATTTATACTGTGTAACACCGTAATGAAAAGATTGCATTAAATTGCAACCTTGGTCACGACTCCGTTTTCGTCCTCAAGTTCACCCTATCCCTTGGGGGAACGTTGGCTCCATGAAAAAAACACTCCAATGTGATCTGTTTTCAGCTTTCTGGTATGCCTTGGAGAAGAAAATGTTTGCTAGAATATCGCTTTCCCATCATGTCTTTGGTGTAGACCCTTCTGTTCTTTCCTTCCACAGTTTCTAACAGGACATTGACAAAAAAATGTGCCACAACTCAAATTTGGTCTTCTTTGTTCTTATATCAGACTTGCAACTTTTCCTCGGATCTGCCGATTTCCTTGGTTTTTTTTACTTCTAATGAATGCCATTACAAATTGAAAAACACTGTACAAAGTCTTGTGTGGTTTGGTGTTTCTTCATTTTTTTGGGTCTAAATTCCCAGTTGCATGCCTGTTATATGCACTTGATGTTTATATTTTGTATTTTTCCCCCATTTTGCAGCTGAGTTGCCCCACGGATGTTAACCTGAAGGATTTCTGGGTTGACTTCAACACAGTCAGCCAGAGAATCACCCTGTATGTGGCTGACGAACCACAAGAGGAGAATGACGTAAGGATGCATTCATCATTCATTTGCAGCTTGAATGTGTGCTGAATACAGGCATTGGCCCCTGGTCTTTGCCTTATTCAAGTATCTTGAGTTGATTTGAAATTTAGTCAATCACAAGTCAAGCACAAGTTATCACAAGTCAATCACAAGTAATCACAAGTAATCACAAGTCAATCACAAGTTATCACAAGTCAATCACAAGTAATCACAAGTAATCGGAAGTCAATCGCAAGTGGTTACAAGTCAATCGCAAGTGGTTACAAGCCAATCACAAGTGGTTACAAGCCAATCACAAGTGATCAAAAGTCAATCACAAGTCAATCTCACGGCAAATCACAGTGCAAATCACTAGTCCAATCTCGTGTGAAATCTTAAGTTAAAACTAAACAGACATTAAATTATTCCAAAGGAACGATTTTGCCAAAATCCTTCGAATATCATTTTACTTGACTTGATGACTGGTGATCACCTATTTACAAGGCTACCCTTGAACAGGATGAAGTGTCCTCATGATGCTTTCCAACAGAAAGATATTTATATCAAGATGATATCAACCTGCCCCCACAAGAATGAAATTCAGCTGTTGGGAGTCAGGTTGGCGTAGCGGTACTTTCCTCGCCTTCCACCACTGTGACCCGTGTTCGAATCCCGCCCAGGCCAATATGTGGATTGGGTTTTCAGTCCCTACCTGATTCCGTGGGTTTTCCCCAGAATATTCCTCTGGGCTTTTCCTCCCACCTCTAAAACTGTAATTTCTTCTCATTGTCTCCTCTCTACAGGTTTCTTCAGGCTTTCGGGCTACAGTGCCTAGGGCACTTTTGAGGGATCCTTGGTTTCATTACCAGAAAGAAATAAAATAAAATAAATAAAAATATGTCACTCTGTTTACTTTGCCTGGAATTGTAATTGTCTTGGGGTACATGTATGTCATTACAGGAAGGTGGCATGTGGGAGACTGTTACAATTCACAACAGAGTAGTGGAGAAGTTTCGTCTGTCAGGTATGTGTCTTTACAACTGAGTCTGAATCGAACAATTGAATGACCCCCTTCCCCCCCCCCCCAAGAAAATATGTGATGCGATCAAGCTAAGTGAGTCATTTGTCGACCCTGGTCAAAAACATTTTTATTACAGATTTGAAAAGAACACAATCTCAGCATTACTGCTGTGAAAACCGCATGCTTGTACCATCTTTAGTTCAAAAATTATGGAAGTCGGAACACCAAGAGATGTGATGAAGTGATGTGATGAAGTGGCCCTCAGTTTGGCCTGTATCTCCAAATCAAAATTCCCGACAAACGACTCGTGTAGCTTGATCGCATCACATATTCTTGCTGAGCTTGATGCGCACTGGACTGGGGCATGGCAATGCTCTGTTGCTGTCCATGAGGGTAATGTCTATTGGATGAAAGTTGGGCCGAAACACTAATGTGCACAAATGCACGATCACTGCACATGTCATAACCCAAACTTATTGTGTAATATAGTTTGTCTAGACAGCTGCATGATGGGCCTTTCTGTGTTCGGTCATGTTTATAAACGAGATGTGCCTCTTATAAGATGGAATTTTGCGTCGGGGTAATATAAATCAAATTAGGTTTTGCCCTTCACCAACGTTTGTGCCTCGTTTTTAGTAAGCTCTAGTTTTTGTTCAATCGTCTAGTTGGTTTAGTTTTCAGGTTGCTGTCCATGATCCTGTAGAGCTGTAATGATATAGAATCATATCCTGTTTTATTTCAGAGAGGGGGGATCAACAGGCCTTGTTAATCAACCTGAACATACCAGCCTCGGAGCTTCTAGGCTTCTGCCACTCCGATGACAAATACGTACAGATTCTCTTTGATGCCAAGCTGGGTATCTTAAATACCACCGTCGCTGTCTTTGGTCAAGACAAGATGGGGCATTCTAAGGTATGGTTGCATTATAGTGCTATATTGGTGAATTGAGCCTTGTTTTACTGTATGCAGTGAAGTCTAGTAGGCTTTTTAATAATAATACTAATATTGTGTAATTATAAAGCGCACGTATCCACCAGAATTGGTGCTCAAGGCGCTACATCATTATTACCCTGCTCACTGGGCCAATGAAACATTCATCTCAGCTCCCTGGGGAGTATACAGCTCAATGCTGCCATTTCGGCGCAAAGCATGCAGCTAACATCATCAACCGCAATAATCATCTCTGCCCTCACAGGTACGTGTACCCATTTACTCCTGGGTGGGGAGAAGCAATGAGTGACAAAGTGCCTTGCCCAAGGGCACACTCACAATAGCTGCAGGCTGGACTCGAACCCACAACCTGCAGAATTCTGTTTGTACAAACCGTCGGGTGTACCATGTAGTGACAAATCGTCCATAGACTTTCTACACATGATTGGTCAAGAAGTATCACCTTGTTTCCTTACTTTCTTGATTGAATCAGCACAAGACTTCAGTGAGCCAGATCAACATTCAGGTGCACATCGATGGAAACAGCAGCAGCCCTGGTCCTCCCAGGAACATCCGGTCAGCTGATGAGAGCAGTGACTGTGTCTCCATACAGAGTGCTAATATCTACGGTCTGGGTGGGGATAATGACGAACCACCGGGGCAGAAGGTATGTGCACAATCACTGTCCTAATTTAAGGGATCTTGAAAAGTTTGATATGAAAGTGAGTCACTTGTGGTTTGATCTTCCGACTTTTTGATTATTATTATTATTATTATTGTTATTATTTATTTGTATTAATATTTATTTATTTGACCTCAACATTGCAAATTAAAAAAATATATAGATAAGAAGGATCCAAAAAAATACAAATCAAATAACATAAAAACAAATAATGTTATTATTTATTTGACCTCAACAGTGCAAATACAAAAAAATATACAAGACAAATCAAAAAACTTAAAATACAAATCAAATAATATAGAAATGAATAACTTTCCACAAAATTCAGACAAACTGGCTATGTGCAATATAGACGATGACAAGAGGGCAACTGGACGGATATGAAAGACAGCGGTAATATGATACAGAAAAAAAACTTAGGGAACCAATGTTAGCCATTTGGTTTGGTACTCATGGAATCAAGTTCAGCTGTGATTATAACCCGAAGAGTTTAGAAGATGTGCTTATGAAACTAGGTTTTGCCCTTCACCGACGTTTAAACACTGTATACTCAGTGTGTTACCTCCCGAGTGAAAGTTGGAAAAATCACTCGGGTGGGACTCGAACCCACGACCTCCTGCTTTCCAGTGCAGATGTCTTACCACTCGACCACTGAGCTATCGGACTCGGTTGGCTGGTTCGAATCTACTGTATATAGCAGCGGGTACCGCATAAACTATTCATAAGAGAGAAGGAACTAAAAATACAGAAAATCAAATAACACCCAAATGAACAACATTCTCATAGGAGATGTGCTTAGTTGTTATCCTTATCCTTTCCAAACTCTACAAAATGTGAATCAAAACCACCACCCCCCCCCCCCCCCCCCCCCCCCCCCCCCCCACTCCTACAAAAAAAGTAGGCTGGTGAGAATTGTAGTAAATAAAACGTATGATGTTTTTGAAATTTCAGACATCCAGATCTGAAGTACCAACTAAGCGTAAGGTTTCAGTTGCGCACAGTCCAATGTGGACTCCAACCATGGCCAAGAGGATGGCTGCCCAGGGTTCCTCTGTATGTAGTGGCTCCAGATCAGCGTCATCATTAGCATCTCACAAATCAGGGGTTTCTGTCAAGCCACTGCACAAAAAATCAGGTAAAAGATCAAGTTATGTCTTTGGAGTCCATAGATGTGAGGCGTTCTGGCGAAATGAGACAGGACTGGGCAAAGGTTGAAATGAGAAGTTCCAGGTTTTGGGAAAGAGAATACATTTCTACTTACAATACTGTGTGTTGCACTTCAATCGGACATTCCGTTGACAAGTTACGCTGTTTAAAGTTCGCATTTTTGGACATCTCAAAAAAAGTAAAATACTAAGGAAAAGGCCTTTAAAGTTTTGGGGTTTGTGTTTGCGAAAATGAAAGATGCCAATTGGTTTTTTTCATTAAAAACGCTGTTATTCCACGATTTTTATACTATTTCTTTCAAATGTGTGGCAGACGTATAACATTATTAATAAATATCAATAAATCTGAAAATCAAAACATAACTCTCCCATGTTTCGTTTTTTTACATTTTTCTGTGCCCAGTTCTGTCTCATTTTGCCAGAATGCCTCAAACACATGTCAAATTCTTGTACCTTTAGGCCAAAAAAAAAAAGTCTCCGGTTTCTGGTATGCGCGCGCGTCGCCGTAGCCATGCGCGTCGGCAAAATGAAAAAGTTTTTTTTTCAATGAAAGATGATGTCTCAAAACCGCCAAACTCACTGGTTTGACTGGAATCCTGCTGATGCACAATTTTAACGTGTTTTTAGATGGGGTAATGATCGAGAATAAGCTTTATGTGGCCTCTCTGGACTCCCATACATTTGCACTAAGTTTAGTCGTGCACCATTTGCAGTCATAGCCCATTCAGCCGACATTTGAAGCAAAAAAGTCGGGTAAAAAAAACAAAAAGCCGCGTCGCCGCACCACTTTTTGGGCAAGCTCCATACCAGAAACCGGAGACTTTTTTTTTTGGCCTTAGCTTAGATTTTATGATTGATTTGTCATTAATTCTGATTGCCAAATTAAGTGTGCATTCAGATGAGATCAATGTGGCTTACTTGCAGATTTTACCCAACCAAAAACACCAGTCAGACCCAACTCGTCATCAACAAAGAGAGTCAAGACACCGCTCCAGATTGTCATCTCAGACAAAGCTACAGACAGCGCCAACGAGTCGGTTGCCAGTTGTCGATCCATTGGCAAGAAGTCATCCATATCATCTGGTATCAGCATTAGCTCCTGTGGCACCCCTACCAGGCTCCGACAGAAGCTCCAGCAAGAAGCTTCTAAGAAGCCTCATCTGATGGAGCTCTCTGGCTTCCAAGATGCTGAGCCAGACACAGGGAGCAGATCCGATCCTGGACCTGCTTCTAGTAAGAGCATCCCTCAGGCAGTGACACAAAATGGCTACCATGGTCAAAGCGATGGGCAAAGATCCGATCCAGGACCCGTTTCAAGCGGAGAGAGTCCACCTCAACAGAGACGACAGCTCAGGAATCGGATCAATAAAGCAGCTCCTCCAAAGGCCAGCAGTGCTATGAAGCATCAAGAGCCGCAAGGAAACAGTGTTGAACACCAGGGGGAGGAGCAAGTTTCTTCTGGAGGAGAAAAAGATTCCAAGACAAAGAAGCCCTCAAGGAAGTTCAGATTGTATAGCGACAATGGAGGTATGCTGATGGAGAACAAGCAAGGCGAGCAAGATGCTTTAGAAACAGGTAACGGGAAGGTTAATGAAATAAAATTTATCTCATAACTGCGGCTTCTTATTGAAAGTGTAGCAGGAAGCTTCAGCTTTGGCCTGAGTTTCATGTTGAGCTCACAGAATTGGCCAAGTCTAAGAGCAAGCCAATCAGTTTACGTTTAATGTATTTCTTTTCCAGATGTTGTGATCCCCAGCTCCATTCCCACACAGGAGAGTGTAGTGGACATTATTCCAGACTCACTTCCTCCCTCTGGACAGCTTCAGTCTAACATAACAGCAGCACGCACTGCTGTTCCCTCAAGGTAAAATTGTCAGCTTAGGCTGTGAGGAATTTTAAAACATTTTTCCTTTTTGAATAATTTTTTAATATTCTTATAATTAGAAAATGTGGAAATATTAAGCAGATAATTGAGTTATTTTTGTCAACGTGTAGAGGATTTTACCATTGATTTATATCAGGGGTCTTGTTAATTTAAATATTAATGCTGTGTAGAGGTAGAAGTCATGAAAAGAGAAAAATCATAACAAATCTGTCATTGCTCCTCAATTTGGTCTTGTAAAATTATTTGAATTGATGATGCCAATGTCCTTACAACTTGTTTTATGTCATTTATCTCATGGTGAGACTGTCTGATCAATTTTATGAATAACATCATCCTTGCAGGATCCAGTTGAAAGAGGAAGAGCAAGAGACTGATATTAAGAAGACCAAGGCCGCTGATAGTAAAGCCTCTGTCCCTAAGACATCCAAACCACTGCCTCCTTCTAGGGCATTCCGTAAGGTTCCCCCTCTCACACCTCAATCAAGTCAGGAGCTCTCCCAGTTGGACTTCACCTCCCAGATGGAAGCCCATCCAAAAAGGGGCAGACCAAAGAAGGGGGTAGACAAGGTGAAGAAGCAGCCCAAGAAGAGAGGAGGCAAGTCAGTAAAGGAGAGGCCTGCTGCAGAAGAACCTAAACCGAGGGCAAGAAGTCAGCGTGCCGCAGCTAAGGCAGCTCAGGGAGAAATACAAAAACTGAGCCAATCCTTTGATGATTCCTCGGAGGCAAGTTCTGATCCGGACTCAGCCCAGGAACCCATCAATCCTGCCAAGAGGTCAGTGCCTGCCAAAGAGAAAGGCTTGCTTCAGAAGTCAACTCCGGACACAATTGATCTCTCTGTTTATGACTTTGCAGACTCTGAGAGTTGTGCGAGTGTCGGCCTCAAGCCACGTATCAGGAAGAAGCGGTCTCCTATGGCAAAGGCAGCCAAAAATACTCAAGCTAAGAGAAAGGTCCCTGCCAAGCATGTCGTACCAAGCAAAAAGTCACTAAGCCCAGTTCTGTCAGACACGGAACAACCCAGGGTGGCATCAAATCGTAAATATCGAAATCCCTCGGACAGGCTAGTCCAAAGTCCCAAAGAGCCCTCCGATACTGGCGATGACAAACTAAATGATGCAGGCAGGCGGTACACGAGGAGAAATACCAACAAGCCGCCTCCAAGTCCAGAAGAGCTTTCAGATATTGAACAACCCCGAGATGCGGCACCGATGACATCCAGCCCCCAAAATATGCAACTGTCTTCATCAGTAGCCAACATTGACCAATACTCTGACGAGGATGTGCAAAGCTTTGTAGAGAGTCTCACCGGCACACAGAGGCAGTTCCTGGAGAGAAAAATCCCAAGAAGGGGGGCTGCAGAAGCATTTAGTGAGCTGCTGTTGGAAAACAGAAAGAACAGACAGGACAACAGGTGAGTAAGTCTTTAGTTTACTACATATAAAACTCCTGAGCTGTTGGATTGCTTGCAAATCTTTTACTTTTTCCATTTGTTGTGGTTGTACAATTGCCCAATGTTCATGTACTGGCAAGTTTTTCATTATTCTCAAAAAAGAATTTCTCTTGATAAAAACTCGCTATAATTTGTATGAAATGGTTCATCATGCAGTGGACAAAAGGCAAATAGGCAGAGAACTCAGTCCGGGCCACGAATGGAACAGCCAAGCAATACATCCCCTGAAGCATCCACTGACAGGGAGAAAAGGATGAAAGCATCCTACAAGGAGCAGACAAGCAGCCGTAAGATGCCACCAAGAAGCAAGAGAAACTTTGGAGTGGAGATTGTAGAAGTTGAGTCTGAGGAGGTCGCCAATCGAGAGGACCCTGTCATAGTCTCTAGTGACGACCACGATGCCACAGATAATGTGTCGGTGGAAAACTTCAGCAAAGTTTGTGAGGTTGGTCATGAACATCTTAAGTTCAGTCTTGCTAATTGTGCATTAGAAAGTGAAATATCCCAGATTCCATAATGCTATTTCCCAGATTCCATAATGCAGTTTATGGGGGTTTTTTTTGGTTCCATGGTTGCCCAGAATAAACAAAATGGCAGAGCACAAGACGGAGAACTCGGGTGAAATATCTCAGTAGTACAGCTCAGAACAGTCTAGTATTCAAGATCTCGCAATTTCTTTTGTGTTCCAATGTCTTGAATTTCTCTTTCAGAACATTGTTAAGAAGTCTGGAAGAAGACTAGGAGCAACACGGTCGAACATCAACTATCAAAACAAGGCCAGGTAAAATTGGATCAAAAGCTCTGCCAAATGTTGCTTTTTTCTTTCAGTAATAAGCTTTAACATTTAAACCATTCTTTTTTTAGAAAATGAAAAAATTGTCCAAAAGTTTGGTTTTTTTCCCCAAATGTCCTTACTGAGAAAGAAGACCATCCCTCAAAATGCCTAGTTGAGGACTTTTTTAGCAATACATGCCTTTGTCCTTGTGACCAAATGCAGAGAAGCCGAGTCCAATGATGAAGTTGAGAAAACCCAACAGGAGCGTGAAAACTCTGGAGCGATCTCTCCGGAGCCACTGCCTCATTCCAGCAAGAAACGAACAGAGTCTGACGCAGTAAGCGAAAGAAGCTGGCTGGCTGAGAAACCCAAACAGAAGGTATCCAGATTTTGTATCATAATTATTCATTTGTCTATCAGCGTCATCTCCACCCATTGCTATTATTGGGCATACTCAAAACCCCATTCTCATGTTAACTGAACACGAGCACAGGGTTTCGAATGACAGGAACCAACTTGGAACGGTGTTCGGGAACAGGAGTTTCACTTCCGATTTATTGGGAAGTAGATGAAGAATGTCAAGAACAAAATACTGCAACTAGCGTTAATTTTTTGTGCATAAAATTGAAAACACTCCTGTAGTGCGGAAGCAGTTTCAATGATCAAAAAGAAAGTGTGCATGAGTATAGAATGGGCTTGTCTTTGCCACTTTGTAAATTATTTTAATAGGATAATTTGTTTTTCTTCTTTTTATTTGGTGGTGTATATATGGCAGCTGCCATCTTGAATGCATGGCCAGCTGCACTGATCCAAACTCACTTTTAATCGTCAACGCGAGAACACTTGGTCACTCGAGAAAGGGGATTTGAATACGCCCATTGTCATCATGGTTGTCTGTGCTACTCCCAGTTGAATTATCACCTTCATTCCCTAGCTTCACTCTCCCTTCCTGCTTTCAATGTGGAATCAAAAGGAAGGCTTGTGTCCAGTTTCGCTATTATTGAAAACCAGAAGTGTCAAAATTTTTCACTTTAATAGGGCTCGCTCAATGACGGCCATCTCTGTAGGAGAACTGCAACTGCATATTTTACGCAATCAAGCACGCATTGCGCAGTGTTGATAATGTTCCAAACATGCACACTTGTTGCTCGAAAATGTGTTCAAAATGTGACGCAGCCGATGCGCATTATGTAAGTTGACGCCCAAAATGATGATGCACGAGACCTATAATCCAAGTTGACGGAATTAAAAACAGGATATCCAGATCCACCCTGACCATTTGGTTCAATTCCTATATCCTGATGCATCTTTTTGATTCTCACCCAATCACCTTTTGTGTTCCCCTTGCCATCTGCCTCCACCCTCCCCCCAATCATCGCATACCTCCATCTCATCAATGATCACTGTATGACGGATATGGTGCCTGGCATCAGGTGACTACTTACTCCAAGACCCAAAGCAAGACATGGGTGCCTCAGCCCTACATGGTAAACCCAGAGACAACCTTCAAGAAGCAACCCAGACAGAGAAGGGAAAAACTGAAAAGGAAGCAGGTATTACACTCTGGTTCATTTCAGTATAGGAGACAATTAAATTACTGCCCTATGCAGGTTTTCTATTTGCATCCTGCTGATCCCACAAATGTTTACAACAGTAAAGTGTAGAATCAGCCGAGTCATCTGTCGAGGATTGGTCAACGGTTATAAACACCTTAAAGCCAGAGTCCATCATTTGCAGCCATCCAAAAAGTAATTCTTGTTGAAAAACATACTTGGTTGAAAGATAGTAAGGAGACTAATCTCCCTGTGATATTATTCTTTCTGGCAAGCTGTCATTTTGAAGTAATCAACAAAAGAAGGCCTTTCCAACGGTGCTTCTTAAGACGCGCCGTAGGAAAATCAAAGTAGTAGTTCATTTTGTTATTCAGCGAGGCGCGCGCAAGCATTGGCATGAAGCACACGCGCGCCTGGTTGCTATAATTGGATCAGTGCGCGACAGCTGCAATCGGCCCAGTGAGAACTTGTCTCGGACGCTCAATTCAGACTGAATTCTGGCTTATAAAGTCTGACATGCAAGGCAAGGAATAATCTGAAATCCATTCCAAATTTCAAACCTTTTACAATTTTTCCAGAGAGGGCCACCGGCTGTACAAAGGAAAAAGCAAAAGAAGCCAACACCCAGAGATTCCCAGGACTCGGATGTGGAGGGTCTAGGCGCGTGCATGTACTACTACCAGAAGGGTGACTCCAGCTTCTCTGACAGTCAGCCAGGGCTCCAATCACCAGATCAGAGCCTGTTGAACAAGTCTCAAAGGAGCAACAAGACTGTCAAGGTAATTTGGGCGATTCACAATGCAGTGCCCCACCAAGAGTTTGCCATTGAGAGTCCATTTTGCAAGTTTACGGTTTGACAAAACATGGCCCATTTGAATGAGTGTCAGTAGACAAGTTAAGCTAATGTGTAGGGCACAGCATCTGTCGCCTTAAGAAAAAAAACCACAGTGATAAAAGAAATGAAAAGGACAAACAGATACTCGAATCATACAAAAGTACTGACCAGAAAAACAAACAATTTCAAATGTCCCGCACTGCGAATTTGTCGACATCAATGCAATGGAAAAAATTAACTCTATGTGGCAAACTCTTGGTGGCGCACTGCATTGTGAATCGCTCAAATTCAGGAACTTGAGTGTCAAAGTCATCCTTAAGTCAAACCAGTCTTATACGGTGTCTTATGAGCTTAGCAAATGAGTTAATAGGGGAATAAGGAATGGGCGCAACAAGACATAAAAATCTCTGGAGCTAAAGGCCATAATGGACCGGTCTCCCGTCAAGGCATTTTCCCCAATCTCTGGTTGGTCACTTTATTTGGCGCCATGCTCAAGCTTTTCAAATTCTAGCTACCTGAGTTGAAAGAAACAGGTTGTCATCTTAGATTTTTTTTTTGCCATTGATTATCAAATCATAATACGAGTCTAAGTAACTGGAGTCTTGGTTTGAGTCTTACAGGCCCCAGAGCTGAAGATTAAGCACAGCTTGAGAGGATATTGAATTTTGAAAATCACGTCTTCACTTTGCCTTTTCCGCTGTTTGCTTGTTTCATTATAGTCTGCACCCCAGATCGCCAGCACACCTCGCTCACTGCAATCTTCAGAAGAAGACAAGGAATCCAGCATCGAGATTGCCCGAGATGTCGACAACACACTTGAATATGAGGACCCATTCCCTATCACTCCTTTAGTCTTGGTGGATGACATTAGGGCTGATCTTCTGCCTGATTTGGTTACCCCAAAATCCTTGACGATCCCCTCCATTTCCAGCAGGTGCTCAAGCTCCTCAGGGAAAACACCGAAGGTAGGATCAGGTTCTATCGGGGAACCATATGTTTATGAGAGGATGAACAAGCCAGTTCGGTATCTCAATGAAGTCGTCCATGTCAAAGGTCATTCGGGATAAAATCGCTGACATGATGATGCGTGATGTTACGCGGACACCCATTCTGCTTGTAATTAACACGCGAGCGTTGAGTGCCCGGGTCTGTGCGCGTTCATGCGCTTTCAATGTGCGTCGATTATCCTGAATGACCCGTGTCCCATCATTGTGCGCTTATGCAGTTACTGGCTTATATGTGACCTGGGCCCAGTTTCATAGAGCTGCTTAAGCAGAAAATTTGCTTAAGCACGAAAAAACATTGCTTAGTAAAATTAGGTTACCGGCCAAAACTCCATGTGATGTACATTGCTTGTGACTGGTATTTAGCTGTTGTTTACTTAGCATAACAATCGCATGGAGTTTTGGCCGGTAACCTGATTTTATTAAGCAAGACGTTTTTGTGCTTAAGCAAATTTTGTGCTTAAGCAGCTCTATGAAATTGGCCCCTATTCTGTCAAAAGCAGACGCTTCTGGGCAGAGATTGAAATTGAGATAGGGCTTAAAAAACGCTGTGGGGTGATTTTTTTTTCGATTTTCAAATTTGTGCATATTTGTAATCCTGAACATGTCTAAAATATACTATAAAAGTTTGAAACCCTAAGTTGAACTCTAAATGTAGTATTTTTGACGATTTGTTAAGATATATCAGTTAAAGAAATTACTGTTTTGTGACGTTCGTGGCCATTTTCTACTTTTAAACACAATGAACTTCAAAATAGCATAACTCTGCCCTGGAATGACCGGATTAAAAAATTAAACCACCTATTAAAAGGAAAAAGAACATATTTTAACAATATGCAAAAAACTCATTTTGACCATATGCCCAGAAAAGTCTGATTTTGACAGAACAGGTCACATATTATGTACAATGTGTCTGCACAAAACTCCCGGCAGTTTCTAAACTGCTGGTTGGGATATTTGTTCAATGATTTCTGTTAGTTTAATTAAGTAATAGCCTTTCAAAAATTGACTATAAAAGTAACAATTTCTCAAACTGTTCCTTTTTTATATTTCAGCAAGTCACTTTTGACTCTAACCCAGATTATGCGGAGGATTCGACACCAGAAGTACATCAAGATGAGCCAGTAAAGTCAGGTACAAAAGAATCCATTTCACTTTGAAGAAAACAAACTTTTTTAAATATGTTTAATCAATTTGTATAGTTCAAAATTGTTGATAAATCCCTCCAGCCTGAGACTCCATTTTCACCACTTCCATAGTTTTTTTTAAGAAAATAAGTCCCTACTGTAGTTACATACAAACCCAACCGCCACTTACTCCACAAACTACAGTTGTATAGACCCTTTGCACGGTGCGCCATGACAGTGGGCATGTCTTTGTTCCTATGTGACACACATGATTTGACACTTTGTGCTTTCAATGTAACTGAATGTAAGTAACAAAACCTGCCCACTGTCATGGTGCACTGTGCACAGGGTCTATTCAAGTCCTTCATGAGTCAAATCACAAGTGAGGCCACACATAACAAGAATGAAAAACAGTAGAGGGATTCCTCAGTCACAGTTCATTTTAATCACTTGTCATTTTATTTGACGACTTGTTATTGCCTTCTGATTGACTTGTTGTGATCGACATACGATGACATACGTACGATAACAAGTGACAACTAAGATAACATTCTGTGGTACAACAAGAACTTGAACAACGAGAACAACACTTGACTGAAGTTTTTATGAACAACTCAGGTCCTTCCTCCTTGGTCCGTCCCACCACCTCAACTCTGAAGCGTAAGTATGGTGATCTCTTCAACGACGATGAAGGAGATGAAAGTCAAGAAGACATTGAACAAGATGTAGATGTCATCTCAGATAATGATAATGAGGTACACCCAAGTGTATCAGCGCAGCACAACAGTCAAGGATCCCTGAGACCCAAGAAGCTCTTCAAGGGAGGTAAGCAAGAAGGTTTTGGGGTCTTTGCTACACTCAAACCTACTCCTCCCACACATTCAAGACACACACTCGATAAACTCATTCAAAACCGAGTTAAAATCATTCTTATTCACACAGAGAACGCTTTGAAGTGATATGTAAATGTAATTTATTATTTATCATTAGATTTTGTGATGTGTCAAGTAGTTTATCTCTTCAAGTAAGAAATGTCAGATGTTGAAGAGTCTTTTGTACTTTGTTCAGAATTTTTCGCATTGTCATGACTAATTGCACATTAGTCCGCATTTCAGTAAAAGCCTTTTGGCTCCAATCAGTGATTCAACAGGATTATCCTGATGAAATCAGTGATGGTTTAAAGTGCACTCTTTGGCATGTGATGTAGATTTACACCAAAAATCACTACCCTTGATGACTCAGTAACTGGGTAGGGTCTGTCTTTGAACATCCAATAAATAGTGACGTAGCTTTCTCTGTGTGATTCTCTTCTTTCTGATTTACTCATTAGCTGTCAGCAGCCCAACTTTGCCCCTAGAGGAGGATGCAGAGAACAGTGACGATAACAGCAATGACGCCCTCCTCTCGTCGCCTCAGTCCCATAGTAGTTTGCAAATGCAAATTAAACAGATGATGAATGCCATCAGCCAGAAAATGAAACGGAAAATGCAGGTAATTAAAGGAGCATCTGAAGACTCAAAACACAGGAGCATTTCTCTTCGGAACATCTCCAAGAAACACTATTTCATATTTTTCTTCACGCTAAGGAATGAAGGGATAAGCACTTGTCTGATGAGGAGCTTCGTCAGCTCACTAACGATCAACTTTATGTTACCCCTTGATCTTTTTTTTTTTTTTTTAATTAGTATAAGCTTTATTCAATTGCAATGCCAGGCATTACTGGCGAGCAATATTTGGGAACATATCAGACAATGGAACTTCTTCAAACCGCCCAAAAAGTAATTCCGGCCACGCCGTTTCCCAGAGCACATTGCTCGTTCAATTAGTTTCATCAAGCGCCGGGCATTGCCGATGAGAGGATGTACGAAAATATATGGCTGACAACGAAACTTCTCCAAGCCAAAAAGAAAAACAAGGGAAGCATTTTTGAGGTTTTGCATTACACTGGAGACCACGAATTCAATATCATTCCTCAATATCGAAATGTTCTACTTTTTCGATATGATTTTTAAAAAAAATGAAATCGCAATGTCATCAAAACATGAAAGCATGATATCAAAACATTATCGAATAATCAAGGGATATCGACGGTGCTTAAATTAGTATTTTATAAAGTAAATAATAAGATTGTTTCTTCTTTTCTCTGCCCATCAGACAAAGCAATCGCAAGCCCGTCAGCTGACGGACGGAGCAGTGAGGACAACGCAGACACGAGTGTCTAAACTCTGGTCCCAGCAGCATCAAGCAAGGTATGATGAACCCCTCCTCTGGAACCCTTCATTACTTATCAATGTCCATGGACGGCTTTATTCCATCCGCTTGACTGAGCTCCAAAGCTTGATTTGAAGACAGTGATTTTTGTGACTTGTATTCAAATAACAATAATAACACTATTCTTGCAAAAATTAATTGTCACCACATATGATTGAACAGCTCTACTTCACTACATTATAAAAAAAAATTCAAACAAGTTAAAATTCCTGTCAAAAGTGGGTTTCCTTCTTTTCGACATCCTACCAAGAAGACGTAAGAGTCAGCGCAAAGAACCACACTTCTCCAAAGCTGGCTTGCTCCAGGGTTTAGCCCAGCAGATCCAGGTCCTCACCATCACGTTTGTGGCACTCCACATGGACGCTTTCAGCTGGCTCTCTTCCGGTCGCAATTGAAAATGGCACTAGTGAGAACAACTTAATTCTCAGAGCTCAGGACAGTTCCTTAGAAACTCATCCCTACAATTCCTTTGTGTCATTATTCAGGAGCAACGCTCAGGAGGAGTTCAAGAACTGTCTTCTGGAACAGATTGTATCCTTGGAGGATGAGCTTGGGCACCTTAAGACTGCCTATAGTAAGCTGCAAAGTATTCTGGAGCAGCACTGTCGCAAGACCAGCTCTACGTTGCTGACACAGTGAGTAACATCCTCCTCAAGGAGATTCAAACTTGCATTCTTACAAATTTGGTTCGTATAAACAGACAAATTAAACAGGGATAGGGTTGTGTGCCATGTTCATGTCAGAACCGGTTCCAGATTATGGGATCTGCCAACTTTACAAATCATTTAGTAACTTCTCAGACAAAGAAAAAGAAAGGGTTTGAATGTCATAAGTTTTGGGGATTTTCAAAATGAAAACCAGGCAACATGGGAAACGAAACATATTTCACGTTTATGATGCTCGCAGATTGCAAATTTACACCATAAAGCTATAAGCTCAGTTGTATCTTGTATTTTTCTTAATTGACGCACCAATGAGGTTGTATTATCGTTCAGACCTTTAGGAACAATTTGAACAGCAACATCCAAGATGTGATTTTTGGGGTTGGGCTTCTTTAACGGGTACCCATGTCTTTTTGCAATTGGACACCCGGTTCCCGTACTACCCATTGCACTGTGTTGAAAATGTTCCAAACACGCGCGCTTGTTGCTCGAAATGTGTTCAAAATGTGACGCAGCTGATGCGCGTTATGCAAGTTGACGCTCAAAATGCTGATGCACTTTGATGATCTGTAGGAAGTTACGTCATTTAAACGAGACCTATAATCCAAGTTGACAGAATTGAAAACAGGATATATCCAGATCCCCTAAGCATCCCTAAGCAGGCAGGTATATAATTGGTCGCTTCTTGAAAGTGAAAGTAAGTGGAGCTCTGTCGCCTGTGCAACACTGCTAGGGTGGACTTCTGGTGGTATTGTTCGCTTTTAAAAATTGTTTTATCGTTTTTCCTGCTCACTGACCTTATTGACAGTCGTCAAGGCCCAATTTCACGGCGCTGCTATTAGCACAAAAATTTGCTTAGCACAAAAAAGTCTGGCTTAGTGAAAGTAGGTTTTTTACCAGCCAAAACTCCATGTGATTTTCATGCTTAGCAAACAACAGCTGAATACTAATCACAAGCAATATACATCACGTGGTGTTTTGGTTACCAGCCGAAACTCCATGTGATTTTCATGCTTAGCAAACAACAGCTGAATATTAATCACAAGCAATATACATCACGTGGTGTTTTGGTTACCAGCCGAAACTCCATGTGATTTTCATGCTTAGCAAACAACAGCTGAATATTAATCACAAGCAATATACATCACGTGGTGTTTTGGTTACCAGCCGAAACTCCATGTGATTTTCATGCTTAGCAAACAACAGCTGAATACTAATCATAAGCAATATACATCACGTGGTGTTTTGGTTACCAGCCGAAACTCCATGTGATTTTCATGCTTAGCAAACAACAGCTGAATATTAATCACAAGCAATATACATCACGTGGTGTTTTGGTTACCAGCCGAAACTCCATGTGATTTTCATGCTTAGCAAACAACAGCTGAATATTAATCACAAGCAATATACATCACGTGGTGTTTTGGTTACCAGCCGAAACTCCATGTGATTTTCATGCTTAGCAAACAACAGCTGAATACTAATCATAAGCAATATACATCACGTGGTGTTTTGGTTACCAGCCGAAACTCCATGTGATTTTCATGCTTAGCAAACAACAGCTGAATACTAATCACAAGCAATATACATCACATGGAGTTTTGGCTGGTAATCTGCTTTTACCAACCCAGACTTTTTTGTGCTGAGCAAATGTTTGTGCTTAGCAGCGCCGTGAAATTGACCCCAGGTGATACCAGCACTGAGTACACTGAGTGCTTATCAAATTGACATTCTTGAAGTATAGCCTCGTATCACATCTCCTGGTTTTGTTTCTGTACAGGGTGAGTAAAAAAAAAGCGAAACCCAAATGTCGGGACTATTGTTTTAGTGAAGTTCTGCATGTAGGGCTTTTACAATCTAAGATATGAAAGCCCTATTCATAAGCTTTCTTTTAGTACAAGAATCATCCAAATCACTTATGTACTTTTCAAGTTACGGAATTTAAAACACAACCACCGTTTTAAAGTTCTGTCCACAGATAACATAAAAAGGTGTGCATTCTTTATAAGCAAAATGAAAACAATTCACACATCCTTATGTGATTTGTTTTCCTTTTGCTGAAAGAATAGTTACCTTCTCATGATCCGTGGACAGAAATTTAAAATGGTGGTTGTGTTTAAAATTCCGTAATTTGAAAAATACATGAGTGATCTGAATGATTCTTGTACTATTAGAGAAACATAAATGAATAAGGCTTTCATATCCTAGATTTTGAAGGTGCTACATGCAGAACTTCACTAGAACAATGGTCCCGACATTTGGGTTTCTTCTTTTTTTTTTACTCACCCTGTAGTGTGGATCGAATGAAGTCACTACACAACGAGCACGAGGCAGAGTCCAGAGAGTTGAACAACCAGCTGGGCAGACACCTGCTGCACAACGTCCGGCAGATACTGAGTCAGCAGATGGTCAACATGCAGAAACAAGTCATTCAAGACACGGTAAGTGCATCTCACTTGTCAAAAGTCCATCTCACTTGTCAAAAGTCCATCTCAATTCCATCTCAACTCCATCACAAGACCTCTGGTCCTCTACCCTCACAGGTACCCATTTATACTCCTGGGTGGAGAGAGGCAATTGTAGTTAATTGTCTTGCCCAAGGGCACAAACACCATGTTTCTTGCAGGGTTCGAACCCACGTACCATCGTACGTGAGTCAAACACCTTAACCTGGACCATGGCATTCTACTCACCTACAGACACAAAACAGCTCAGCTAAAAGACAGTATTGCTATCTGCTTTTTGTTGTCATATACCGAGGGGTAAATTCCTTCACTAATGCTAGGTCCACATATTCACGATTTTTACGGTGAATTGCCATGTATAGCAACTTTTGAGTAAATCCGGGATGGTTCTTGTGCTGCCGCGGAGTGATTCTGTTAGTTTGATGGAAAAGTTTTGAAAGATCAGGAACAGCCCTGACAAATTTGAACATGTTCAAAATTGTTTTTTTAATTTTGATCCTACTGCTCTACTTTTTCACCTGGGTCTACAGAGAGGCCAGGAAAATTATCGTTTTTCCTTCTGTTTGTTTTTATTTATAGCAACAAGATGAACTTGAACAAATGAAGAAACGACTGCAAACCATGTTCAAGTTTTAAAAGTAAAGGTAATCATAAAGTCCAACCAATTCAGGAGAAATATAGTCGGCCAAAATAAGTGATGACGTAGATATTTGGTGAAAAAAAAAAAATTTAAGTCATGAATTTTGCATTTTTTAGAAATACAATTTGCCTTGTTTTAATTACGTTTTTTCTGATAGAGCTTGTTTTTTCTTGAAAAATTTACAAAACTATTGAATTTCTGTATTTCAAGTTGGATTTTAGCTGAAACGATTAACAAAAAATTGATCACTGAATGAATTAATGTTGAGTTGAGTAACTACTTGATTTAAATCGGACAAAACCTAACAAGACTTTGGTATTATTAATGTTTCCAGAAACTGTTCCTTAATAAGGTAATAGGTTTATTTGTTGTTCATAAAGCATAGTTTGCTGTTCAATGCCAATATTGTAAGCACATTTAACATAGTTTATGAATTTCGTTTAAATGGTTTAAAGAAAAGATTGAGCCAGTAACAGTACGCACATGCGGTGTCCCGTCCAAGGGGGTCTCAAAAGCGCCTTCTTTTGTTGCCCCACGGAGCCCATACAGTGGTCATGTCTGGATATTTGTTTTGATTTTGTCGAAGTCTTTTACATAATCACAGGTAGACATAATGAAGTTTGGAAAGTATTAGAACCAAGTTTGAAGATATGATGTAAATATTGCCAAATTTAGTGTTCTTAATTTATAAGAAGTTCTCAAATATTACGAAAGAGTAGATACAACAAATCTTAAGACATATTCTTGGAAATTTACAGTTTTCCCTAAAGACTGTTTGACTTTACAATCCTGTTCTGAGTGTTATAATTTATGGAATTAAATTTTGATTAAGTTTGATGCGTACATTTTGAGTTTTCAAATTAAAAGAATTTGTCAACTGTCAACTGGAAATGTTGTGAAAATTTAAATTGTCACAGACGTTTTATTGAAAAATAGCAAGGTAAACCCCTTGCAAAGTGATTTTCTCGTAATTTGAGGAAAAGTGTCAAATTTTCACCAGATTTTCATTAAAATAGCAAGGTTAACCCCTTGAACATTCATCTTCCCGAAAGTTTGTGAACATTCAAATTCAAATGCAAGGTTAACCCCTTGCATTTAAAATTTCCTAGAAAAAACAAATTTTGCCCAATTTTGATGAAAATGCAAGGTTAACCCCTTACAATTGTAAATTTCCCAGAAAAGATGAATTTTGCTCAATTTTGAGTGAAAATGCAAGGTTAACCCCTTACATTTAAAATTTCCTAGAAAAGACAAATTTTGCTCAATTTTGAGTGAAAATGCAAGGTTAACCCCTTACATTTAAAATTTCCTAAAAAAAAAAATGTTGTCCAAATTTGATGAAAATGCAAGGTTAACCCCTTACAATTGAATATTTCCTAGAAAAGACAAATTTTGTCCAATTTTGATGAAAATGCAAGGTTAACCCCTTACAATTGTAAATTTCCCAGAAAAGATGAATTTTGCTCAATTTTGAGTGAAAATGCAAGGTTAACCCCTTACATTTAAAAATTCCTAGAAAAAAACAAATTTTGCCCAATTTTGATGAAAATGCAAGGTTAACCCCTTACATTGAAAATTTCCCAGAAAAGATGAATTTTGCTCAATTTTGAGTGAAAATGCAAGGTTAACCCCTTACATTTAAAATTTCCTAGAAAAGACAAATTTTGTCTAATTTTGATGAAAATGCAAGGTTAACCCCTTACAATTGAAATTTCCCAGAAAAGACACATTTTGAGTGAAAATGCACGGCTAACCCCTTACAATTGTAAATTTCCCAGAAAAGATGAATTTTGCTCAATTTTGAGTGAAAATGCAAGGTTAACCCCTTACATTTAAAATTTCCTAAAAAAAAAAATTTTGTCCAATTTTGATGAAAATGCAAGGTTAACCCCTTACATTTAAAATTTCCTAAAAAAAAAAATTTTGTCCAATTTTGATGAAAATGCAAGGTTAACCCCTTACAATTGAATATTTCCTAGAAAAGACAAATTTTGTCCAATTTTGATGAAAATGCAAGGTTAACCCCTTACATTGAAAATTTCCCAGAAGAGATGAATTTTGTCCAATTTTGATGAAAATGCAAGGTTAACCCCTTACATTTAAAAATTCCTAGAAAAAAAACAAATTTTGCCCAATTTTGATGAAAATGCAAGGTTAACCCCTTACATTGAAAATTTCCCAGAAAAGATGAGTTAACCCCTTACATTTAAAAATTCCTAGAAAAAAACAAATTTTGCCCAATTTTGATGAAAATGCAAGGTTAACCCCTTACATTGAAAATTTCCCAGAAAAGATGAATTTTGCTCAATTTTGAGTGAAAATGCAAGGTTAACCCCTTACATTTAAAATTTCCTAAAAAAAAAAATTTTGTCCAATTTTGATGAAAATGCAAGGTTAACCCCTTACAATTGAATATTTCCTAGAAAAGACCAATTTTGTCCAATTTTGATGAAAATGCAAGGTTAACCCCTTACATTGAAAATTTCCCAGAAAAGATGAATTTTGTCCAATTTTGAGTGAAAATGCAAGGTTAACCCCTTACATTGAAAATTTCCCAGAAAAGATGAATTTTGCTCAATTTTGAGTGAAAATGCAAGGTTAACCCCTTACAATTGTAAATTTCCCAGAAAAGATGAATTTTGCTCAATTTTGAGTGAAAATGCAAGGTTAACCCCTTACAATTGAAATTTCCCAGAAAAGACACATTTTGAGTGAAAATGCAAGGCTAACCCCTTACAATTGTAAATTTCCCAGAAAAGATGAATTTTGCTCAATTTTGAGTGAAAATGCAAGGTTAACCCCTTACATTTAAAATTTCCTAAAAAAAAAAAATTTGGTCCAATTTTGATGAAAATGCAAGGTTAACCCCTTACAATTGAATATTTCCTAGAAAAGACAAATTTTGTCCAATTTTGATGAAAATGCAAGGTTAACCCCTTACATTTGAAATTTCCCAGAAAAGACACATTTTGAGTGAAAATGCAAGGTTAACCCCTTACAATTGTAAATTTCCCAGAAAAGATGAATTTTGCTCCATTTTGAGTGAAAATGCAAGGTTAACCTCTTCATTTAAAATTTCCAAACAAAAAAAAATTTGTCCAATTTTGATGAAAATGCAAAAAATTCCTAGAAAAAAACAAATTTTGCCCAATTTTGATGAAAATGCAAGGTTAACCCCTTACATTGAAAATTTCCCAGAAAAGATGAATTTTGCTCAATTTTGAGTGAAAATGCAAGGTTAACCCCTTACATTTAAAATTTCTTAGAAAAGACAAATTTTGTCTAATTTTGATGAAAATGCAAGGTTAACCCCTTACATTTGAAATTTCCCAGAAAAGACACATTTTGAGTGAAAATGCAAGGCTAACCCCTTACAATTGTAAATTTCCCAGAAAAGATTAATTTTGCTCAATTTTGAGTGAAAATGCAAGGTTAACCCCTTACATTTAAAATTTCCTAAAAAAAAAAATTTGGTCCAATTTTGATGAAAATGCAAGGTTAACCCCTTACAATTGAATATTTCCTAGAAAAGACAAATTTTGTCCAATTTTGATGAAAATGCAAGGTTAACCCCTTACATTTCAAATTTCCCAGATAAGACACATTTTGAGTGAAAATGCAAGGCTAACCCCTTACAATTGTAAATTTCCCAGAAAAGATGAATTTTGCTCAATTTTGAGTGAAAATGCAAGGTTAAACCCTTACATTTAAAATTTCCTAAAAAAAAAAATTTTGTCCAATTTTGATGAAAATGCAAGGTTAACCCCTTACAATTGAAAATTTCCTAGAAAAGACAAATTTTGTCTAATTTTGATGAAAATGCAAGGTTAACCCCTTACATTTGAAATTTCCCAGAAAAGACACATTTTGAGTGAAAATGCAAGGCTAACCCCTTACAATTGTAAATTTCCCACAAAAGATGAATTTTGCTCAATTTTGAGTGAAAATGCAAGGTTAACCCCTTACATTTAAAATTTCCTAAAAAAAAAATGTTGTCCAATTTTGATGAAAATGCAAGGTTAAACCCTTACAATATCAAATTTCCTAGAAAAGACAAATTTTGTCCAATTTTGATGAAAATGCAAGGTTAACCCCTTACAATTTGAATTTTTTTAGAAAAAAAAAACAATTTTGAGTGAAAATGCAAAGGTTAACCCCTTACAATTAAAATTTCCTAGAAAAGACAAATTTTGTCAAATTTTGATGAAAATGCAAGGTTAACCCCTTACAATATCAAATTTCCCAGAAAATATGAATTTTGCTCAATTTTGAGTAGAAATGCAAGGTTAACCCCTTACAATTAAATATTTCCTAGAAAAGACAAATTTTGTCCAATTTTGATGAAAATGCAAGGTTAACCCCTTACAATATCAAATTTCCCAGAAAAGATGTATTTTGCTCAATTTTGAGTAAAAATGCAAGGTTAACCCCTTACAATTAAATATTTCCTAGAAAAGACAAATTTTGTCCAATTTTGATGAAAACGAAGGTTAACCCCTTACAATATCAAATTTCCCAGAAAAGATGAATTTTGCTCAATTTTGAGTAAAAATGCAAGGTTAACCCCTTACAATTAAATATTTCCTAGAAAAGACAAATTTTGTCCAATTTTGATGAAAATGCAAGGTTTACCCCTTACTATTTAAAGGTTCCCAGAAAAGACAAATTTTGTCCAATTGTGATGAAAATGCAAGGTTAACCACTTACATTTAAAATTTCCTACAAAAGACAAATTTTGCTCAATTCTGAGTGAAAATGCAAGGTTAACCCCTTACAATTTGAAACGTCCATCATGAAAAGCTTAATTTTGTCAAATTTTGATGAAAATGCAAGGTTAACCCCTTACAATTTAACATTTTGTTCAATGAGCATGTACTTCATTCGGATTGTATTTTGCGCGTTAAAACACTTTATTGTGTCGGTCATTTTAGTTTAAATGTTTTGACGGTTTCTCACAAAATTGGACCTCCAAATGAAATACATCAAGTCCAATCACTTGACGAAATTTCAATTTACTACAACTGGTCCTTTTCGGATTATTGCTCAAGCAATGAGTGTGTTATTTTTCCACGAACGTTGACTTAAATTTCATTCGGATTGAATTCTTCGCGTTTAAGACACTATAATTGTTCCGGTCATTATTGTTATAGTAACTGACTGTTTCTCCGTGATATTAAATCTCTCAATGTAACACATCATGACGAATTAAAAGTTATGTTAATTGAATTGCTGCATAAAAAAAACATCAAGTATATGCGCGTAAGCCGACGGCTGTAACCGATCGTCGGTGGTTCAACCATGTGTGCCAGCAGGCTCAGTGCACAGGGTTATTGTACCGTGACCTAGGTACGAGGTCCGAGGTCATAGTATCCAGACGGATTTATCGTTCTCTTGGGCATGCATTATCACAATAATAACCGAGGTTACTTGTACGTGTAGATATAATTACGTTTAGTTCGAATGTACATGTACTGTACATGTTGGTTCGGAGGCTGACCAAACGAATGAGGCTACGAACAGTGAGTCGTGCCATGTATATGGTGATATCGAACGAAGCCTGTCGGTGTTATTTGGCTTGATAGTTATTCACATCACCAGTGGGCCAAAAACTAGTGAATTCACAGGCTTCTTACACAGGTTGCTCATGCTCAAGTAGAAAAGAAGCTGAAATCGCATGATGGCGGCAGGACTGCGTGGGAAGGTACTAACAGGTGAGAAGTCATAATTGTATTACACGAAAATCGCAACAAATATGGAGTGCAGGACGCATGCGTGGAAGCAATCCAAGACTGGATATTTATTTCTGCTAATTTCAATTCCAAGTCAACGGTTCTTAACCCTAGCGAGGCTGTGGTGGTAGAGGGCGCTGTTAACAAGATAACTGCACATCGGTGTCTCAGAGGCAACAGTGGCGTGGGTTCGAGCCCGCCGAGTGGACACTTGTGCCCTTGAGCAAGGCACTGAACCATTATTGCTTCGTCCTTCGGATGGGACGTAAAGCCGTAGGTCCCGTGTGTTGTGTAATCCAATGCACGTAAAAGAACCCAGTGACACTTGTCGCTAAGGGAAGGGGTTTGCCCCGGTGTTTCTGGTCTGCTGTATAAACTCCCACGCGGAGTATTTAGGAGATGAACCAACCAAGAACATAGCATGGCCAGTCTTTGGAAGTTCAGCACTCCAACCTAAGCAATTCCGATCAGCTTAACAGCTTATATATTGTCAAGCTATAAATTCAAATTCAAGACGAATAATTTAGCTGGTGTTTAATTTAACTGGTAAATTTCACGATGGAAGCGCTTACCGGCCTCAGTTAATTTCTTTACGCCGTAACTACATATACTGTCATTACAAAGATTCATATCGGGATAAACAAATTTTAACATTGAAAAAGAAAGACCTTTAATTTTTTTTTTTTTTTTTTTTTTTTTTTGCGATTTTAGATACATTTTGTTGGGTTTTGTTAAATCTGAACTTATATCAAATTTGTATCATTATTTTGTGGAAATTGCAAATAAATCAAATCAAATCAAAATGTTCTTACTTTCCAGTTCTTGGTCCTATTGACCCGGTGGATTTGGGTTGCACCCTCAGCCACGAACACCTACACGCAGATTTCAGTTGTTTCTACTCTGAGCCAATCACAGAGGAGGGGCGGAGCATATGCAAATCACCCATCAGCATGGAGAATCTGTACTGGTTACGCAATAATCCGTAAATATTGCCAAAAATTGTTTCTATTCCCGAAAATCAGATATTATACCAAAGACATCACTTTAGGTTCTCTCGGAATGTTGCGAACAGCTAGTCAAAAGAGTATATCTTTGGGCAGATCTTTAAAAATAAAATATTTATCCATGTCTCCAGCGTAGCTTCTGATTTGAGTTTAGTTTACTCAGACTCTAAGGTATATGTCCTTGAAGTATTCAAACAATACGATTTTCAGAATTTTGAATTTGAACTGCTCACAACCGTAGTTTCTAGGTACTTAAGACGGAACATTGTTTAATTTCTCACTGAAGATAGAAAACAATTTGACTCCTCATTGAGCTCAGTTCCGGTCGTTTGGATCAGCTCAGTTTGAGTTCATTTCACAATTTACACCAACTTCGACAGGTGGAATTTCTTTCAATTCAGATACAGTTGGAAGGCAAACCTTTTTCTCCAGAACGAAGACGAGGCTCTCGTCAAGGAACTCCTGTATCTCAAGAAGAACGGTTGTCAGTCTCTGGTCGAGTTGACCACGCTCGGGCTGGACCGGAACGTCGGCAAACTGGTCGAGTTATCGACAGCAACCGGAGTCAATATCGTCGCGGGAACAGGTACGGATTATCTATAGCAATCCTGAAAAGAGTGGAAAATTTGAAGAACTGAACATTAAAAAATATCTTCAATCAAACCAACTTTTGAGGTTGACACTCGAAGCTTCTTTTTTTAAGCTGGAGGAAATAGTTAATGCCTGTATGCGTAATGCCTTTTTTACCTAGTTTTAAGATCCTCCATGATTGTTTTGATTGAAAGAGTGTTATGTTGATTCTTAACAGGTTACTACACATCAAAAACGCACCCGCCGGAAATGGACAGAATGTCACAGGAAGATGTTGAAAAGGTCATGACCTCTGACCTGATGCAGGGGGCAGACGGTAGCACGGGTCGGTGTGGGGTCATTGGCGAGATAGGTTGCTCCTGGCCCCTGAAAGGTCAGTCAAAATGACAACCTCTTCCATGGAGATGTCAAGTCTTAATTATCTCAACCAACCACCTTCAAATTGTCCTAAATTTAAGTTTACCTGTCTCAGTCACCTCTTCTGGGTTTTGAGGTTGCAGATAAGTTCCTCCTTACCATTTGTTCGTTTCTTTCAGCCTATATTAACTGATTTAGTTTTCTTTTTCAAGTCCAGAAAAAAAAAAACTTACATGCCTCCGTAATGGATTTTGCTTTCCATGATAGAAAGCAGCATCTTTTGCAATATCATTTTATGGTATTCTGACAGTAATGACAATGCCAATGTTCTCGCATTATCTTTTCATTTGTTGGCACGTCCAACAATGCCGAAATGACAAAATACTTCAAGGTTTCGGGGTCTCAGACCAACAATCTTACCGTATGGTTTCTTTTTATTTCTCCTCAGATAACGAGAGGAAGATTCTTCGCGCCACGGCCAGCGTGCAGTCGCAGCTGGGCTGCCCGGTCTCCATCCACCCAGGCCTGCATGCCAGGTCCCCCGAGGAAGCAGTCAGAGTCTTGCAGGAGGCTGGGGCGCAGGTGGACAAGATCGTCATGGACCATCTGGACAGTAAGTCCTGAAAATCGACAAAAAAAAGATGTGTAAAGAGCGTCTTAAGTTGAATGCTTATCAGTGATTTGTAAGATTTATGTGGCACACATCGACCGACAAGTGAGAAAGTAAAGATTTGCTTCTAGATCTCGTTTACGATGGGAAATACAAAAACACAATGGAAAGATCGATGTACCACATTATGTTTATAAAATTCACGATATTTTCGTGAGAGACCTGTCCTTGTTTCAATAATGTGCTCACAACCGAGTCTTGTTTTCTCCTGATGAAAGGATGTTTCTTCACTAAAGAGTCTCTGCTCGAGTTTGCCGAGCTGGGCACCCTTCTCGAGTTTGACTTCTTCGGCACCGAGGTGGCGCACTGTCAGTTTTACCCGGAGATCGACTTCATGAACGACGGACAGAGAATCCAGATGATCAAATGTCTTGTGGAGGAAGGGATGGAAGACAGAGTTGTCATATCTCACGACTTCCACGCCAAATATCAGATGGTGAGTTCCAGCTGGGTGGTTTGGTGGTTTGGAGGTTGAGAGAGGATTATAGCGGCAAAGCTCAGACACTGGGTTCCGTGAAACAACATTGATTCAACGTCTGTTTCTTAATGATGAAGTCAGGTTTGGTAAAGTCAAACCTGACGATGCTTTGAGTGTTCCGTGATACAAAACCTTGATCGTGTCGCATTTTGTCTCCTTCCTTACAGATGAAGTACGGTGGCCACGGTCTGTCTCATATAAACCTCCATGTCCTGCCCAAGATGCGGGCCAGAGGTCTGTCCCAAGACGTCATCGATAAATTCATGAAGACCAACCCACAGAAGTGGTTGACGTTCACGTAAATAAGAAGAGGGCTGAGTGACTCATTTCCTGGTCGGTCAATCCCTGAGGATTCCAGAGCTCTTGAAATACTCCTCTCTGGAAACCAAATTTACCTCAACGCCGGAGAATGGGACGATGCTACAAATTCACATCTACGGGGCCCATCTTGTTTACCTTAACCTAATCCCGCAAAGATAAACGCTTTACAGATTTCACGTTAATCCATAAAGTAGTTATCAAATGAGGCTCGTACTCAACCTTGGATTCGTGTTATGCAATCTCTACCAATGACCCCTGATGACCTTGTGTCCATATTACAATTCCCATTGTTTGAGATAATGCCGAAGTCAAATATCGAGAGACGATACAAATATTCTCGTTAACATCATGCTGCTTTATGATAGGGCTGGTTAAATGAGAATAAAAGCCGATACCGCATTTCGATTTTAACTCGACAGATCTGGTTCCTGCTGGTTAAAACTGCATCCAAATATCTGCCTGCTTCCTGATCTTTTATATTAGACGGAGGCAGTGGCGTAACTATGAGGGGTATGGGGGAGGGGAACGGGCAATGGGGGCACGTGCCTCCAAACGGTTGTCCGTGCCCCCCCCCCCCCCCCATTTGAAATCTTGAATTGAACAAAGGTATATACATGTATCAATAATTGCCTTCGATCAGGTGCATGCCCCCCTTGAAATGTTTGTGCACCTCAGATGCACCCTCGTAACCCTAGTTGCGCCACTGGACCGAGGTAACGACTTATGCGGACTGGACTACTTGAGAATCTTTCGGGAAAACTTTTTTACAGGACACAAAACTTTTAACACACGCGGATCTCGAATTACTGATATAGACAGCAATATAAATTTAGTACACGTGTTCGCCTGCATTTTTCAAGTTTAGTGAAAAGTTCGAAATTTACTCCAAAAATTGCGGAAGCTCAGTTAATGTGTTTCGAAACTTTTGTCAACGCGCTAGGTCAAAAGCTGTCCGAATACGATGTCAGTGTGCAAATGATGGTTCGCATACTGACTCTCGATTTCAGGGTGAACGGATGATGTAATCTATGTTTGTTTTCGGATCATACGGCTTATTTGCTCCAGTGATAATAAAAGAAGCTCAATGGTCAGTCTGTCATTGTGCCATTCTATCCATCGTGCGATGTTACACAATTGTCATTCGGTGCAATAGCTCAGCGTGGTGGCGTACAGGGTTTTGTGGAGGTCTGGACAAGCTTGAGATCCACTGGAGATCACAATGGCAGATGAACTCAAAGGAAAGATACTAACAGGTAGGAGTATTTCAATTTTGTTGAAAACGCCGTTTTACCAATCTTTAAGATGATAAGGCACAGCAAAACTAGGGACAGCATCAGCGCATTAGTGTCTTCATATCCTACAGACCAGACTGCCTCTGTTTTCCAACCTCCAGTGGCACATCAGAGTCAGTACGATCATGGAGCTATATAGCTCCATCATGCCAAGGCTTCGGTCATGCATGGTGGTCTTACCTCAAATTATTATAACACGACTATTGAAAGCAAAGGAGGTGTGTGCGGTGTTTCTTTTTTTTATGCTGCCTTTTTACCGGTCGACAAAAATGTCCTCATTTCCCGGTCGACTGACAGACAGACAGACGGTCAATCTGTCAACTAACAGATTCCACTTGACATGCAGGTTGAAGGATTGATGGATCGACCCGACACAAAGTCTTCACTGTGTCTTATAATTTCTGAGATCCTTGAATGAATTCATCAAATTTACTTCAGAAACCAACTTTGTCCAAATTCAGTTCAGCCTGTCATAACACTGAAGACATTAAGCAGGAGTGTGCCCATCTGTCCTGAAACAATCCTGCCTCGTAACCATTTTTACACCCCTACCTTCCATTCCACCAGTTCTCGGTCCTATTGACCCAGTGGATTTAGGCTACACCCTCAGCCATGAACACCTGTACGCAGATTTCACCTGTTACTACGAGGAGCCGACCTGCGACAAGGCCCGGGCCAAATGTAAATGGCCCATCACAATGGATAACCTGTACTGGTTGCGCCAAAATCCGTAAGTCAAACCACACAGGCAAACAGAACAGCCGTGTTTATCCAGACATGATGTAATGCCACGAAGTACACGGGAAAAGAAGGACATTTAATTCAATCTTATCTTAACTGAATCCGCTTAAATTGCTCAATCATTTTGTATAAAGAGTGGCGGGGTTTTCACCTTGAACATGTGTACCAGCTGTCTGAAACGCTTTGGGCATATTCCTCAATCCATGGCCAAAGATGAGTCGCATTAAAGTTTATTATGAGTAAATAAACCTAAAACTTAAAGCATGATGTATGACAATCTTTGACATTATTTAAGATACTGCTAATTTTGAAAAATCAGGGAACTAGACTGATGTAAAGTAGCACATACAAGAAAATTGACCAACCGTACCCAGATGATCATGTCTTGTGTTAAAAACAGCTACAGCTTTCGGAACAGCTGTCTGCTGATGAACGAAGACAGCGCCCTCATCGACGAGCTGCTGTACCTGAAGGAGAACGGTTGCCAGTCTGTTGTCGAGCAGACGATCTACGGGCTGGATCGCAACGTGGGCAAACTGGTCGACTTCTCCAAAGCATCGGGGGTGAACATCATCGCTGGAACAGGTGAGAAGAGAACAGATTAATGGTAGGATCAGAGTAAAATATGATTATATTTACTACCCCTGATCGCCGAGCCAATAATTATAGACAGGTTACATTTTGTTTACATATAAGATATTGTGGTCAGTCGATGGCAACTTTCAGCAACACAGTGAAACGCCGCTATAACGAACATCGCGGGATCCACGGAAATTGATCGTAATAGCGATCGTTCGGTATAGCGATTTGAAGCTGCCGGTGCTCCGTTACTCACTTTTCATAAAATAACCCACTTCACAACTTCACCCTTCACGTCGTGGTCAGAATAAAACATCAATATAGGCCTATCAGTTGTTTCCAAACTCCATTTTTGGCTTTAGTGTCTTCTTAGGCTAAATTGTTTTTAACTTTATAAAATCCGTCAAAGTTGACCTTGGGCAGCCAGTGCAGAGCGGGATTATAAAAGGGAACAAAATGGCGCTTATCACGTTTTGTTCACTAACTCGTCTTAGTGTCAACTTTGTCTTCAGGGTACTACTATGCAAGCACGCATCCAACAGAAGTCAACGGGATGACCCAGGAAGAGGTTGAGAGGCTGTTGACCTCTGACATCTTGGAAGGAGCTGATGGTAGCGCAGGACGCTGTGGACTCATCGGGGAGATTGGCTGTTCATGGCCAATGACAGGTTAGTGTTGAGACCACCAAATCGTGCCGAGCATCGTTACAAAAGCGGGTTTGACTGCTGATCAGATATTTAACGGGAAAAGCATACAAGGAAATAGGAATCACATACATCTGTATGATTATTAGCTTTTAGACACAATTTTCAACTATATTCAAACGGCAAACCTTGACTTAAACGTTATAATGAATGCCACGAGTGGGCGCTCTACAACTTCACAAAGTTTGCACGTGTAGATTGTAGTTTGCTCTTACTGGAGCATTTGGCGCCTTAAAATTGTTTGACGAGTAAAATTAGGTAAAGACTGATCGGTGCATTATTATGACACAGTCTAGCGGTATAGCCAAACAGTAATCATTACATCTGGAGAAATCCTTTTGGTTTAATAGTAGTAGAAGAAATTATTGATTTAATGGTACTCCTCACTCGTCCTTGTTCCAGCTAACGAGAGGAAGATTCTTCGCGCCACGGCCAGCGTGCAGTCTCAGCTGGGCTGCCCGGTCTCCATCCACCCAGGCGCGGATGCCAGGTCCCCCGAGGAAGCAGTCAGAGTCTTGCAGGAGGCTGGGGCGCAGGTGGACAAGATCGTCATGTGTCATCTGGACAGTAAGACAATGATGTTTCAATATTCTATATCCTATAATATATTCCATTTTTTGAGTCTTCAGTGACAACACTTAAACGGATGATGGGTGTTAGAAATTAATAGCAATTGCTCTTACAAAGTTACAAGCCCCTAAACTGTTCTTCGTCTTATAAAGTTTGTCATTTAAAGTGCTACCTTACTTTAATGTATTTCGTTTTATCAATAACAAGAATGCGCCAAGAGCAAGTCTATCATTGCGATAATTAGTTCAGAATCATGGCCAGGGATTAAGGAGCCATTCTCATGCAATCAGTCGTCTTCAAGAATTTTTTTGCAGCTGGCTCCATACCAGATCACAGTGATGCTGCTTTGATGACGAACATATGGCACATTAAATTACTGGAAGAAAACTTTCGAAAATGTTAGACCCTTTGGGCCTTTGGCCTGTATTCCTTAGCTTCTGGTTGCAGTCCACTCATTCTTAGAATGAGTCTTTTCTTTCTCAAGGTTAAGTTTGATAATTTTAGGGCCATTCAGAGAAATCATTTAAGGACTTACGGGCTTCACTAGGACTTGATCTTGAAAGACACCCGAAGGACATTAGTTTGAACAGTCACACAAATTAGATAGCTACAACAATCTGTAAGATCTCGATCTGTTATTAGCCTCTCTTCTTTCTTCAGCATCTTTCTTCGCCCAAGAGTCTCTGCTTGAGTTTGCCGAGCTGGGCACCCTCCTGGAGTTTGATTTCTTCGGCACAGAAGTGGCGCACTGCCAGTACAACCCGGAGATCGACTCCATGAACGACGGACAAAGAATCCAGATGATCAAATGTCTTGTGGAGGAAGGGCTGGAAGACAGAGTGGTCATATCTCACGACTTCCACGGAAGACATCAAATGGTAAGTCTCCATGCTCTTTTCTCGGTCTATTCCAGTTTGGATATGACACGCTGCAAATTTGGCAGGACTGAACTCTGCACACAAAAAAGACATTTAACATGGACGGAACACCTGATATAAAGAAGACGGCTCTAAAAGAGCCAATACACAAAGGTATTAAGTAACCGAAATGAACTGCACATCAGCTGTCCAAGGCCTGCAGGGCATTTCATTGATAACGGGAGGTCTTCAGATGACAATGGACTAGCCATCAGCCCCCGAGCCACTCCAACTCTAGCTGTCAAATACTGCGTTACGAAAATGCAAAATGATTGTCAAAGACATATCCATGTTTAAACTTTCACTTCTCATCTTCTATCTCCATAGATGAAGTACGGTGGCCACGGTCTGTCTCATATAAGCCTCCATGTCCTGCCCAAGATGCGGGCCAGAGGTCTGTCCCAAGACGTCATCGATAAATTCATGAAGACCAACCCCCAGAGATGGTTGACGTTCAACTGAGCCCACCAGCAAGTCTAGCAACGTGGAAGCTATTACAGCAATACGCGATGTCCAGCTTGGGATCTGTATTAAGTATTAAGTACACACAATGTACATGTACATGACTTGTATGGTCTGGAAATGTCTCCTTCTTTAAAATCTGGTGCAAAATGTTTCATCAAAAATGACAAGTATTGAAAACCAATTTCACTATTTTATGACAATTTCGTACTAACTTACGACTAACATACCAATTTCGGGGTTTCTGGATTTCTCAAAATGTATCCAATTCTTAAACACGGTTAGTTTCATAAAGATTTTTAAAATTATGGAAAAAAAAATTTTATTGAACTTCGATGCTCGTAAGCCAAGTATTTTTGTCCAGATTTAAGGAATCACAGCATTAGATGATAGTGAATAATTACCAAAAAAAGGTTGGAAAATTTTGGACGAAAACCACCAGTCGTTTCGAGGCAAAGTTTCTGAATGCTTGTCCTTTATTTCCGAAGCACAAAACACCTTTTTTTAAGTTGCTTAAACAAGACTAAGCAATGCACACCAATAGCAACCTACATATTTATTCTTAAGCGCGAAACAGCGTTTGTGCTCAATTTGAGCATTCACACAGATGTATACATAATTCTGTACAAGAATTTTTATCAAATTTAAGTGTCGGGACCTATAACTAGTTATTCTTAAGAGATCTATAAATTTGTTTAGATAATTTTCCTCTGTTTAAAATGAAGAGTAATACATGTATAAATGTAAGCAAGGAATGACTAATCCCATTTAATAAAAGGCAGTCAACATCAAAATATAACTTGTTTTTTAAGATACTTTAAAAATGTGTCACACAGTGAAATCGTGTTTATTTATATTATTAACAAAACTAAGTCTGTTTGATTTGTATCAATTAAGTCCTTATAAAATCTTTATAATTTTTGTTTCTCCACAAGTTCTATCATTTGCTCTCTCCGATTGCGGTCTTATTGCATGATAATAGTTTAAGTTGGCAATATATTCAAAAATAAATAAACAAAAATCAAAAATCGCGTCTTATGAACTTCACTCAAGTTAGGAATTCAGTCATTTCTCCAATTTCTTTTCCACAACCAAAAGTAAGCTTGTGAATCTTGTTTCTGACTGTGATTCGTCAGAGCAGAAACCCAGGAGCATATAACTCTCGTGGGACAAAACAAATAACGTAGGCCTACACGTACATTAAACAGGAATCTACATCCACATATATTGACTCTTACAAAATACCTTTAACTAATGCACATACTTCATAGAGAATAAAGTGATTTTTTTTAACAAAGAGACTATTTAAAAGGGCAAGTATATACTGTTGCAAGAAGTAACCTAATAACAGAAATAAGACTTAGACTCAGCATAGTTGAACTATTTCTTTCTAATATAACTTACAAATACAGATAAGAAATACTCCCACGAATAACTATGATTAGCTTTACAACAAACTGGGCATCAGCTTATTATCATGTTCTCAAAACCCTTTTTTGTTGACTGTGAAGTTGCTCAATTGGTGCTGCTTAATGTGTAAACTGGAAGTTTACTGACAAGCAAGTCTGAAGCAGTTTCGCTCAATCAATTTAATTTAATTTCCCCGACAATCCACGCCAAGTTGTTGATAATATGAACAGGAATCTGTGTTACCTATTTTAGCCGAAAATATAATAGGCATACTCGAATACTATAAAAGGCATTATAATTTTGTTCAAGCTATGCCCCATCGAAACTAAATCCCACGTTTTGGTCATGTTAATATTAATGTGACATCATCGATTATCATCATAACTTGTGGCAGTGCGTCATCTAAATGGAAAATTACAGGACCAAGGTCAGGCACCTGCTGAACATGTTTAAAAAAAAAACCACTCAAAAACAACAGTTTACAACCGCAAACGTCATGAATATCATATTGATTGATGTATGTAACAGGTTCACATCAACTGTAATTTTCATGATAAAATTCGCTGACAACAAAAAATGCTAGAAACATGCACCTGTTTCCGATTTCAATTATGAATCAGCAAAAGCAGTGCTTACTGGGATTCATGTTCATGCTGCTTACACTAAATTGACGCCATTAACACGAAAAAAAAAATGCTGCACTTTACTCACAAGACAAAGTTTTACTCATGCGATTGCGTAGAAGTGGCCAAGACGTTTCTAGCACACTTTCTTCTGTTCGTCTGAACTTGCTAACTCAATTGTGTTTTCGATAACTACACCGTGGTCATGATCGTTTCGACCACGTAAACCTCCTGGTTCTGTTCAACCTCGCTCCCTTTGTCGCCCTTTCCCTTGCTCTCTGCTGATTGGTCGATCATTTCGCCCTGGGTCCGTCTGGCACGACGGAAGCGGTACGCACACCAGACCAACAGGAGGCTGGAGGTAAGGTACAGGGCGACGCAGACCAGCAGGGAGTACAAATAGGAGCCGGTGGCGTCAAACAAGGCACCTGTAACGGTAGTTTCAATTAGACAGGTGGCCAATTAGAGAGGACTAAGCCAAAGCAGAGATCCACAGTGGCCACACCTTGTTGAGTGTGGTTAATCTAAACCTCCAGAGTTGTACTCTAGGGACATGATGATTTAGAGTGAAATAATTTGAAAAAAAATCTTCAAGTGGAGACCAAGTGAAAACTCCAACAATTTGATTTCCTGGTTTTGACTATAAATCGTCTGAATCATAGTCTTAGCCGTTGAGATTACACTGTCACCGAAGGCGACAAGCTCCCAACCAACAGTGAACATACTCAGTTCTCCTCACATTGATACATCAATTATTCCCTCTTTCCCAAATAAAATAAATCAATTAATTAATTTTTAAAAAATCAGAATATGTCCAACTGACCTCCAATAACTCCTCCGGGAAGATATCCGATGCCACACATCATGGAGGAGATGGAGCAGCATTCCAGCTTGCGCTGCTTGCCCATGCACTCAATAACGGACGGGAACACCATCAGGTTGTAGATGGCACGGCACAAGCCCAGCACTACACAAGAGAAAAATCAGCATGAGCTCTAGTGACAGGCTTCTGCACAGAGTGATTTGAAGGCCAGCCATTAACAGACCATTCGGAGCACGCTATCAATTCTATCACGGAGTCCCCCTTCAATGGCGAAAGCATTGTGCATGCTTTTGTTCAGATAATCTGCAATGGAGAAGCAGCTTTGTACAGTAGCTAGCACAATGCTTTCGCCATTGGAGGGGGCCAGGTAGGGGATCACGTGTCGTCTATATAATGTGGATGCAAATGACAACCGACATGCTGATGTGTCCGGATTTTCAACTTCTACAACATTCAAGCCATGTCACTCTTACACATGAAAAACTGAAATTAAATTTGTGTTAACGTCTGGCCTTCATGAATAGAATACACAATACTTCAAAATTAATCAAAGTTAAGGCTTGACTTTTCAAATTGGGAGCTTATTTCACATATATATTGGGCCCAAAGGTTTTTCAAATTTCAAATCGCATCAGTTAAATTTCAGATTATAGTCAAAGCAGGCAGTTCCAACATCCAAATTCTCACGTTAAACATGATATAATGACCACAAGTTATAAATGAAATGTGAAGAATTTTTTGGGGGGGGCGGGGGGTGGGAAGGAGGGGCTCAATGTAAAGATAGACAAATCATTAACATCATTTATCCCAGCCCCAAAAGAGTTTGTATCACCATCTTAAAAAAAAAATTCCCTTTATTTTACAATGACCGAAACATCTGTCACCGAAAGAAACTTGGAAGGAAAAGGACGACGATTATAGGCCTAATTAGTTTTCCCAGAAAAAAAGCAAAACTGCGAAACGATAAAAACAGGTGCAATGTGCTAGGGGCTTAAGATGAATGTCCCATTAAAATTATTACAGAGATGGTAAAGAAAAAAAATAGGAAATCCCGTTGGCGTCTTTAAAAGAACCTGAAAATAAGTGAGTCATGAGGGGTAAAATGGTCAAGGTTGAAAATGATGAAGTTGTCGATGTGTTAGTGAAATGTCTGATATCACCCTGGTGTGTCGTATACTGTAGTAACTGTACATAACCACATTACTGTTCCTACAATGGAAACAAGAGAACATGTATGTATGTAAAATCACACTTACCTCATTGTCTGAAAATTAAAACAAATCTACTCAGTATACTTAACGAGATACTTCAACAGTTACCATACATTTTACTACATTTTAAGCCCAAATTGATCACTACATTTTTAATGCACTTACACCTGTTTCCGTTTCTCATTAATTTTAAATACCGATAAGCAATTTGCACCATAAAATACCTAAGTCATGTATATCTCAGTGTAGAGCGTGTACTAAAACACCTCTCATTTCTTTAACTCTAAGGTATTTTACAGAAACTGCAAACCTGATGCTGTTTCTTTTTTGTTAAGAAACAAATGTGTTTACTGTTCAAATTATGCGCATTTACAATTTTTGTAATCAACATCGAGTGAATTAATGGGCTTAAGAACTAAGAGAGACAATGTACCACACAAACACGTACATGACTATGGTATTTTGCTGTGCACTTGCTCTTCCAAGCAATAAAAACACCACATTTAGACGTTCTATGAGTCTGCAGCAAGTTTCAAAGTCCATCTGGGCTGCCAAAGCATTTCATTATAATTGATCTACTTGTATCAGTTACTGTCTGGAACTGCATAATCTATTACTGTCCAAACCAACTCAGAATTTGATCCAAATATAATGCCTAACGCAACATGTGTTTTTTAGGGGCGGCACACTTGATCACATAGTTCCACTGTCCTTTCCTTGGAAAGGGTGCATGGTGCGCGCTCTTGGCAAATCATGGAACAATGAGGACTGTCTGCTTTATAATCTTGTAGCCAACTGTATTCTGCCTGTTCCACATTTAAAATTGCTTGGGAGATCATTTGAAAATTTTGAACATTCTAGGGTGAAAACAAATGTAATCATGTTTTTCTTTATTATAAACATTGAAACATTTTTGAAAATTCTCAGTCTACTGGTATTCATTGGTATTGTTTACTTAAAAATATTTTTTCATGTATTTTTTTTTTTTTTATTAAACTTTTAGTTCATCAACAAAAATATGTTTTATATTTTGTTTTTGTTAATTAAATTTTCAGTTCAACTACGTTTGCAAGTGATACGCCCTAGTTTTATTTGAGAGGTCATTTCATGGAAAGTGTCTTCCCTTATTTTTGCCTTTGCGTGTGCAACGCAGCCCAGGTGAAGTGTGAAACCATGCACTTTTTAAAATATATTTTTTTAATATTAAATAAAGAACCGGGATCTTTTACTCCAGATAGGTCCCTGGGAACGCCATAGAAATTGATAGATGTACAAATGAGTAAGTCTGGGACACAATCAACCTTGGTCAAGGCCATGCATATTTGCAGGTATGCACAGTACACGTATTATCCTGTCCATACTCAGTCTACCCTTTCCTTCATGGTCTACTGATGACTATAATAGTATAACCAAAAAAATATACCATTAAGTAAACATTGCCATCGATGTGTGCACAAATAACAATCCGAATTTCCTGACCCCTAACTCAAATTTCCCTTACCCTACACCCACGAATTCCGGTATTTTTTTACTAATTCAATGGACCATGAGCAATCGATATCAAGCCAATTTGCGACAGTACATGTCTGGCTGTAAATAGGAGCTGAGGCAGAGAGACTTTAAATTGTCTGCCTAATTCCACATGTCCCCAAAAGGTAAACCTCCCCCGCTAAAATGTCTCCCAAATAGTATAATTTGCGATAGTAATGGAATTTATAAAGTGCAAATTGTTTTGACCATATGGTCAAGCTTGAAGCATACTGTCATAAATACGAGTTTGCCTCTTCTTTCGTATTGTCTGTAGTTGGAATATATTGATGTATATTTGAACAAGTGGAATATATTTGAACAAGTGGAATATTTGTGAAACAATGAGCCTTCGTAACTTCTATCACACGTAACAAAAGCCAGATAATGATTAATTGTCAGATAGGTTGTTTTTTTTTAAAGGGGAAAGGGGACAAACGAAGAGGAAATCATCAAGTAGAAAGATGACTATGTTAAATGTTAAATGAAATCTGAATCACAGACTAAATCGATACCTATCTCCGAATGATACATTAGATGTTGACATGTTGTAAACAAGCAGGATAAACAACTCTTCTTTCAGTTCTGTTTCTGGGTGTCATCCGGTAATTGCGAAACGTGCAGTAATACAGGAAGTGATATCCTGATTAAACTACCGGTACCCGGCCTATACCAGTCTTTTGCCAATAGCCTTACTTTTGTATTGTAACCAGATTGTGTTTCTGGTTTCATCAACCCTGCTGTTATCGTGATACCTCGAGAAACAATGGACAAAGGAATAGATACCCGCATGAAAACACTGGATATTCCTTGCATATTTTGTATTATTATCCACAAGAACGATAGAACTTTCTATAGTTTCTTTCCACATTTCTTATACAATGAAAAAGGTAAAGAGTTAAAGTGAGGAGGATATGGATTAATGTGAGGTGTGGTAATTTAGAGTCTGTCCAATTTGAGACTTAAGAAAATCAAACTTGAAAACTCCGTTTTCAGAAGAGAAGGAAATTAGACACTGAACTAAAACTAACACAGGTTGATAAATGTTGGAGCACCTGCATCATATATTGGAATTTTCTTCAAGAAACAAGCAGAAATAACATGCAGACCTGTAATCCACCAGAAGAATTATTTTTTTTAAATCTTGACACTTCAAGGACAATACTATGCAGTAACCAGCGTGCTAAATATACCTGAAATAGCTTCAAGCACGGGTATTCCAAACCACTCCTTAATAAAACCCCTTACTGCACCGAACCTGCGTGGACCGACACGAAAAATATGGGGGCAATTAAAAAACAGGTGTGACAACTACCACCATTAACGAAGTGTTCAATGTCCTGTTAATGAACCATGCATACCTTGGCTTGGAAATATAATTATGCAAAAAGGTCCCATCAGTGAGAAAAGAATCCCACCAAAGCTCAAGGAAATACACTTTATATTAAAAGCCTTCCGTCGGTTCACAGGCTTTTACATGACATATAACTTGTGTTTTCTATCTACATCACTACATGGGTGGTTCCTTGCATCCCCCACCGAAAATAAATGGTCTGACCCAAGAAAGAAAACAAAATCCCCAATTGAATGAACTTTTACAAAACTCATCGAGATTTCATTAAATTTTCCTCAAAATTGCTTCCAAAATTCAGCTTGTTTTTTTTTTTTTTAGAAAATAGTGTTCAAAAATTTCTAAGGGACATCAAAATCACCCAAAAAATTTCCTTATTACTCTTCTTAAGTTTCGGTACGAGGCTGGATCTGCAACTGCATTACTACAATACATTATGGTCGTCACCATCTGTACAACTTTTGATGCAAAGAATTACGGATATGGGGAGAAAACAAAATGCGACAAACTCTCCTAAAACTCTGCGAAACAGATACACGTTATTTATTACAGCAATCTTCCCAGGTAGATAAGTTTACCTATAACAAGAGTTAGCACTCCTGGATAGACAGTTATCACGGTGAGGGCAGCCGTCGCCAGGGCGGCCCCAAGAGTAGCGATCGCAAGCACCTCCATCTTTAAGAGAGGAACGCGGTCACCGAGCAGCACGCACAGAGTTGTGCCCACAAACTCCCCCACGCCCATCATGCTCAGCGTGAAGGCAGAGGTCTTCACGCTTAAACCCAGGGTATTCAGAAAGCTAACCTGTATGCAGTCGTAAAATTAGATCAATTGTGAAAGCGCTAGCTGAAGCGCTGCAGAACATCTCAGTCAAAACACAATACAGTCATTCATCACATTATTTTTTTAACACATTCAGTTTTTGTCTCCTCTTTTTTTTTTTGGTTCTGTTCAAGTTTTGGAAAGAATGGTTTGCAAGTCCAAGGTTGAATATAACCATCTACTTTCTTGAAATCGGTTTGTAAATTCCTCTGAGTTAAGTTTATAATAACCAATTGTCACCTTTGGAGCAAATATGCTGGATCGTGTTCCTTGATGGAAATCATTTTTTTTTCAAATCCTTCTTTGATATTTTTTCGTTTTGAGACCTCATGATTTCTCAAGTTTTACAATATTGTGTGCATTAATTCAAAGAATCACGATTCAGCATGGCTACAGGTGACAAAGTGGTTTTTCTCTCTCTCTCTCTCTCTCTTCGAGATAATAATCTTTGATGACCTTAGATTTATGCCAACAATGCCCATTGTTTCAATGCAATCACCACTGTCTGCCCCACAACCAGGTGCTACCAGCCTAGCTGTTTATCAGAAGCCAACAGGAAGTACATGAACATTATCATCTTGCAATTCTTGCTCTGATGCAACTTCATCAAATTCCAAACAGAGGAAATAAAAACCAATAACCCCAGTTCAAACATACAGACACAAAACTTGAAATACATGCCTGGTTGAAAGCTTTTCTTTTTTCAATATTGAGCTCTCTGAACCCGGATGTTATTCAACCCAGGTTTTTCTTACCATGGGTCATGTTTTGTTTATTGATAACTGGGAGTTTGAGAGTGCCACTGCACGCTTTCCCAGACATGTTTTTCAAGCTTGGCGTAAAACATGTTTATTGTATACAAACTTGGAACAAGGAGTTTTTATGGACAAGCCTTAATAGGAAATTTGCCATTCTGTGACTGCATGAAACACAAACCTCTTCGACCATAAATGTCACTGGATATCTGCAAATTCATTTTCTCTGTGTTTAATTTGTTTTCTCCTCTTGCCCAAACCCTCATTAACTCAGAATTGGTTCTGGTCCTCAGCAGATGCTGTGAACATATGCATAACACCTGTCACTAATTAGTTCAACTTCAACACACAAAAAACAGAAGTACTGTCCATATACTGATTCAGAAAAAATGCATTAGCATATATACAGGGTGAGTCAAAAAAGCGGAACCCAAACCCCACAAAATATATTTCATATTTAAAAAAATGTGTTGCACCAAAAATAATAATGCCTGGAAAGCCAACTTCACAAACTACTTTTAGATGGAAAAAAATACTGAAATTGCAAAATCAGTTCAAAGTATATCACCATTTCAACACAATGACCCTAAAACCTCTTTCGTCCAAAAGTGCGATTTCAAGAATCGTCGTCACAGTTGTCTTCAAACATCACCAGCGATAAAACCTAACTTTAAAAGTAAAAAAATATTCAACAAAGTCCTTTTGAAGGCCCGTCTTTTGAAAAACAGTTGATTTTATAAATCATATTGTTTGCCTATGCAGTGTTGTTAATAAAGATATTGTGTACAAATGTACAACAGTTGTATTCTGTGTCATTTTCTTTGTTGTTCCAAACAGTCAAAACACACAATAAATTCTTGCTTTTTTTCCGGACAAAACAGGTTTAAGGGTCATTGCGTTCAAATAGTGATGTTCTTTGAACGGATTGAGCAATTTCAGTATTTTTTTCATCTAAAAGTATTTTATGAAATTGGCTATCCAGTCACAATTATTTTTGGTGCTACAAATTTTTTGAAATATAAAATATATTTTCTGGGGTTTGGGTTCCGCTTTTTAGACTCACCCTCTAGGTACACGATTAACATCTGTAGTTTCTGTTATTTTTTAAGCTGTAATTAGATCTCAGTGGGAAATACAGAGCCAGCACTTCCTGCAGGAAACAATAGTCACTTTAATAACTACGTTTACTGTTTTTCATATCATTCTCTGGAAGTCTGGAAGTACAGCTATGACTCAAGTGTATCTGATGCCAATTTGCGGAGAGGTTGCTCGAGAACCAGTGAACTTAAGGTCGAAGAGAACTGTCTTGAAGGACATCTGTTCCCAGACTTTTTAATAAGACTCCTGGTTTAGATCTCCCACTTGCTTCCTGGTTTGTAAACCACAAGTTCACAGCAAGTCAGCTTTTCTTGGCAAGCTGTTGTCAATTATGATTGCATCATCACAAGTCTGACTATGAAGCCTGAATACCAACTGGTTACATTGCGATATCTCGCAGTTCAAAATAAATGCTTGGAATTTTCGAAACAGATGCATGTTTTTTTTTCTCCAGAATCATGGACACTTATACATACGTCATACGAGGGTCACTTTTTTCTCCACTTTTTAGAAAAGGCATTTGAGGGGGTTCATGAATGTGTTGTTCTCCTAATCCCAAGTTTTACTTAGGGAATATCATGTTTAAAAACATCTTCAAACCAGAAGGGTTTTTTTTATAGATTTTTTTTTAATTTCAATACAATTTAACACTTTTTAAAGCTTTGCTTATAGAGAATGGTTGTGGTGTTTGCTCACATTGTATGAGTTACCGTCGGTGTTGCCTATTTTATTGGAGGGGGGAGTTGACCAAACTATCAAAATGACCCTCATAATTGTGCATGTAAACTGTGCAGCGAAAATCACACGTAACTGTTACCATTCAGACTTTTGACAACTCTGGATTAGTAATAAAAGTTGACTCAGATTCCTGCTGGCTATCTTCCACACAGCAAAGACTGGTGAAATCAAATAAAACATCACTATTAACTGAAATATTAAGTATAAATATCATTAATTTGTTTGACGTGTTGAATTTTTGTCTGGTTGGATCATTCAATTATTGTGATGAGCTGAGTGACTTAATAATGTACCAATTTGTATCAGAAACAAACAAGATTGTGGCAAAAGGGAATGCTTTCTATTTGGGTAAGGGGTAGGCATTGTCATGGTGATTGCACTGGAAAGACCATTGCTCCGTGTTGGCTTACCAAACAACTGTATTTGTTTTTTGGAACACCTGTTTCAACATAAGAACACACCCAAAATAAACAGGCTTCAAAAAGTAAGATTTTTGCATTTCAGGAGCTTCACGAATTTACAACCAAATCAAGTTTCATCCATTTCAGTTTGAAAAAGAAAGTTGATCCTTTTTTCATATTTTCTTTTCTCAGATTTTCAAAATGAAAGTGGACTTTAACAAACTGACAATTTTGTTCTTATTTTTTGTAAATTGTTATTGCCAACTGCAGATTTTGAGTGTGTTTCACATGTATTTCAGTACAGAAACCATTCAGTCCACATTTCTATTCAACACATGAACTACTGTGCAACAACATTTCCACAACTGTTCGAAATTTCCAGGACATAAAGCCACTGAAAACTGAAAAAAATTTCATTTCTGAAAGTCACTTTTCCTCCTCTAAAAATCACAGAAAAGCCTGCACGTTCTATCCCTGCACAGAAACCCAACACAATCACTAAAGTTGTAACTTAATTTGTACCACCCACTGGTTGATGGTGGTCATGCTCTCATGTTTATTCATGAGATATACATGCAAGTACCATCTGGAGGGTTTTATTCATTTGCATATCTCTGCATATCTTTGCATATCTTTGCATATCTTCAACCTCTATTGGCCAAAGCCAACATGAGCGTTTTACAAGGTTCACTGTGCAAGATAGACTGAGGCACTGCGAAATACAAAAACTGTGATTCCTACGGATTTTGTGTCTGCTTTATGACAAAACTCATCTCTTATCAAGTGAAACGATTACCTCTTTTGGAGGGTATTTCTATTTCGCAGAACTGCAACCTTTTTTAGAGGAGGAAAGTGAACGATTCCAAAGAAACCTTAACAAACCCCACATAACATTGTAAGTTTGTGTCACAAAAGCAGTTTACAAAACTGAAAATAATCTTTTGTTGAGATAATCTAACACAATGATAATTAACTTCTTTTCTACTTTTCTCATGCCATAGTTTTGTAGATTGCTTATGTGACAACAACTAAAATATACATTCGTCAAGACTGACTATGAATGCAATGGAAATGAGCGTGGAAATGTTTGGCAAAAATGATTCCTCTCAAATTTCATTAAAACAAACCCCAGAAACAGACATACATACATGTACACAAAACTAAGACAATTAACAATGGGGAACAGGTGTAAAATCCAGGAACAGTTACCTACCATGTAGAGATAGGTGAAGCTGGACGCCAAACACAGCGTAAGTCCCATCACTCCAAGAATCCACATATCGGCCGATCTCAGAAGACTAGAGAACACGGCCATACTCTCCCTGAATGTCTTCTTGGCATGGACCGGGGGCTTGATGGGCACAATGGGTTCGGCTGGGGTGGGTGAATCCGGGTTCCGAGTGGCCAAGGGGACTTGGATGACAGACATGCGGCGTTTCTCAGCGGGAGATGGGCGGATGGTGAAGGCTGAGAGAGCACTTAGCAGGAAGATCCCGGCAAATACTCGTAAGGTGTTGTGAAGGCCGATGGATTCGAGAAGGGCCTCCATTGCTGGGGCACAAATCATCAGACCTGAACAAAAAATTAACGTAAGCTCATCACTTTGTTGACCCCTATCTCACTGGGATTTACTCTTCATTTTCATTTTTTGACCTGGCCCTCAGTCATAAAATTAATAACCAATGCTGAGCTTCTTCACTTACTGTTAAGCCAGCAACACTGACACAATTGATCACTGATTTACAAGCCAGAAGGGGGTGGAGCATGCTCCTTGATGAGCATTTTGTATGGAAGGTGGCCAAAGAAATCAACTTCTTATTAGAAATCAACTTCTTATGGAGTTTAGAGGGAACAAGCATCTCTTGGCTACACCACAGGCATCACCACACTGCTGTCACCCTTTGCACCCCCTTTCCCACTTGCCAAATCATTTTGGCCCATCTTCAGTCCTACCTGCACTGGATGCAATGGCCATGAAACCAGCCGCCCTGACAAACGTCTTGTGAAAGTAGCTCATCAGGTAGTCATAAGAGCTGAAACAGGCCAAGGAGATCCCAGCGCCCAGGAGAACGCTGAGTGTCAGGAAGTACCAGTGGATGCCTGGGACGAAAGAGGAGACCATCAGAGAGGTTGCACTACAGAGGACCCCGAGGAAGATGGCAGAGCGATAACCAATCTTGACAGCGAAGGCTGCCGTCAACGGGGAGCACATGCTACGAGAGCAAAATATCAGAGATCCTATCCAACCTGTGTAATGGAACAGATCAGACAGTGGCTGGTTAGGTTAGGGTGAGATCAGGGGTCACTGTAAAATCCATGAAATATTCGGCAGAGGGTTTATGGGCCGCGGAGGGTCATAGAACAATGAAGGATCTATAGATACGTTTGTATTTGCTTACAGGCAGCCCTTTGATAAAATACCCATGTCGTTTGTCCTACATAAACCTATAGAATAAGTAAAGAGACCTTTATGGTAAAATAAATATTCAAAAGGAATTCTTTTTTAAATCCTAAAATGAGAAAACAATCCTGAGAAATGTCACCCCGGTAGGTTGGTTACACACTAATGTAACAGACATTGCAATAAACGCCAACCTGCAAGGAAAACAAAATAAAACAACCCTTAAAATCAACTAAGGTCTGTCACATGCACTGCACTGATAGGTACAAAATTGGCCCAGACAAACATAGTAAATTGTTCAATGAATGTCCAATTTCGACCATAATTTCATCTTCCACTGAACCCACACCGGCTTGGACTTAAAAAAAAAAAACCTAAAAGGGCTGGATAGATGTTTACATCTGGCACAAATAATATGGCCTTGCCATCAACAAGAAAAGAAAAGGATCTGTTGGGATAAAACTTTTGCCAGTTCAGTTGCTAACAACTTGACATCCTACACTACGATAGTGCTGATTGCTCATCATCCGAATAGGAATGCCATTAGGAGCCCTGAATGCAACATGTTGTCACAAAGTGCAGTGGGGCAATCGATCGCTTTATCCTTGCAACCAAACAATGAACAGACTGTCAGGAAGGAATAAATTATATTCAGGTAAAAGGTCTGTGACTTCAGTTGAAGGTGACTTCAATGAAGGATTGAGAAGAGAGGTCATCTTGCAAACAAAAGCGAAGGTCTAGTGCTGCTGATATGTTAGGTTTAGAGGAAAACCGACACTTAAACAAAATTTCCATTTTGAAATGGAATTCTTCATTTGAGGTAAATTCTGCAAACTAAACCCACATTAGACACAATAGACGCTACGCGTAGCGGCCATCTTAGGCCCCAAAAAAATAGTTCTGCTTCCGGTGTCCCTACGTACCCTACTCTGACAGCCCCTACCCTAATTTTTTTATTGGGAAAATGAGACAAAAACAACCAAAACCATCAATTTCCACCTTTTACCCTTGACTACACGCAGACGCCTCCATATGATCGTACACACACAAAAAATTGGCAAAAATAAAATAAATCCCTACCCTACCCTATTGACAAATGCCATGTAAGGCCAAAAAAAAAAAATACTTGGTCTCTGGTCAGCGCGCGCATCGATTTTAATCATGCGCGTCAACCTTTTTTTTCTTCAAATTAACACGGAAGCTACAACAGTGCCCTCTATTGCCGCACCTCCTCAAATTTTTGTACCAAGGATCGAGCACCAAGGAATGGGGAAATTGCACCAAGGCAAATGATCGAGGGCACCAAGGCAAATTATGGAGGACACCAATGTATAATGAGGACACAAAAAAGCAAAATACCACCTTGTCTGTACAATTCAAGCTTGAAAAAAAAAAAAAACACGTCGCCGCATCAATTCCGGAACTTCGGTCTGACCAGAGACCGACTATTTTTTTTTGGGCCTAATCGGAAGCAGAGCTATATATTTTTTGGCCTCAGGGGTAATCTTTTACTTTAATTCAGCAACAATGAGAGGTTCACTCATGCATATCACAGTACAACAAAAGCACTGACCTCTAAGATGGCTGCTGTAAATATAAAGGTCTATAGGCCTACTATGTAAGTTGTATGTACATGTATATAAAACTTGCTTTTGCATGGCACTTTTCAGCCCAAGCCAACCCAACAAAACAAACCAATATTACATCATAATCATACAGACCTGAACACTAATCCTACTCCGGTATTCAAGCCAAAAATAGGGGGGCCAAATGATTTGACATACAGAGAATCAGAGATAAAGGTGGGACCACAGTTTAGACAGAAAATATTCATCGTATAATTCTTTATATTGATACATTCCCATGAAAAGCAAAACCTTGTTCTGTTTATATATGTAAAATCTTTTCAAAAGGTAATGCACATCATAAGAGCAAACAAACAACAGCAGCAATAGCAACAACCCCCACTACTAAAATAATATTTTTAAAAAAAAATGCAAACCTAAGATTTCTTCATTCGTTCCGTAAAACTCTCGCAGTTTGACCGACAAGGTGGTGTAGTTGGCAATGAAGCCTGAAAACACTGCTCGGAGCAGGAACGCACCCAGAAGAACCACCCACTTCCAGCCAGGCCTGCGGATTTTGCTGCAGACTTCGCGCCATCTCTTTCTCTGCTCAGCATTTGTGGCGATCGTCTGCCCACCATCTGCCGTGTTGTTGTTCGCTCCTCGATCTTCCACGACCGGCAATCTATTGTAGAATTTCTCGGTCATTTTTAGATGGTTTTTTTTTTCGTAGCTCGTCCGCTGGCCTGGTGATTCCCCCGAGGTTATGAGTGAAAAGTGTACATTAGAGTTCTTCCGGGTGGCTGAAAATTTCTCGCTCTTTGCTCAAAAGTGGGGGAATCTTTGGCCATTCTCTGCTCTCAGATCTCGTCGTTAAATTTATCTCGCCGACAGCACCGAGAAATATACGTATGTGTGTACATGCAACATACGTACGTACGATGACAGGCGAAAGTTGCTCTTTGTTGACGTTCGGGGCACAGTCAGCTGTTTCATCAGACCGCTTCATTTTAAAATAGGGGTGGCACATTACAGTTGACGATTATTCGGCCTCCTTACCATTTAAAAGAAAGCCGAATTTTATCTGTTTAGCTACAACACCTACCATAATAACGTGAATTATGTTTTTAGAATATTTATTTTGTGAAATTGAATGCAAATGCGTCATCAACATTACATATATGAAAATAAACACACGCAAATTGTACCTCCCCTGAATGTACCGATTGCATGGAACTGATCCGAACCGGTTTTATCCGGCGTGTTTTTATGGACGTGTAGTTCGCGCCACTGGCTTGCTTGCTTTGATTTTGTAATTTTTGCTTGCGTGGGTATTCCCGGCCGCCAGTGACAGAGCAGTCCTGGAGGCAAACAAGAAGATTTAACAAAAGCTTTTGATATTCCAAACCTTTGGAAGGCGTTTAGAAAGACCAGTAAATCATTTTTCTCTATATAGCTTAAGGAAATGTGGGATTTTTCTTTTTCAAGTACATTGTACTAATAATGTACTTCAGAGTGGAAACAAATATTGGCCAGACGCAATTTCTTCAAGTCCTATTCTGCATACTGAAATGAACCCTTGATGGTTAGGGTTATCTTGGAGGGTTCTCCGTTTCAATTTTGAAGAATCTTGTTGAATTGAGCATGGTTAGGGTTAATTAATTTCACTCCCTTTAAAATCTGTTTAAAATTGGTTTGCCCCGAGAAACAATAAAAAAAAATTAAAAACAATTAGTGGCAAAATTTACTGGAATTAAATTGCCGGTTGAAATAATAATTTCAAATCATGCCTGTATTGAGATGCAGAACATTTGCTTGAGTTAAATAAAACTCTTAAAGTTAGTATGGATGTTGGTTTCTGTTTGTGATTAATTAATTCCGTCTCCAAGGAAAAAAAACAACACGCAAGCTCAAATCCGACCGCCCTTAGAAATTTCCGTCCGCTGTTTTGATGAGTGCATGAGTAAACACATACTATTTAAACACGCATATTTACTTTCACTTAACGACACACGATCCTGATGCCGCCATGTTTTCATCACTCGCGTTGATTTTATCTGATTTGCATACAATATGCCTTTGTGAGTGATAACAAGTGTTTGACTGGCCCTGCTGTAACCTATAGAGACGGGCAGACGGCAACCTGAGAATCAACTACACGTTGTAAAATACATCTCCTGAGCCTGGATACAGCGCCGGCTGAGGCAGTGCGTTGTGTGCTGGTTGTGATCATTATGAAAGTGCCGATTCGTGCGTAAGCGAGGTCACGTACCTGGACCGTCTATTGCGTTTACATACTAAGGGAGCGTGGAACTGAGGCCTTGGGGTCAGATTGATCGCGACCAGTCTCTTTAAACTCGAGTAACTGACTTAAAAATTAATCGACCGGGAAGTTAAAAGGACAGTGCATGCGACCCTTGCATAATTTTGCCTTTATCTATTTTGGAAACCTTGCACAAAAGTGTCATGGTAGTGGTATCCAGGAATCTTTGGCCATAGGCCTATATTGCGAGTTGTGGGTTGTCACTTATTAGGCGAAGTAAAAAAAAAAAACATGTTTAGCGTCCCCGCCCGCTTCCTTTTTAGAGGCCGCCTCCTTTTTTTTTTTTTTTTTTTTTTTTTTAAATATGGTGCAATTGCGCAGAAGAGATGTTTGGTTCTGCATAGTTACATCATTTTGGTCTCATTTTCTGTTGCATCTTGCCCATAAGAAGCCAATATGTCATTTCCTGAGTCCAAGTGGCGGCCATTTTGAAAAAAGCTGGTAACCATCTTGAAAAATAGCCCGGCCGCGTTGTCTTGAAAAATGTGTCGGGCGGCCATTTTGAAAAGAAAAGAAAAAAAAAGGGCCTCCTCCTTCCTTTTTGTCAAAAAGGCAGGACGCTAAACATGTTTTTTTTTTTTTTTGCCTTAGATCAAAATTAACTTTATTCTCGCATATCCGTTCTTTTTAAATGATTTGATTCCTTCTATAATAAACAGTGTGGCCTTCAGACTGTATCGGGCCTTCTGACGATTCTTCCAGTTGAAATTTATATTGCAGTAGGTCCGGTATGAACATGCATGGGTGCCGATCGGTGGGGGACAGGTGGACATGTCTCCCCCCCCCCCCCTCCCCACACACACACTTTTTAAATGGGGAGCATCGTGTCGTTTGTCCTCTCCCCACACTTTTTCATTCGTTCCCGAATAAGTGTAGCCCGTCCATGTGATTCTATAGCTCGAAATAGTTGAATCAACTATCCAAACGCGAAACTTATGTTTAAACTGATCTTTTGCTAAATTAAAAGAAATCTGTTAAAGTGGTCAGGCATTGCTTCACTGGCAGGTCGCACCACAGAGCGTCTAGAATCCATTTTTTTTCCCGGGGCCCTTAAGCAGGCCCCGAACCCCACGCCGTTAGGGTCACGGTTTCGCGCTCGCATTATTGAGTTCTGATCAAGGTATGTCTATACCCCTCCCCCCCCCCCCCCCAACTTTTGAGAATCGATTGACGCCCTTGGGATGATCCTTGATGCCAGAAATGCCTCAGACCGGCAAACATCACGCACACGATGTTTGTTTCCGCCTTTTGTAAGTGTTAACAAGTGCATTGGAGGAACATCCTTGAAGAACATAACCCCGGGGTAGTAACAAGGGAGTCGAATATGGCGTGTCAACATGTTGCAATATTCAATTCAATGTATAAAATGTTTTATAAATATCTATGCACAGTTCATGTGTGCAATGTTTTACACCATTCAATTTCTACATACTGTTTGTAATGTTTTACAATAATTGTTCAAATGTGAGTGCATTGCAAGGTTAGACACGCCCTCAACGACATTCAAATGATACTATTGCGAACATTATTTTACTTAATCACGGGCACATGTTTGTGCTCATCAGTGGTGTAAATAAGAAATAAATAAATAAATAAATAAAGAGGAGACAGGGAGAACATTTCAACGGAGAGGTTTTGTTGGCTTTTTCAAAGAATAAAATATGTTGTAACTGCAAATTAATAGTTTCACTAATACAAATAACACTTCATTAATTTGACTAAGAGGGGCGAAGTGTGTATGTTTAACATGTAATATTATTACTTTGAATTATTATTGTTTCTGAGATATTTCTTTTTCTCGATCCTACGAGCTGCAAAATAATTGTCCGAACAACTGAGGGCGCTCTTGCACACGTCACAATGTGTTTAAGCAGACGCTTAAAGATTTCCTGAACACAAATTTGCGCTTGTTTGCCCACTGCCTTCCTGGACATCACACATTGAATGAAGTCTGTTTACCACATACAGCTAAAAAAAAATATTAATAACTAAAAATTAATCACTTCCCAACACTGTTTTTGGTACGACCAAAATTGAAGAGGCCAGCATATTGGCCCAGTCTAAACAAAAAAATATTGAGGTATATCAACATTTGATCAGAAAAAAAAAGTCGCTCCACATCACCGTTTTGGTAAGATAATATTAGCCGACGGAATATCGAAGAGGCCAATGTTACAGCTAGGCCCCATCTAAATGAAAATTTTGCGGTAGACATCGGATCAGAACTGATGCGTAGTTTGCGTTTAATGACCCTTGCAACGTGTATATTGTTTGTTTGATTGTTTATGCTGGCCAGCTATAATAATTATGAACCCCTCCATGGGAGTGACAACGTCACTTCTTTTTTTGTTCATTATAAGCAGAATTAGAAACCTTGAAATGCGTGGGAATCTTTTGAAGTCCTGTGTATTTGTAAAGTTGTATAACAACAATAGCCATTGTGTCGATATAAGCTACAAGTTGAAGGTTGCGTCTCTGCAATATTTTGGGTTAAAAACGGTGTGCCACGCCTCGCACTGACATACAGTCTACTGCTGCAGGGACGATCAGAAGTACAGTTGGCATACAGTTAATTAGAGTTCACTAAATCCCCTTGAACACAGTAGATATGACTACATTTTGCGTTGGAAGTGTCATTGTTCTTGTGGTGTGCGGCTTGTTTTCATCTGGACAAGGTAGGGTTTTTTTCCCCGTGAGAATTATTTGTTGTGTGCAATTCATATTAATTCTTTGAATTCTTAACATCCGTCGGTCAACAATTTGTTTAATAATTTTGTCTAAAAAATAGTTTACGTAAGATTTGAAACTTTGCATGGTTGTGGTATAGGCCTAAACTTGAGGAGGTTTGAGGTCACCGCGCCCCATGTGAACATTTCTTTTGGGAACTTTTGTGTGGTTCTGAAACCCACCGGTTCTTTTCAGAACCACACATCTTCCCAAAAGAGACTTCTCAGTATGATGTTACCGCAAACCTTCAATTTCAACTTCACATTTATTTCCATGCTTCATGAAGAGAAAAAATATATATAAATATACAAACTTTAGAGAAAAGGGTTAAACAATAAAGCAGTAAATATCAAATTAACAGCAAAGTAAAAGAAGCAAATAGAGCATGGGGCTGTTTTAATAAGCAGAAGCTTGTGGAAAACAGCCGACAGAAACAACACAGGACGAACAAACAAACAAACAAAAAACCAACAAACAGACAAACAAAGACATTACAATGGTAAGCAGACACGAGACAGGGAACATATACTGATGACAGAGGCAATACGATGAATAGATGGCAAAAGGCTGTATGAGCCACCTTAGGTCTATAGCGCTTATTTAATCGTATTACAAGTGATTTGTATTGGTTCCTAATAGAGCAAATTGCATCTTTATCACATAGCGCAATTTGACGAGGGTACCGTCCGGTTGAGTCGAGTTATCAACGGACACAGCGGCTATGTAGAAATCTACCATGACCAGCAGTGGGGGAGGGTGTGTGACACGGATTGGGATGACGTAGACGCAGGCGTGGTCTGTATACAGCTAGGTGCGTATTGGCCTGAGCAACATAAAACTTATTTGTATTTATCCAAAATAAAATAATAATCATCGTCTTCATCGCATTTTGAAGTTGTGCTTACTTCCGAACATCTTTCAGACGTAACCTTTTGTGCTTTTGGCACAGTGCAGAGAAATAAAAGCAGATTGGTGATTTGTACCGGAAAGCAAACATCGTGGATGTGTTGCACACGTAGTTAGTCTATCGAGGTGGCTCAGTGCCACTAAACGTCCACCCAAAATTACTATCAATGATTAAAGCGAAATTTTAAATGATAATGAATTTATTTATTTTTTAGTTTTTTGCATCGGGATTTAATACTAAATTTCTTGCAGGTTACATTGGGGGAAATCTCCCCGCTGCGGACTTCTCCGACCCTCCGGATACTGGGCTCCCCATCGTCTTGGACGAAGTGAATTGTCTCGGGGATGAGACGGTACTAATTGAATGTAACAAGGGCGAGTGGGACCACTTCGAAACTGGATGTATGACAGCTACAGTGGAGTGTATCCCACACGGTAAGGAGTATGGGCTCCGTGCACAAGTGCCCCCTCAACGGTGACAGAGAGAGATCGAGGGAGATCTTCCGTGCGTGGCGTCCGATCCGTTCGGCGCGCAGATTCTTCGGGTTTGCTTTCTAGTCAAGTGAATCACAAATTATTCATCAGAGCAGACTGGTATTAATTTGTAATTAAGTTTATGTCATTGTTTACATGTTGTTCTTTTTTTTCAGAAACCACAATGTCGATGGCAGTTTTGACAACAAAAGGTAACAGTTATTTGCAAATATTACTTCGTTGAATGTAGTATCTAAGACGGCTCAAATTTCAAAATAATTTCTTACAGACTGTAACACAGATTTCGGAGGTTGCACAAATTTAGCCATTTCTGTATGATACATCTGTTCCAGAAACCATTCTTCCAGTCGCTACGACCAAACAACCACAAATGCCCAACATGCAGTCAACACAAAGCCCACTGCCAGGTACTGGTAACCATTTTTGAAATTCAAGTTGTAGTCTATGTATAATAATTTATATCCACTTTTTAGAATACTTATCACAAAGTGCATGTTTAAATATTAAGTGCTTATTCTAGAATAATTATTCAGACTCCAAAAGAATAACCTACTCTAAATTATTTAATTCTATCAATAGACTGCATGCAATTGAGATTATTTTTTAATACATAAGTATCTTTTTCTCCAGGTACCTCCGATAATACCGTTACCTACGTGGTGATAAGCGTGTTGAGCGTTGCACTAGTCGTCACGATAGCGGCTATCATCGTCTACGCCGTGAGGAAACGCATGAAACGCGGGCGTGGGCAACGGAACAGCCCCGGCTTAAGCTCCCCGGAATATATGGTAATTTCTGAACGAAACCAAGCTTTTTTAAGGGTGTCTTAAAAAAACATTAGTCAGATTAAACTCGAAACCAGTTAAATTTGACTAGCCATTCAGGGTCAGCTGGGTGCAAATGAAAATCAGTCAATCCGACTAGATTTTCCAGTCGGTATATATTATTGACTTTGGAAAAATAGTTATGCAAATAACTGCAATTGGAGTCGAACCCAACTACTTTTTCTAGTCATAGTATGAAACTTGGCATGTTTAACTAAATTCCTGGTCAATTTTAAATAAATAGGAAAACCAGTCAATATTTTGACTAAGTTGTTTTTTAGATGTATTCCTCATAAGAACCCCACATGTTCGCTATCGGCCCCTAAATATAACGGGTCAATATTATTATTTTGCGCGTGATTTTGCGTTAAGATATTGTTCGATGCATAGGATTTGATTACATTCTGAAAAAACCTATAGTTTGAATCATACACTCTGGCTACATCGTATGAACTACGAAATCTCCCACTGAGCAAGCTGTGTGAATGTCTCATCCCAACTTGGGATGAGAACAGAACACAGACGCAGGACCATTAAGGTCGAGTTTGCTGAAAGTGCTAGCGTATAAATCTTGACCCGAATGGCAGTACAAAATGTACATTAATAGTGAAAAAAATGCGCAGGTGTAACCCAAAAAACACACTTAGTGAAGATAAAATACAATAAGATTAAACTTACGAATATCGTAACCTTTTTTGCGAATTCAGAATTCAGCTGACTCCGAGGGGACACGAGCGGCCACGGAACTGGGCGTGTACGAGGATGTCGGCCTGCCATCATGGGCAGCTAAGTGGGAGATTGCTTGGTCCAATCTGGTGGTGGAGGATCGGGTACTCGGCAGGGGAGACTTTGGGGAAGTCCGGGCTGGAGCCGTGAAAAAAGGCGGGAAAATGACCAAATCAGCCATTAAGATACTCAAAGGTGATTTGCATACTGCTTTGGCCAAGAGGGCGCTATTATCATTAACTGTTTTTTGGAGATTTCGTCTTGTACATTCTGAGGTTAAAAAAGCACTGCAATATCTTATCGCTCTACTTTTTCTCGACCACAGGTCAGGCCTCAGCTGAAGAAAAAATGGCCTTCATGGAAGAATTCCGCACCATGTCCTCTATCGGCTACCATCCCAATGTTGTCTCCCTTTTGGGGGCGTGTCAACACCACGGTATATCATTCAACGTATTTGGTACCATATACCGTCTAAAACTGTCATAATTGTAAAAGAAGTATTTTCTCAAGGGTTATGCATGAAAACAAACTTGATGAAAAAACGAGTAAATCGATGGTTTTTCTTTTGCCCACTTAAGATGTCTTGTTCGTTGCTTTGGAGTATCTTCCCAACGGTGATCTTCAAACATACCTCCGTAAGGCTCGGTCTGAGTCAGTCACAGCCCAGCGTGCATTGACCTCGGAACGGATGGTGAAATTTGCTTTCAATGTTGCCAAGGGAATGAAGCATCTGGCCATATCAGGGGTGAGACTCCAACATAGATCTAAAGATGAAAACAAAATCTGTTGACCCATAAATATCAATAGGCTGCTGTTGTTGTCTCATTTCGGACCCTCGATCGGTATGAGAACGTAACTAGAAGACATCATTTGCTGCTATCAGGATTGGAACCATCGTATAACTGAAACTAATTTGTCAATTTGTGGAATATATGTTTTTGTAACGTTGCGGATACTGTGGGAGCGTATACGAGTTTGAGGCAAAATAATTATGTAGGCCTAACTATATTACGCATAATAATCCAAAATATATAAGCATCTCCCTCTCTGTTCTTTTTGTCTTGTGTTTGACAAATAGAGGCAGTTTAAAAGTGCTCATGACGAGGATTAAACATACCTAAATCTGACAACGCCAAAGTACTGAATTAGGAATCTAAAAGACGACCAAGTTACCTGCTTTTCAATCAATGTACACCTGCCGACCTTAAAACGTTTTCACATACTCGCTGTTCATTCTTACAGGTTATTCACCGAGACTTGGCTGCAAGAAACGTCCTGCTTGGAGAAGGATTGGTCGCCAAGGTTTCAGATTTCGGACTTTCTCGAGGAGAGGACATCTACGTTCAGACTTCAAGGGTACATCTTTCATTAAGGCTCCTTTTCTATTCCTCGAAAATGGTTTGTTGTCTTGCTGCACATAATGTGCTCAAGTACAGGGGCATGTGATTTAAAATTGCGTTGGCCCTTGCTAATGAGCTGCCTGTCATATGCTGAAATGCCTACCAAATTATTAGGCGGGTCGTAACTGAGCATGCGCGTGACTGGCGAGATACAGCGCCCTCCAGAGATACACGGGTAGATTATAACGCTGCTTTGCATTGGCACGGCCTTCTTGTATAATTAATTGGCCCACATCGCCTCACTGGTAAAAATAACAACACCACAAAATAACTACAGATTAAATTGAATAAAGCCTATTATGAAGATGAACATTTTTTTCAAAAGATGGAATTTTGATTCGGGGTAATATAAATTCAATATTAGGTTTATCCGTCGGTGAAGGGCAAAACCTAATATTGGATGAACAATTTTGTTTGCAGGGCATGGTACCCACTCGCTGGCTGGCCATCGAATCATTGATGCACCAGACCTACACTACACAAAGTGATGTGTAAGTTTAAAGTTACTGTGAATATTTTCTTAAGTCGCATATTTACCATGCATTATAGCACGGAGGTAATAATTCACCTACTATTCACCAATTCACCTACTATTCACCGGTTGTCTCTTCCTGATAGGTGGGCCTTTGGTATTCTCTTGTGGGAGATAGCAACACTTGGTAAGATTGGTTTCGTCTGTTTCTTTTTTTGGAGATAAATCTACTTTACTTCCATTCGCCAAGTTAAACATTTTCGGTTTGTGATCGAGAAGAGAATATTGAAATTTCCGGACGGCAGTGGCAAAAAGTTGCAAAGCTATACAGTGCGCTTGAGCTTCCGGTTTACATAGAACCCTTTCATTGTTTTCGTGCAGGCGGGACGCCCTATCCATCTATTGAATCCAAACACTGGCAGGGAAGCTGAAGGGAGGTTATCGTATGGCCAAACCGAGCAACTGTGACGATGAAATGTAAGAAAAAACACCTGTCGTATAAAACAATCATTTTTAATTGATTAAATGTGGTATACATAATAGGAATGATATATAATTCAGACTTCCAATTTGATGGAGCTGTTTAATAGATATAGCTTAAATAAAAATATGTGATAATGAAAACTGGCAGAGGACCAGTCAAAAGCAATGTGTCTTTTTAATGACATTTAATTGTTAACCTGTTTCTGCTAAACAAATTTCGTGTGTCCTTAGCAGGTTCAGTGACACTGGAACACACAATAACCTGATACAGAATGGTATATGGGGCAGGAGAGTTTAAAGGAGTGTAATCATTTACTTGTATCACCTGCGAGGATTTTGGTAGTGTTTTCCAACTTTTATTTCTTATCTAGGTATGCACTGATGATACGTTGTTGGAACAAGGATCCGAACAAAAGGCCATCTTTTGCGGACCTGATAATAATCCTCGGGAAAATGACCAACAACCACGTCAATCATGTGAGTAAAATTAGCCACATGTGGAGGAATTAGTTGTGGTGATTTAACTATTCATTTCTATTTCAAGATTTCACTGCATGGATTAGATATATCTATTGTGATTATTTACAAGATGGTGTGCCTCATATGATATTGAATCAATGACGTCATGTTCTTTCTTCTATAATTCATTAGACCTACTTTGTGTTAGACGGACCTAGGCATTATGACAACCTGTGCGCCATCCTTCCTGAACTCGAGGGAACTTGATCATCTTGTAACCTTGGCAACGAAAAGCAAAACTGGATCGTCAAGGATCAATTCAAGAGGAATCATTTGAAGACAAGTGTGAATAACGAGGCTTAACTATAGCTGCCCTCGGAAAGTTAACCAAAAACCGTTGATATTTTTAGATGTACAAAGTAAAAGTTTCGTTTAAATTAAGAAGTGTACCAATATAAACACCTTGTCTAAACTAGGCCTAAATACGTATTATCGCACGGGGTGAGCTGTGTACAGTACATTGAAAATGTGATTACAATTAAACTTTTAGAGGTTGTATCACCTGGTTACAACGCACTTTGATGGAACTCTTACTGTAACTTCTCAGATATACGATTTGACAAATGTATTCTGATTCCAATTAATTATTTTACTATACATTACTTGATAATTCTGTGTAATAAAATGCCTTTCTACGCCTCTAAATTAGTAACATTGAATCAGATTAATGGTTTTCATATAATGTATATTATCAATTGTGAAAAGATTTTATTTTTCAACATAAAAATAACAGCGCAAGTACCGCATGTTCTGAGTGAAATAATGGGTCGACCGATCTATATAGACTTATATATAGACTTTGTGAGAAGCGGACACTTTCCCTCAACCTGATGATACCATCTTCTGCATTTAAGCAGTGCAGGATCTTTCCAACCCAACCAGAGTGAAGGTAATTTAATCCTTCACTAATACTGCGGTGGTTAGCATTTGGTTGGTCATCACTGGCAGGAGCATGGATGAAATAGTCATATATTTCTGAAAGAAAACAATATAAAATCAGCTCTGATTAAAATTTAGAAATGCTGGCACAAGGGCATCTGTTTGTTTACTGCAAGCATTAAATATGCTAATAGCATGAAATTACAAGACGGCTAGATGTTTCAAGATAAGAAGCCCATGCTTTGACTAATTTAAGCAGTCAACAGCCTGAATGATTTTCAACTTCAAGTGACAAATTAATACCATTATGATTTCATGTTCTCCTCTAGTAACAGCCCTATTCCAAAATGCATTCGCGCATCACTGTGTGGCCCACTAGGAGTTAACATGCTTAATGGGCTACAGCCTTGCAATGACTACAGCAGGAGGTCTTTAATATTTTTTTAATTAAACGACACTTTTTAAAATGTCCCACCTCTTTGTCCTGTAGTATTACATGTATCTAGACTTGGGCCAACTTTGACCTAGAAATGTTCACATGTAATTTTGGAACATCTCTCCCTAACCTGCTTATTGATTAGGTTCAGCTACATGTATTCAGTTTTATTTTTATTTATTTTTTCAACTTGTTACACGTATACACTACATATGGGTTTTATGTAGCCCGACTGCGTCTGGCCGTACAGTACTATCGCAAGCTCTGTAGTACGGCCAGACGCTCAATGCTTCCACACAGACTGAATTTTTTTTCATGGCCTCATTGCCAGATGGATCACAAATAGGAGGCGTCATTAAAAGGACACTCAGTGGTTAATTGTTGTAACATATAAGAGCTCCCGTTTGCCTTTTACCAAATTCTGAGAGGGAGGAGAGGGGCTTGGAAGGTGGGGGGGGGGGAGAAGATGTGACGGTCACTACTTACAATGACAGGTGTATCCATTACTCGTGTAAAAGCAAATTCCTCCAGAGCAAGGGTTACTCTCGCACGGGTTTGAAAATACTGTTGGAATCAAAGTCAAAAGAATATTGTAGTTCAACAAATAGGCACCAGGAACAGAAAAGACATTTTTAGTTGGTGACATTTCTTTTACTTGTAACCATTTAATTAAAGCCCTTCAGCGGTAGTATAATCGTTGAAAGAACAACTTTGTTGGTTAAACATGCTACTCTTTGTCAACAATGAGGGGGTCCTAACAACATCTGTATTGCCCACTGATCTCTTTATAAAGACTGGATAGTGGATGCCCATACACCAGTCACATAGTTGAGGCACCCTGTGATTGGCTCTTCTGACCCCCGCATGCGATCACCCCCCCCCCCCCCCAAAAAAAATATGCCACCTGTGCGCGGTATGTTTCACATTGTGCACGTAAAAGAGTGTTTCAACGCATTGCCTCAGTGCGGAAGTGGGGGTTTTTTTTTTCATCATTAATATTTTTGCGAAAAAAAAACAACCACAGCCTTTGAGTGCAGATCATGCATGCTATATTCGATGATTGCACATACGATATTGACAACAAAGTTACAGCCTGCCGAATGAAGCGGTGCATGCGGGGAAGGTGTTATACTTCTTTCTCCTCCTTGCTCTATATGGGTGCAGACCAGTAACTTGGGCCGAAATTGCCTACGCCGGCCAAATCACGATTTGCATGCCCTCAAATTCTTTAGTATTAGGGCATTTTGAAGGCTGTGAACTTGATGATTTGTAAAAGAGAAGGTTGGAAGCTGTGCAGAGGACTGCGAGCTCGTATTTCTGTGAAATGTGGATGATGTAGGTCATAAAATGGCTCTAAATTGAACGATGATGAAATAAGCTTTAATTTGATGCACGTCTTGAATACCTCAGAGAGTTGTGAGTATTTTTCCTGAATTTCTGAAGTGGGGGCATTTATCACTGAGATCTATGTAAATTTATTTACCGGTCTGCAACCCTATGATTCGGTCGACTGGTCTAGCGCTCACTGATGCATCGATGCGCTTATCGTTTCGTACACGGCCTACTTTCTTTTGTTCATGTACTAAACTACCAACCTCTGGCAGTGACATTGACTGAAAATATGCAGCTGGCTTGATTGCCGGCCCGGTCAGAGAAGGTATAGGTGACTTGAGTGACACCGAAACTGAAGCTGTCTCCTGGTCTATGGCTGCGTTCAGTATTGGTAATGCCAATGTTATCAGAACCTACAGGCTCAGTCCATGTGACTATCACTCTGTCGCTGCCGGACGGCAACAGGGACTGGCGTTGAGCCGGGCAACCTGTGAAAGTCGGAGGTTGGGTGTCCACTGTTGGAGGAAAATTATTCACTTGGGTGAGTATTATGATTCTACAATCCTGGCCAAATCTCGCTGAGCCCCCCCCCCCCCCCCGCCCCCGTTCAATGTTGTCTCTCATTGCACGTTGTGTGCTCCATCAGCTGGAGAGAGCAACATTGACCGGGGGAGCGGGGGAGTGGGTGACCGTGGCAGGCTCAGGAAGTGTCCCAACCATTTTGGCCGGGATTGTAGCTATAACAATCACGCCCCCACCTTAATGAGATTTTGCAAGAGGAAGTTATACGGTTTAGCACACAAGATCACCAGATTAAGAGAGCATCAGTGTAGTATGTAATGCTGAAATGGGGTATGACCCCCATTTAATTGACCACCTTTGAAGTCACAGTTTGGGATGTGAAAAAACCTATAGTCCTTTTGTTTTGCCTTTTTAGCAAATTTCTTTCTTTCAAACTTTCAATACTTACATATTAAATATAAGTATTGAAGTTTATTATTTACATCTTAAATAGAAGTATTGAAGTATGTTATTTTATACTTAATTATACGCAAAACATAACGTTGATGATAAACAAATGTGGCAAAATGTACGTCGATCCATGGAGCTAGGCGATCGTACGATGTGTTTGCATCCAATTACAACGACGAGAAATCCTGTTCGCCGAAAATCTGTCAAATTATCGCTCAAAATTGTTGACAGTTTCCCACTTCCGGTTTGCAATAGCAGGTAATGATTGCAAAGGTAGGCTCTCTGTAGCAGATGTGCTTCATGGAATAACGAATAATTCGGATACTTCGGGGGATTTACATGACGAAAATGTCTGCCTGGCAAGACATGTCAAATGATTGTATCACGTCGCCCCGGCCCCCTGGCTAATTTGTCCTTGATTTTGTTATTTATTTACATCTTCATTTCTTTTTCTTTTTCCACTGACAACTTTTTAAAACCTGCAAACAATACACATTTTACGACTGCATCCCGCTAGAATGTGAAAACATTCATAACCCAAGACACGAGGCTTTCATCAGAGGTTGACATAAACCCAAATGGCAGGACCATTGTTTTTAATGAAATTCTGCATGTAGCACTTTCGAAATCTAGGATATAAAGGCTCATTTAATAAGCTGTATTTTAGTAGAAGAATCATTCAAATCGCTCGTGTACTTTTCAAGTTACGAATTTTGAACACAACCACCTTTTTAAAATTCTGTCCACGGATCACAAAAAGGTCTTTCGGGTCTGCGCATGAGTCCGACGCCCCATAGGTCCGACGCCCCATAGGTCCGACGCCTCATACTATAGTCTGACGATTCATAAGTCCGACGCCTCTTAAGTCCGAAACATTGTTTGTCCGTTGCCGGAATTATGAGACGTTGAAATTACTAGTCATCGAACGTACGGGTACGGCCCCGTTCTTTCAACAAAACGAAAACAATTCACATTCATCCCAGATTTGAAAGTGCAAGAACTTCGTTAAAAAAATATTGGTCCTAACATTTGTGTTTCCTTTTTTTAGTCATCCTGTACACTATGCTCAAGAATGAAATAGACTAGCTGTTGTAACGGAGGGTGTGCATATCAATTCACAGGGGAAACCTCTGTAATACACCAATTGGACGGAAAAAAAATTAAAGCCATTATTTTCAGGTGGAACTGGAAAACTACGGTCTTAAAGTCGGGGCGCGCGCGCATCTTGGTAACACTATTGGTCGATGGCTGCATGCCGCCGAACTAGTCTGAACCAATACACTATTTATAAGAGGCTATACTAAAATGTAACCTCATACCAAATGTCAGCCTCGTTTTTAGCATGATTCTTACCATCTGATAGGAAGCTGTCTTCATCATCATTACAACTCCTACATAAATGTATACTCACAAATGACGTTGATGGCGAGTGTGCAGGAGGCCATATTTCCAGCTTCATCTTCAGCAGTGTAGGTGATTGGATACCTGCCGAAATCAAAGCTGCCAGTGGGCTGAGGATAATTTGGGCTGGTGGTCACTGTGGGTTGAACACCACTGTCATCCGAGACGGTGGGATTGGACCAGGTGAACGACAGGACCTGAGTGATCTCTCTGACGTAACCGAAGATGTTTGCAGGGCAGACGATGGTTGGAGGGGTCGTGTCCCCGCCTGAGACTAAGACAAATGGAAATGGAACTGTTGTTATGGACTCTTTGAGTACATCAGATGGGGCAATTGTGACCGCTCACAGTGTAGTCCATTGGAGAGAATAAAAGGGGCACTCAAATCCCCGAAATGTTAATGTTTTGGAGTGTTTACTTATCCTATTTCAAACATCTGGTTGAAAGGAAACCTAATGTCGTACCGACAACGAGAAAAGACGGAAATAACCCGCCTTTTTATATAATAGGACATGACGAAGTAACGCATCCGCTTTTCCCTGTGTTTTCACAATTTCAGTCAATGTACGATACGTTGTGGAGACACTACACTCGAATGTACGTGGTATTTGTGGGGACCGGAAATGCTGCGGGGATAGCAGAAAGTCCCCATAACTCGGTCCTAATTTGCCTGACTTTTTAAAAGGATGATTGTACTTTGTGTGGATGTTTATATCCTATTTTTGTTAATGATCTTTCTGATTCTGGTTTTCGTTTCAGGAGGCAGTGTCCCCTTAAGAATTGACGCCTTTTTTTGCGTGCGCATGATCGATTTTATTCCGAGTAAGAGTTGTGACTTGCGATATAGCACACGAAAGCTACGTGCTGAGCAAAAAGTCCCTTGAGGCTAGCTCAGCACGTAGCCTGATCAGGTTCGCCGCACATGGTGAGATTTTCGCATTGCAAGGCGACAGACTGTTTCCCCCAGCCACCCCCTCCCCCCGCCCTAAAAGGATGAGGACCGGAAGCTGGCACCCTTAAAGCCATTGATTGAATCACCTCTGCGCGCGCATTATGATTGTTTGTTTTCAAATCGTTGTTTAGCTCTGTGCATGGACGGTGATTAGGTACACGATTATCAAAATACTCACTCTTGTCTTACCACAAAAAATACGCAAAATCATCAGTGTCTCCATGAAGATAACATTCCAGCATTTCAACCACATAGGTTTTAAATACTGAACAGTAACTTCTGGTTGGGGGCAAATATTACCGTTGTGATTTTCAATTTAGGAGGCGGGATTTAGACCTGTTCACGTAATGCATACATCAAGAGTAAACAGCCTCGACTCTAAGCTTGTGGCGAGCTTAAAGGGAAGATACAACATTTGCAAACATCAAAAAGCGAAATGAACAAATTATTACGAAATATCTTAATGAATTGTTAGAGAATGACAGTCTAAAGCATTCTGTAAAATCGTGGCTCCTGGTGTGCTGACATTTTTAAGAAAACTTGTATTTTTCCAACACTGGTCGGCCGACCAGCGTTGGAAAAAACGGCTTTTTCTAAAAACAGCTCCTAATTTTCATATTTACTTATTCCACATTTCCTTTGCAATAGCTTACACGCCTGTGAAGGGGTACAAGCCTGTAGACTGATACTCTGACCGAACAATTCCCCAAGTCTAATTTCTCCATTTTATCTTAACCCTAAATGGGCCGGGCAGAATCTGCTTTTTCCGCGAAAGTCTCGAAAGATAAATGTCACGACCTGAGCTGTTATGACTTTAAGCCTCGAGCCTTGCACATCTTTTGATACCAAAAACATAAACATCGGACCACGGCGAAATATTTACCGGCGCAACGCGCCTGAAAACTGAATTTCCCCATATGTGTAGTGTACACAGAGCAGAATTACCATTCATGCATATGAATAATGAATAAGCCATAATTCCAAAACCCTTTGACCTATAGTCATGAAACTTCTTGGGTATGTTCATGATAAGTTATTGATATGCATGTACCGAGTTTCTTAATTTTGCGTGAATCGATGGCCGAGATCGTACGGGAGGGGCGCGGAATCCAACCCCCCAACCCCAACCCCCCGGCTGAGAGATGGTCAAAATAGCCCGGCCGGGGTCAGGAAACCAGACTACAAAAATATGGTTGGTTTTCTTGGATTTTCCGCCATTTCCGAACCCAAAACGTGAAGCAAGTCAGTTAAACAATATTTGCTATTACATACTTATCCTCCAAATCCAGTTATTTAAATTGCAACAAAAGACGTAAAGTTGCCGACTCCAAGTTATCAGACATTTAAAAATAGAAAAGGCCGGGGTTAATGATTTTGGGCAACATTTAGAAGGCGAACGACTTTCCCTTAACAGTTGTTGACAAAAACCGCCCGATCATAAATCTCCTTTAAGTTTCATTTTAAAAAAAAATGGCGTCCTATATTCCTCCTTTAAATAATACAAGCAGTTTGGGCCTTTTTTAACGATACTAAACATCCATGTCGTGCCCTCATTTGTTGTTAATGCCTTCAACAATTTAGTAGGCCATGTTGCTTTTGTGTTTCATTAAGAACACTCAACCAACAGCTTTTTTTTTCAGAACCAAGCATCTTCCAAGAATATCTTTCCACATGGTGTTACCCGCAAACTTTATAATTTATTTAAGAAGTTGAATTACAATCAGTTGGAAATTGCCTAGACTGACAGAGAGGACGAGCCAGCTACCAATACAAAGGCCCAAAGCTGCGTACAGGCGTACTTTGACTGAGGATCAGACCAAACACAGCCACACATTAATTTGTTATGAAATATGAAAAACAGTCAAATTAACAGAGGAACCACTTCAAAGTAGCAACATAAATTGTATCATGACATACATCCAAGCACTAACCTGTTCGAACTTGATGAACTCCGACAAGAAATGAGTAGTAAAAAACTGCCAAAGCGAATCGCAAAGAGACCTTGCCTTCCATATTTACGGATCCTTAACCTCCGCCCCGAATTCGCGTTCCTGAATGCTACTATGGCGTATACCGCCAGTCCTGATCTGTTATTACAGTGTCCTGCACTTACTGTACTTGCAGTGGAAACAGGAAACGGCACAACATTTCATGTACCCTTTATCGCTTCAGTAGGTTTGTTTAAAATATATATATATGCATAAATTACTCCCTTTCATCCCTTTCATAGCACTCCCTTTCAAAAATACAAGAATGCCAAAAAAATGGTGCCATGGCCTGAACGTCACGTCAATTCAACTCGTTTTTCTTTAATTTTTGTTTCCTGGTTGCACTTGTACCGCCAATGCGTGGTGCAATGATTGCACGAACTGCTAAATACAAACAAGGTTCGCCATTTGTGGGTAAATGCTAAGATTCAAAGTTACAAGCAGAGTTGCTGACTCGAGTCATGTGACTTGGACTCGAGTCTGACTCGAGTCGCTATTTTTGTGACTTGTGACTTGACTTGAAAATACCGGCTTTGACTTGTGACTTGACTTGGACTTGCAAACAATGACTTGTGACTTGACTTGGGATTGCAAAAAAATGACTTGTTACCAACCCAAGTCAGACGCTACTCGAGCGACCCAATACACTTTAAATAAGCTATTATACTTTAATTAGCTTTTTCATTCCAGAAAATAGACCTCAGTGACTGAATCCAGTAAAATGAATAGTTCCCACTAGCACGCGCGGATCCAGATGGGGGCACACCCGGCCCGTGCCCCCCCCCCCTTTTCGCAACTGTTTTTTTTTTTTTTTTTTTTTTTTACGAGTCGTCTTAGGGCGGGCGGGCATTAAATACATCCCTTTGAGAACATGGCTATCTTTTTCGTTTTTGAGGAGTCATTATGGCGGGCGGACGGGCGGTCATCAAATCAATCGCTTTGAACATAACTATCATACATAATTATCAACAAAAATATACAATGTATAAGTTTTGAAGGTCGCCTGTCAATCATTGTCTCAAAATTTCTTTCAAAGCAAGAATATATTTTTATAAGACACTTTTCTATTTCCCGGCTGGAATAGGGGGCACATTTAATACAGCACTTGCATTTAATGCTTCATGCCAAAATATCTTCCAAAATATATTCTAGAGTAGAACATGTACCGGTACACGAAATAATGTAGGCCATGTGGTTTTTTTTTAATAAATGAAGAATAAAATCGTCATCCCCTTTTTTTATTTTCCCGGCCTCAGAGAGAGATTTACGTCTGGTTCTCTAAATATTTTTTTAAAAGCAAAATGATTAAAAAAAACCTAGCCCGTTAAAGTTTGCACTCTAAGTTAATTCTTTTGTAGATTCCAAGGGAAATTTAATACGAATTATGCTCGGTTTTTCTTATTTTTAAATTAATATGATCAGGATTAACAACATCACTCAAATAATAGCGTCAAAATATATTCCAAAATATATTCTAGAATAAAACATTTTCACAAAATAATGTAGGCCATGTGTTTTATTTTTTAAATACACGAAGAATTAATCGTCATCCCTTTTATATTGTCCCGGCCTCAGATAGAGAGAGACATCAAATAAATAGGGGTTATTTTAATACGATTAATATATCTTGTTCTCTCGATTTATTTTTAAAGTAAAACAATTTAAAACACCCTAGCCCATTAGGTTCTGAATTCTCAGTTAATTCTTTTGTAGATTCCAGGGGAAATTTTAATACGAATTCTGCTTAGTTTTTCCTAATTTTAAAAGGAATACGAATAAAACGATCAACAGCCCTTTGACTTCAAACTTAATTTCAAAATGTATTCCGAAATAATTATATTCTAGAGTAACATTTACAAATATAATGTAGGCCATGCAGTTTTATTTTTTAAATAAGCGAAGAATAAAATCGTACTACGAAAAAAAGACATCCGGAGCCCTACATTTAATGAATTATTTGGACTTGGAATATCATCCCCATATCGTTTATCTATGTGCATGTACACAACACGGAGGTGAAATTTCACGTTCAATTCAGTTTCCCACATTTTTCGCAAAAAGTTTTACCCTGTCTTTGAGGAAAAAAAATGCCCAAATAAAATCTCAGCTCCGAAAAGCCTTTCCAGAGAATGATTGATAGCCGCATTGTTCAAATTGATACAATGCCACTCTTGTTCGTTACAAAGCATATACATTTGGGTTCAGCTGTAGGCCACCCGAACTTTAAGGCCTTTGAGAACTTGCCGTCAGTAATTGGAAGATTCTTAGATGATCAACAGTTATATGATAGTATCTCAGCCAATGAAATGAGCCGGTTCCCGGCAAATAAATATGCCATTGGTTGCTTTCATCACAGACCGTCTGCTTTCATGAATATGACTGGCTTCCACGCGCAACTGGAGTGATTATCTATCTGAGCCACAGGTGCATGGCTGCATGCCCATCACATTCCAACCTGGTTGCTTAGAAATACTGTTGCTAGGAGGCTCCCCTGTGATGCCTGGGACTGCCGGTTGTGTAGCCAGAAATCTTGTATGTGACTATTTTGAAGCCTTGTATGTGAAAGCGGCAGCTCAGGAATGCTGCTGCTTTCGGGAAAT